GGGTGCTCCTGCACACACACACACACACACACACACACACACACACACACGTACAACCCCAGACAACTCCAGATCTTGCAGGGGGGGGGCCATGAATCTTGGAGTTTGGGGGTTGATAGGCTAGTGTCAGGGTAGGAGCAGCAGACTCTTCCAAGGTCAAGGCCAGGGTGGTTGAGGGTTTCTAGTCAGAGTCCCCACCCCCCTGACCCCAGAGGACAGCTGGGTGGAAAAAACCCTGGGCTGCCCTCACTGCTTCCAGGTGGCCAGGGAACCTGCTGGCAACTCTGACCGTTAGCCAGCCTCATAGAGCTGGTGTTTGGCTTCCGAGTGCCCTGGGCTGGGTCCTGAGAAGCTGCAGACCCAGGGCTTTGCCGTGTGTGCTCCTTGTATCCAGGGTGGGGGCATCCCAATTCGGACCCTGGCTCCATCCAGCCTCCTGCCTCATTCCCCCAGACACAGACACAGGGTGGTTCTGCTGACCGCGCCCACTGGGCCCAAGGGGCCAAGTCTAAGTGCAGTGGGGGCCTTTGTGCTGGGCCCCCAGCATCGCCCACCAGCAGCCACTGAGAAGGGCTTTGCTGGGAAGGGGGACCCATGGAGTGAATCTTGGGGTCTGTGGTTTGGAGCTTGCCTCATATCATAGGGGGTGTCATGAAAACGCTCTCAAAATAGTCACAAAGTTGTGAGCATTCATGCGACATGTGAAAGACAGCGTGAACTAGCTTAGAGCCAGCCAAGGGGCGGGCAGTCTCCAAGGTGCTGGGTCACAGCTGCTGGAGGCCCCTGGGCTGGGAAGGATTCTCAGGTTGTGTCTGGTCCCTGGGGGACAACATCTCTGCAAAGAGCACATGGGTATTCGACACCCCAACCTAAAAAAACTGCGTGTGCAGGGAAGGGGTTGGCAGGAGTCCTGGACGAGGGGCCTCCGAGAGGCTCGGACCCACCCCTCCGCTTCCCCTTCTCACCGTGGCACGGGCGATAGATAGATCCCTGCCTTTTAAGAGATGTGCCCACAGAACAAAGGGGCACATGTTTTTGGTGTAGAACCCCCCTTGGGGGTTTGTGGGTGGAATGATTTTCAACAAATGTAGGTGTCCACAGAAGAGGGTGGGCCCTGGGAAGGAAGGGGGCTTCATGCTCTCAGGGCCCTGTGGCCCGGCCTGTAGCTGATCATGTGATTGCATGTTCCCTCTGCGGTTTGGGGAGTGGGCGAGGCAGGCAGGGGGCCGGGGCTGGCTGAGGGTCAGGTCAGCACCTACTGCGTGCCGGGTTCCAGAGCACCAAGAGAGTCCACAGGAAGTGCCCGGCCCTCCCTCCGCCTGTTTGTGGATGCTTTTGCCCCAGCCTCTAGCATTGCTTGCTGTCTGGTGCTGGGAGCAGCATGGGCCATCTCGTGGAGGCCTGTGAAGCCTGGTTCTGGGCGAGGCGCCCTGGGTCCAGAGACACAGATGTGTCACTCATTGCCATGGCCTGAGGACTTGGGCTCTCCGTGGAGGCAGACCCTTTACCAGATGGCTATGGTCCCATGTGCCAGCTGCTTGACTGAGGGGCACACCGGGTACCCGCAGCCACAGCTACACCCAAAGACCCCTGAGCCTCTTCTTCCTTCCAGAGACTGCGTTCAGAGAACATATATTCAGATGTCAAATTGCCAGTCAAAAGAAGAAAATATTTTATTTGAATTGGATGAAATTTGAACTAGAAGCCATGTTGCTTAATGAAAATGTGTGGTTTTGATTCACTATTCCTGTCATATGGTTCTTGTCTGCTGGAGAGTTTACAACATGGATGGGCCAGGAGCTCTGACATCCAAAAGGAGAGAGAGAGAGGCAGAGGGGACAAAGAGGAGGGAGAGAGGCAGGGAAAGGGGGTGACAGACGGAGGGAGGGAGGGAGGTGGGCAGCTCTGCCAGTCACAGGGATGAGCACACCAGAGCCTGGCGAGGGGAGCCCTGCTTTGGGTGCAAGAATGTTTTCACAGGAGTCTCTTCAGAGCCCTCTGTGTGGAGACAGGTCAGCTTGGGGGAGTTCTAAGCTCCTTGCCCATCCTCAAACCCAAGTTGGGAGGGGGGCACATGATTTGGACCCATGTCTCAGGGACCAGGTAGGATGGGTCTTTTCTGGACCCTGAGCCTGTCACCCAGTGGTGCCACTGAGTCATCCCCACTTTACCCCATCTCTGAGCCAGCTTTCCCACAAAAGCTTTGGGAAGCCAGGGAGGGCAGTGATCCTGTCTCTCAGAGTAGCTGGCACTTCGCTTCACAGACCCCGGGAGGCCATCTGGGGATCCACACTTAGTGACTTTGAGTGGCACATCCTCTCAGCCTTCCACTGTCCAGCCTCTTCCAGGGTCCAGCACAGAGAACAGTTCACACACTTTTGGGCAAACAAAGGGCAAGGAGGGAGGGCATAGCTTCCTTTCTTGGGAAGGAAGCACCACCACCTTTGCAAAATGAGCACCACCCCTTTGGTGGTGCTCACAGCTACCATGTTTCTCTTGCTTCACTCATGGCTTTGTCTTGAGGAGCAAAACGTGCCTTTTGTTGGATCATGGGAGAGAGGGTGTGCAGGAGCAGGGGTAACCTCGAGTCTCTGGACAGAAAGGGGTAGTGGGACACAAGGGGCATCAGTGACAACGAGATGAATACATTGTCTGGGTATGCATATTATCTTACCCACGGGGCACAAGCCAAGTGCAAAGATTTAGAGAGAGTGTGGACACTGCCAGGCAGTGGTTCTGGGCCATGGCTACGTCTCTGTGTGTGATGCAGGGACTGGCACTTAATAGGTGCTCAATAATTGCTATTGGACGAATAGATGGATGGATGGATGGTAGATAGTGAATGGTTGATGGATGGTGGATTGGTGGATGGAAGGATAGATGGTAGAAACATGGTGAATAGATGATGGGTGGTGGGTGGTTGATGGATGGATGATGGATGGATGGATGGATGGGTGGATGGGTGATTGGATGGTTGAATGGATGGTGGATGGATGGTGGATGGATGGGTGGATGGTGGATGGATAGATAGATAATGGATGGGTGATGGATGGATGGATGATGGATAGATGGTACATAGATGATAAGTGGATGATGGATGGTGGATGGGTAAATGATGAGTGGATGGATGGTTGGTTGGGTTGATAGATGGTGGATGATGGATGGGTGATGGATGAATGTGGGTGACTAGATGGATGATGGATGATGATGGATGGATGGATAGATGGTGAATGGATGGTGGATGGATGGATGTTTTGTGGATGGATAGATTGATGGTTTGATGAGTGGTGGATGAATGGATGGATTGATAGTGTATGGACATATGGATGTGCATGTGGCAGGATGAACTCTGTCAAAGACCTCAGTGCCTGGCACAGCCCCTAATTATCCTTCACTGGGCACCATCTTTAATGACCTAGTCTCAACATTGGGCATGTTTGTCCATATTCCTCCTTCTCCGTGAGCCCAGCATGTCATGTAGTGATGGATACTGTGCAGGCTGCATTGAGCCCCACCTCATCTGCTGTGTGACTAAGGTCACCAGGCAGGTGACCTCAGGGCTTCAGTTTTCTTAGTTTCAGATGGGAATTAATAGAACACCCTTCATAGAGTTCTTGTGGGTCCAAAGGGAGGGACAGCAGGCAGTTTCTTTGCCCAGTACCTGGTGTATAGTAAACACTATTTAAACATTAGTCATTAATAAAACCATTATGATATCAGGTTATATCCATCTGATTGGGGCCCAAAGATCCTCTGCCAGGGAGATGTCAAACATTTGATAACATTCATGAGACCTATGGTTCTTGTTCCCATTTGTTTGTCTGCTGTTGACACATCTTGAGGAGAAGAATATGGAATAGAATTGTTGCATACTTTTCCCATCTGACATAGTGGGGCTGTTGGCTGCCATGACAGTGAGCTAGAATGATCAGTGGTTGGCAGTGTAGGCTCATCCAGGTGGTAGCACGTGTCTGTACTTGATTCCCTTTCATGGCTGCATAATATTCCAGGGTATAGATGGACCATAATTCGCTTATCTATTCATGCATTGATGGACATTTGGGCTGTTCCCACCTCTTGGCTATTGAGAATACTGCTGTGAGCATGGGTGTCTGTGGACTTACTTGAATACCTATTGCAACTCTTTCTTGAGTGGATTGTTTACCTGTCCTAGTTCATAGGATTAGACTTTCTGGGTCATGTTGTATTTTCTTCTTTAAAAATAAGTCCCATCCCACCCCATAGTTAGGGATGACAGGGAAGAAGGCAGCATATCTCCAAGCCCCCATAGTTTAGGGTGCAGTTTGTAGTTTGCATTTATCACTCACAGTTCACAAAAACTCTGAGTACATGGCTGGCACCTGACAGGTAACCAACAGGTGTCTGATGAATGGATAGAAGGGTGGGTGGGGGGGATGGATGGATGGGTAGGTGGGTGGATGGATGGACAGATGGATGGATGGGTGGATGGATGGATGGGTAGGTGGGTGGATGGAGGGATGGATGGATGGATGGATGGATAGGTGGGTGGCTGGAGGGATGGATGGAGGGATGGATGGATAGGTGGGTGGATGGAGGGATGGATGGAGGGATGGGTAGGTGGGTGGATGGAGGGATGGATGGATGGATAGGTGGGTGGATGGAGGGATGGATGGATGGATGGATGGATGGATGGATGGGTAGGTGGTGGATGGAGGGATGGATGGATGGATGGAGGGATGGAGGGATGGATAGGTGGGTGGATGGAGGGATGGATGGATGGATGGGTAGGTGGGTGGATGGAGGGGATGGATGGAGGGATGGATGGATGGATGGGTAGGTGGGTGGGTGGGCAGGCCATTCTAACTTGAGTGATTAGAGATAGCAGCTCCCTGAGAGAAAGGCTGGTCCTGATGACAAGCTCCCCCCAGGGCGTGTCTGGGCTACTCACCACTTGCCTCCCAGATCTGCATGTGAGTCCCCTGTGCGCCACTTATTCAAGGGCTTTTGTCCTTTTCCAGGGTGACATCCAGCAGCTGCTCTTTGTCTCGGACCACCGGGCGGCTTACGATTACTGCGAGCACTACAGCCCGGACTGTGACACCGCTGTCCCTGACACGCCCCAGTCACAAGACCCCAACCCTGATGAATACGTGAGTCAGCGCCCCTGGTTCATGGTGGGCTTGTAGGCAGACTCTTGGAAAGGGGGCAGGTCAGGCGGGCAGGCAGGGGTAGAGGGATACAACCCCATTTAAAATAAACCCGCCCGGCAAGAATCCGAGGCTCATGGTCGGTGAAGCCTCCTCACCCCCTTGCCCCACACAGGGCAGCACCTTCTTTAAGCCTACTGGCAATTCTCTGCACCATTTTCAAGTGAAGATCCTCTCCCATCACCCGGTCACCAGGGACTCCCATCTTCTGTCACATTCTATCTGCTGTTATGACCCCTCAGAAAAAAGGAAGGGAGGCCCTCTTGAAGCCAAGGTGCTGTGACCCAGGCAGGTCTTTGAAGCCCGGGCTGAGTCCCTGCCGCTGAGGCCCCCTGGCCTGACCCCTGTCCCTATTTTAGGGGTGACACCTTCTCTGTCACTCTGGTTTGGGGCAGGGGACTCTGAGTGTCAGCAGCATTGCCACAGCACCCCCCAGTTAGGCTGGCCATCCTGGCCTTTGGTGGTAAAGGATCAGAATGTCTGCCCCCTTTAGGAGTCAACTTTCTCTGAAGGGGACCTGGGCCCCTCATCCCCTCCCTCATGCTTCTCATGAGGCTGACTCAGCTTCTTGGGGCCACAGACAGGTTCGTGCCTGGGGTGGGGTGCAACTTTCTGGGGTCCACTCTTCCTGGCTGAACCTAGATGGTGAGGATAGCAGCTGGGCTCCTTGTGGGGTCTCACCTTCCTCACATGGCCCCCACCTGCTTTCAGTACCCGGAAGGAGATGGAGAAGGTGATACTTACTACTACGAGTATCCCTACTACGAGGACACAGATGACCCCAGCAAGGAGCCTACCCCCACCAAGAAGCCTGTGGAAGCTGCTAGAGAGACCACGGAGATCGCCGAGGTCTGTGCGGGTGGGCTGCTGGGAGCTGCAGGCCACGGGGGGGAGGCTGGGAGACAGGGAGCTCAGCAGGCCACCAGGGACCCCGGGGGCTGGTGACCATCTGTGTGTCATGCCCCCCGGGGAGGCTGGGCAGGGGGCTCTCCACCTGACATGCTGCCAGGAGATGTAGGTGTGAAGGGGAGCGTGTTGCTCTGGTCTGAGGTCTAACTTTTAAACCTGGAGATACAGTTCACCTTTTTGGTGCAGGATTGGGGTTTTTTAGGGGGTTTAGGCTCTGGGCAGCACTCCCTGTGGCTGGCCATCTCCCCGCATGGACGGTAGCCTCTGCGCCCGGGGTCTGCGGGCTCTTGGTTGGCCACGGGGCCATGCTGTGTGTCCTCTCATGATTCCCCACTCTGTCCCCGGCCCTCAGGAGCAGACCCCACCCACCACGGCAGCCCCTGCAGTGCCTGACATCAGTGAGAGGGCTGGGAAGGAGGAGGACCCTGGCATTGGAGACTACGACTACATGCCCAGTGAGGACTACTACACACCTGCCCCTTATGATGACATGAACTACAACGAGGGCTTCGAGAACCCCGACCAGTCCCCTGACCATGGCGCAGGGGCCGAGGTCCCCACCAGCACAGTCAGCACCACCAACGGCTCCAATGTAATTGCTTATATTCTGAGCGGGCTTGGGGCAGGCGCTGTAGGGCTGGGGGGCTCGGGGCTCCCTCTTTTCTCTGCTTCTGACCTCGGGGGTCCTGGGCTGGCTTTCTGGTTCCCAGACCCTCAGACCCCGGCCCCCAGGGGTGCTGAGCAGCCTTAGGGTCCACGGTTCACTGAGCACATGTCACTGTTTCTGTTTCCCATCTGCAAATTGGGTGGAATGAGCCCCACCCACGCAGACTCTCAGGGTTCAGGTGGGGATGGGTGAGGACATGCATGTTTGCACCATCTCTCTCTGTGGCCTGAGGGGGCCAGCAGGACAAGGGTGGAAGCTGAGGGTCTGGACCAGCAGAGGAGGCACGGGGCCCACTCATGCCGGATATGACCGTGGGCTTTCCTACCTGGCTCCATGCCTCGTCCACTGGCCTGGGAGAGTTTCGTCTCCTCCGGATCCCAGTTGTCATTCACAGGGTGGCACAGGTCGGCCCCTAGGGGTTGTTGGCAGGTTTTCAGATGAGGGAGGAGCTTAGCACAGTGCGCTACACACAGCGAATGCTTCAAAGTAGGCATTGCAGGACGCCAGGCCCTTGACGGCCACAGAGCAGACACCTCTTTCTGATGGGTGCGACCCCTCTGTCAGTGGGATAGGGTAGGGGGCATGTCACCCCAAGATGCAAGGCCCTGGGCCAGGGCACCTGACAGCACACTGACTTCCCCACAGTGTGCAGCCCTAGCTGGCCACGGGGTCCTGTGGGGCTTGGGGTGAAGTCTCCCTGTGGCAAGAGGATGTGTGAAGAGGCTGCTGGGGCCCAAGAGCTGCCCCAACACATTCGACCTGGCTCCAAGGAGGCCCCGTCCTTGGCATCCCCGGGCTGTGGGGCTGGGGAGGGAGGGGGTCTCTGTCCAATGCCGCACTATCCTCCGGTGACCCCTCTTGTCCCTTCCTGCCCAGCCTGCCCCGCCTCCTGAGGATGACCTGGAAGGGGAGTTTACAGAAGAAACCATCCGGAACCTGGATGAGACCTACTATGACCCCTACTATGACCCCACTGTCTCCCCGTCGGAGATAGGGCCGGGCATGCCTGCCAACCAGGACACCATCTACGAAGGGGTGAGAGGCCGCGGGGGCACCTTCCACTGGTACCTTTGGGGCCTGGGGAGGGCGGGCTGTGAGTGGCCCCTGCTTGGTGACTGCAGGGCCTTCCCTTTCCTCCTCTGCTCATCCTCTGTCCACCTGTGTTTTGTGAACCCAGATCGAAGGACCCCGAGGCGAGAAGGGTCAAAAGGGAGAACCTGCCATCATCGAACCAGTAAGGCATTTTCTTATCCCCTCTCTGAGGTCACGGGGCTGCAAGACATGTGGGTCGTGCAGGTCAAGGCCTAGCCAGTGGCGCCGTTCATGGACGCTACACACCGTTTGTGGCTGAGGCTTGAGCAAAGGGGCTCAGGTGGGGGAATGTTCCTGGCCATGACGGAGGCGCCCCTGCCTGGGACTCCAGCTGGTCAGACCTCTGTGCTGTGCGCCTGTGGTCTGGGCACCTCGTTGGGCACCTGCTGGGATGAAAGAGCTTGTGTGAAGGAGGGGAGCCCCTCCAGAGGGGTCAGAGGGTTCACAGGGCACCTCAGATCTAGGCTGGGCAGCACCGGGGGTTAACTGTGGACCCAGCCGCTCCCAGGCCTGGCGTGGCCACCGTGTGGGGTACATTGGTGGAAGCCAGCAATGTGTGGCAGGCTGTCCGTAAAGCCATGGCCGGGGAACTTGAGGAACTCACCCTGCTGGGCGCGGCGTCACAGAGAGTAGACACGATGGCTACTGATGGAGTGGGGGGCTCATGGTCGGGGCCCAGGAGCCGCTTCCTGCTGCCATGGGAGCACGGCTGGGAGCACTGAGGTCCACCCCAAGGCCCGAGAACTGCTGAGGTCAGGCCCTGACCAGGCGGCGAGGCTCCACGTGATCGGCGGGCGGGCCGGCAGCTGCCTGTGGTGGTGAGGCAGTGCGCGCCGGGCGGTGGCTGTGGACATGACAGCGGGGAGGGCCTGGCCGAGGCCCACCCTGCCACGTTGTTCAAGTGCCGGAGGGAGGAGGCCAGTGGCCTGCCCCGAGGCCGGTCACAAGGCGGAGCTGGGCTGAGGGTGGTTCCTGGTGTTGCAGCCTGGGACAGGACATTGTAGATCCCAGGACGTTAGGCCCCTGGATTCCTGGGATGGGGAATTTTGTGGCCTCCATCCTCCCATGGTCCTGGGAAGGTGCTTTTAAAGCCTTGACCTTGGTCTCCCCCAGAGAGACCTGAAGCCCCATGGCCAGGGCAGACGGGACGTGGCCCATCTCTGGGGTGGAACACCCAGCGGGCAGAGTTTCAGCAGCGCCCTTGCGGCTTGGCTCTATGCCTGGCCTTACAAGCATCCGGATGATGGTGAAGGCAGCCCGTGCGGCTCTGTTTTCCCTCTGGGACTGTCCAGGGGTGGGATCCATCAGCCCCACGGGGCTGTGGCCTCTGGACACACGTCCTTTCTCAGGCTGAGAACATCCCCTTCCAGTGCTCTCTGCGGGTCTGAGGAAGATGGCTTATCTGAGGGTAATGTGGGTGCAGGAGAAGGGTGAGCTGGGGGAAGCACGGTGCAGCCAGCAGCTGGGGAGGGGGTGCCCCAGAAGGACAGTGAGTGTGCCGCAGCTGCTATAGGGTGCCCTGGCCAGAGGTGAGCTCTCGCTGGCCTGAGCCTGGCTGGTCTCACTAACCACACGCACATTTCCCCAGATATCCTAGTCCCCAGATGGACCTGCTCTTGACTCAGGGTGCCTTTTATGGGGTCCAGCACAGACAGCGTGTCTACACAAAGTCTGCCTCGTGTCATGAGGGAAACTGAGGCATCTGGACGCAGCTCGGGGAGGGCTCCCTCCTCTGGCCCTGGCGTTCAGCACTGCCCCGCCCCAGCCCATTCTGCTTGTCTGCCAACCCCTTGCTGGGCCCCTGGGGACACTGTGTAAATAGTTGGAATCTCTCAACCCAGAGATGCCCTCAAAGTCTTAGCTCCATAAACAGATGGCCGAGGCCTGGGAGCCGGCTGGTGTGGGCCTCGCAGCAGACTACTGACCACAGAGGGTGGGGTGGCCGCTGCTCTGTCTGTCCCCACCCCGCTCCAGCACCTGCCCTCTGGGAAGAGGGGCTCGTCATGTCAGTGGAGCCCTCGGAAACCAGCTCTTTCTTGCCCTCCGAGCCGCACCTCCTGTCATTCAGCAGCCGGTCAGCAGCTCCTGGAAAGGGCAGCCGCCCTTTCAATTGAGGGGATTTGGGTTTGTGGGTGTCCTGGGACCCCAGGAACTAATCCTCAGACTCAGTGTCTTGTGTCCCCTGGTGAACATCCCGGGCGGCACACGGATCACCGGCTCTCTTCTCCCCTGGGGTTTGATAGAAAGACTTTTGTGCGTGCTTTGAGGGGCGGAGGCACCTGCATTGAGAGCTGTTTTCAGCTGGGCCACGACTACCCTCCCTGCTGAATTCGGGGAAGGTGTCTGCACCCTGGTGGTGGTGGGGTGTGTGTGTGGACTGGCCTAGCACCCCAGAGAGGGCCACCGCTCTCCCTCGTCAGCTGAGCCTTTCTCCCTGCACTGAGCCCTTTTGTCCTGGTGTCTGGCTTCCTTCCCTGGCCTCCATGGACACCTCTGGTCCAGCTTCCATGGAGATCTGTGGCCAATGTTGCCCCAGCTCCCCGAGAACCATGCCAGCATGTCTGGGAAGACATGGCAGGCCCTGGGGCCCGCCGAGGCCAGAGATTGATCCCAGCTCCATGGCCAAGCCTCCCCAGCTGCCTTTGTCAGAGGAGGCAATTTGAAAGCTGTTTGGAGGAGCTGTCTGTGTGCATCCTGAGCACACGTAGTCCTCTGAGTACACATCTGTGTAAACACGCCTTCGTGGTGGCAGGGAGCCCTGGAGGGGAGGCTGGGGGGTCGCAGGGCCCCGCGGCCTGGTGCCCCTCTCCCGTGCGGGTCTTTGAGCTTCGGCTGGGTGTGCACCTGTCCCCCTTGGGAGGCTGTCCCACATGTCTCAAGAGCACTGTCCACTGTGGAAGGACTGTCTGAGCACAGCAGCTCACACCATCCCTAGAGGGAAGCAATCTATGTTTCCTCTGCTCTGGGGGAAGTGGGGGCAGGAGGCCCCCGTCCTTGGCCATAAGTGTGGCTGAAGCTAGGCCAGGCAGATCCTAGCTGGTCCCAGGATGCCCAGCTCCCTCTGCTGCTGCCTTCTCAGCAAGCAAAGCCCTGCAGGGGGCAGGAGACCCCTGCCCTCCCGCACGGTGGTACATTGTCTCAGAGCCCCCTCAAGTGGGTGTGAGACACAGAGGACATTGGAGGTGCCTGGCCCTGGTATCCACTGGGCAGGAGGGAAGGGAGTCCTGCCCTGGGAAGGGGCTGGAAGTGGGGGCACCCCAGTCAGGGAGCCCTGTCTGCTGACCCCTCTGCTACCCACATGGCCTCTCTGGGGTCCAGGCTGATGGGGTGGGGGGCAGGAGGCCTTGTCCCCACTTGGGGGTGAAGACCGTAAGGGTGGGGGGGGGCAGCGGCAGGGAGAGGGGCTTGAGAGGGAGGGCGGCCGAGGGTCCCGTGGACTTGGCAGTCCTTATGCTCTGGGCTGCTGGTGGGCATGCATCCTGACTGTGGTCCTCCTGGAGTCATTCTTTGCAGCCACTATGGGGTGAGCTGACCTCTCATGGGGTCATCCTCACCAGCAGGGTCTGCTGGGATCTCAGGAGCCATGGGCCCTGGGGTCTCAGACACCATCTCCTGTCTTTTCCAGGGCATGCTCATGGAGGGGCCGCCTGGCCCTGAAGGTCCTGCAGTGAGTGTTGTGCTTAGTTCCCCAGGCCTGTGGGAGGTGCTGGGGGTGGTGGGGAATCAGTGACACCCCTTAAAGGGCCTCGATGGAAAAGAGGGGGTGCTCACTGCCCTTTGCAGGCCCCCCGGGGCCCAGCACCATCTGGGCCCACCTCCATCCTTCCAGAATCAAGGTGGGATGGGGTGTTGCCCTATGGCTGTATCTTTGAATTCTGTCCTGACTTTGTTTTTAATTCCAGGGTCTCCCAGGACCTCCAGGAACGATGGGCCCCACTGGCCAAGTGGGTGACCCTGGAGAAAGGGTAAGGGGTGACTCTGCTTGCTGGGATCACCTGCTCCATGGGCTTGTCTGTGGGTCTTCCACTTTGTGGCTGCCATGCTTAAATGTGCAGAGGCAGCCGGTGTGTCAGTGTCCATCTCCACCCTGCCCCTGGCCTGTCAACCTCTCACACCACCCCCCCTTCCTATGTCTGTGTCTATGGATGTTTAGGGAGCTTGACTACTTCCTGGCCCTGTGCCTGGGACAGGTGACACCTGCAAGGGCAGACCCGGCCGGCCCGAGTCCCACGGAGGCTGTTGTGGTCGGCTCAAGGAGGGCCCTGCGGCCCGCGTTAGCATAACGGAATTGACAGTGCTGTGAGGGTCATGTGGGTTTAGGATCTGCATTGACCCTTCCTTCCTCAGTATGTGAGCTTCATGGGACTTGATTTCCCCTCATTCTGTCTTCCTTGTTGGAAATCAAGCAACAGTATGGGAGAGCTTGCTCTGGGTCAAAGGGACCCATCCCGGGGATCCCCCTGGTCATAATGACCTGTCCTGGGGTCACCCCTGGTCAAAGAGATGCATCCTGAGGTCCCCAGATCAAAGGGATATGTCCCCCAGTCAAAAGGACCCCTCATGCCTCCCCCCTGACCATCAGAGAGACTTGTTCTGGGTTTCCTGGTCAAAGGGATACATCCTAAGGTCACCCAAAGGGACGTGTCCCCAAGTTAAAGGAACTCATCCTGGGGCCTCCTGGTTAAAGGGACCTGTCTGGGTTCTCCCGGTCAAAGGGACCTGTCCCTGAGTCAAAGGGACCTGTTTGGGCACCCCATGGTCAAAGAGACATGTTCCCAGGTCAGAGGGACCCGTCCTGCGCCCCCTTGGTCATAAGGACACGTCCCCGGGTCCCAATGGTCCTGGTTGCTGTGGAGCCATGAGGGCTGAGCCCACAATTTCAGTGTGACACCCCGTGGAGCTCTAGGGTACTGCAGCCTCAGGGGCTCTTGGCCAGCGTGGCTTGTGTTTTGTGTCGGTTTTTCCTGCCGGTCTGACGAGTATGGATGTGAGCACAGTCAGATCCAAAGCTAGTAGCAGATGACTAAGCAGCGGACAGGAGAGACCAGGGGCATGTGTGTGTGTGTCCTAGGGGACGTTCATCCCCAGGGCTGGGCACATGGCCCGGAGAGCATGGCCTTAAGGGTGTGGGTGGGTCAGTGGCTGGGTCAGTGGTCAAGTCTGTGGCTGGGTCTGGTCTGTGGGGAGGTGGCTGGGGTCTGCTCCCAAGGCAGCCTGGCGGGCAGCCAGGCTCTGGGGCTCCAGAGTGGTGCTGGAGCCAGGGGGCGGGGTGCCCCATCCTGCGTGCAGGTGAGCACTGAGTGCACCTTCCAGATGGCGTCGATGAGGGTCAGCAGCAGGTTAGCGCTGCAGGAGGTGGTGGCGCTCCTCCGTGTGGCCGGTGACCTCTGGGGAGCAACATTCCCGGCTATGCTGATTATCTATAGCTGGTGGCTCTAGGGGCACACAGAAGGTGGGTCTTTCTCCGTGGTGGAGTCGGGGGGACCGGGATGGCCTTCCCACACCTCCCGGCCCCTCCCCTCTGCCTCATGGCCCCAACTGCAGACATGGGGGCCGCTGCTCCACCCCAGCTCCAGGACCAGACAGCTTGGGTTCTGCAGTCTGTGCCCCAGCTTGCTCTGGACACCATGTCCCCAAAGGTCTGTGTGAGTGGGGGCGACGGCAAGAGGCATCACGGTACCTCGGGACCCCCGTTGAGCATGACTGAGTCCAGTTGTCAGCAAGGGAGGAGCACATGGTATGGTCCCAGAGGGGCAGGAGGAGATGCTGTCCATGGTGTGCATGACATGGTCAGTTGGCCTCTGTGTCGCTGCAAGTGTCCATCCCTCCGCCCACCATCCAGCGATCACACAGTGCTGGGCATGGTCTAGTGCCAAGGACTGTCCACTGTCCAGCGGTCACATGATGCCAGCCATGGTCTAGCACCAAGGATGCACTCTTCCCCACTTGGTCCCTGCCTTTGGGCTGAGCCTGGACAGGGCCAGTGGTGGGTAGCCAGCTGGGGCTTTGTGTACCCCAGACCCCTGACAGCGGAATATCATTGTTTTAAGCAATTGGTATCTCTTAGGTTCAAGCCCAGATCCAGGAGCCTGGGGACTGAGCATGGGGTCAGCAGAGAGACCCATTCCTCTAATGTGTGCTGTCCCAGGGGTTGGAGGGAAACCTACAGCCCACTGGCTGTCCCAGCACCTTTCCAGGTGGAGGTGGGAGCTGGTTTAGGAGCTGAGCACTGCCCACCGCTCCAGGCCCTGCTTAAGCCATCCTTGTCGGGGGAGCTATCCCTGCTCACAGCTCAGCCTCCTCCCAATGCCCAGCTTTCCCAGATGTCTGCTATTTAGCTGGCAAGGGACCCCAGCTGCACAGTCAGGATTCTACACTGACACCACTAGTAGGGACCTCAGAATCCCTTTGGGGGAAGTGGAAAACTTCTCCATCTTCTTACGTTTTGTGATTGGGGAGTGCAAATTAAACTGACCAAAGACCGTGTTGATAGAAGAAAAGGCACATGCTTGTATTACTATTTTAAGTTTCACACATACACGGAGCATCCCAGAAAGGCAGTGCGAACTCAGAGAAGCAGCCTGACCTGAGTGCTCAGGTTCCGTTTCAACCGAGGGTGACCCATGGGGGAGCAGCGACTAGCAAAATACGGGGTGACCAAGGGAAGGGAAAGGTCATTTTGGTAAGGTCTGCTTACGTAGACTTCTGTCCGTGCTGGCTCCCAGTCCCCAGTGGTGGGGTTTCTCCTCCCTGTCCTGGTGCAGAGGACAGTGGGGATACTGGGTGCCATCTTCATGAAGGGAAACGTACGCGCTCTCCTTCTAGGAGGCTGAGGGGGGTGCAGAGGATGTCCATGGATCCTCGGCTGCCTTTGGCTCAGAATAGTCCTTACAGCAGCATGGTGTGTTTTGGGGCAGCACATCCTGATCCCCTCCACCTGCTTGGTTGGGCTCACTTGCTTGTCTGTATGGGAGAGGTCTGGAAGGATCCTGCCCTCCCCCAGCCGGGTTCTACCATCCTGGGATTCTCCAGCCTTTCCTATTACTAATTATCAAGTAGTTCTCTCTCTCTCTCTCTTTTTTTGAAGGTCTATTCATTTATTTTAGAAAGAGAGGGAGGGAGAGAGAGAGAGAACTCTGTTCAGCACAGAGCCAATGCAGGGCTCAATCTCACGACCCCGAGATCAGGACCTGAGCCCAAACTAAGAGTTGGTCACTTAACCAATGAACCACCCAGGCACCCCAATTAGTAATTAGTTCTCATCTAACCTTGACTGGCCGAGCCTGGCTTCCTAACTGGATAGATGGCCGCCAGCTCCCCAAGCCTTGCCCGTGGGTGGTGTCACCGGTGAGAAGGGACCTGAGCCATCACCCCATCCATGCCCCCTTGGTGACAGATGGGCAGGCCCAGCCGTGCAGGCCGAGGGGAGGCAGGGCAGGGCTGGAGCTGGTCTGGCCCCACTCTCCTGGCAGGCGGGTGGGGACACCCCCATTCCTTCCTCAGGGGCTTAGAAGGAAGCCGAGGACAAGAGAGCCGGGTGTCCTGAGGGCACTGGAAGATCCCTTGGGAGAGGAGGCTGAGTGCTCCCCGATTCCAGACATACATCTCCTATCACGATGCTTCATGTCCAGGACGGAGGCCCATTCCTACAGCAGTGCCTCCCTCCATGCAGAATGCGATGCACATCGTAGCCTCGGGGCAGGAGTGGCAAGGGAGGCCCACTCCATCCGTCCCTGGCCGCCTCGTGTGCTCCAGCAGCCCCACAGGGTCTCACTGCCTCCCCACCCCCTGGAAAGCGTGCTTCACAGGTGCCCCTGGCATCCCTGGCACCACCGCTGTGCCACCATGTCCCCTCCTGGCTGGCTGGACTTCCGCCCAGCACCAAGGGAAGGATGCAGGCTAGGCCCCTGCACTATGACAGGCAGAGTCCATTGAGGACCGTGTGAAGCTTGAGCTTCACAGGAGCCATTTCAAGTGCCATTGCCGCAGGTGGCGAGGCAGGTTGGTTTCTTTGCTGTCCCCCTGTCTCCTGGGGATGGGCGTGCGGGTCTGCTCTCCCCTCTCCCTGAGGGCTCCGGGGTGTCAGGACCTCTTATGGGACCACCGTTCAACCCCCAACAGCTGGTTGTTCACATGTACTCCCCCCACCCCCCACCGCAGCCAGGCATCTCTGTGCTTGAGCTCCCAAGGCAGGTCACAGATGGGGTGGGCCTCCCTTGCCGCTGCCGCCCAGCTGGGTAGACGTGCATCCAATTCTGCAGGGAGGGAGACTCTCGTCCCTTGGCATCGCTCTGGTTGTGGTGGAGAGGGTGCCTTCCAGGGCCTTCCCAGCCTGAGCGGGGCTGCAGGCCCAGCATTGTGGCTCCAAAAGAGCAGGGAGGGAGGACACACAGCAGGAGGGTCTTTGGGAGTGGAAGGTGGACAAGGGGCCGCCCCCCGCGTGTCCCAGCTTCCAGTGCCACACGGGTGCACGCAAACCATGAAGACACACAGGGACGGCGTCTGTTCCCTGGGAGACACGGACTATAACACCTGAAGTTGGGGTTTGATTTGGGACCAACTCCCAGGCTTAAGACTCAGCAGCGGGCAGCACCTAGGTTTCCAAGAGGAAAACTTGTTCCCGATGTTTTCTTTTCCATACCTACTTCTCATCTTCTGAGGATTTTTTCCGATATGGCCGAGGCAAGGGCCGTGCCCGTGAGCAGTTCTTTGATACAGAGGTTCTGCTTGCAAGGTTCCCTGAGAAAGCTGTTCACATGCCCCCCACCACAGGACGTGCCCTCAGAGGGCAGGTGGGGGCAAAGACGAGCCCCTCGTGCGTGGGAAACTCTACAGCTGTTAAACAGAATGAGGCCAAGTTCATAATAGGCCGTAGTGTGCAGGGAAGAGAAAGAGCAGATTGCAGGACAGGGTGCTGGGGGGGGGCAGGTTGGAGGGGGTGACCTCCTGGCAAAGGAGAGGCATCCCCCGAGGCCCTTGCCGCGGAGACCTGTGGGTGCGCTCTGTGTCGCCAGCCATCGTGCGTGCTGCCCGCTGTCCCTACAGTGCAGAGCTCCAGCGTTGGGTCCTCCTGCGGGGAGGAGAGGGAGCTTTCCCTTTCCATTTTGTATAAATCGTGTTATACAACAGCTCATGAGAGCAAGGAGTGCGTCTACAGTAAAATAACCAGAGAAGAGAGAAGCAGGTGTTTGTTCAGGCGCGGACTGTTCTGGGATCGTTCCCGGAGAGCCGCAGATTCTCCGTCTTGGCTGGGAACCGGGACCTGATCTGTCTCCCCCGCCTGGAGCATCGCACCGGTGCTGTGGGCGCTCTTGCCGGAGCGCGGCCGAGCTTGGTGCAGAGTGCTGGACCCAACACCATGGCCTGTCGTGGGGTATGGCTCGTGGGGGTCCCTTTCCATCCGGAAGAGGGAGTCAAACCTCCATCTGTGTGCAGAGCAAATCTGCACCCCAGGCTGGTGGGAGTCTGCTGGGATCTATGAAGGAGCCATGCTCATAGAATGTTTCGGGTTTTTTTTTGAAGATAGTGTCATACTCGTTTTACACTTGTAGAGTCCCGCGAGGGCCAGAGTCAGTCCAGAGACTGCAAGGGGTGTCTGCCTGGACCCTGCCTCAGACCAGATTGATGGGGTCTGTGGGGGCCATGGTGTCATCTCCATGCACATGGGCTCTTGAACTTGCTCGAGAGGGGTGTGTATCCTGTGCACATTCCTCGCGTCTGTCCAGCAAGCGGACGCTTAGACCGCCTCCTGTCCAAGTGACCACATGCAGCGTCGGTGGGGGCTGGGTCACAAAGGGCACCTCACTGGCAGGTGGAGGACATGGGCCTTGGGGGCCAGGGGGCGGCCTCACCTGCTGGCATGCAGGCCTGAAGGACACATTCCTGGATGGTAGAGGCCCTGGCTTGGTCTGCTACACAAGTCCTGGAGTCACCTCTGTCCCTGCAGTCCCCGGATTGCAGTCTCCCTCCTCTCTGCTCCTGCAGATCCCTCTGGGTCCAGCTAAGAGCCCATTTGTCCTCATCCCTTTCCCCCTAGAAGCCTTTCCTCATCCTCAGCCCATGGCCAGTGCCCCTCCCTTCCCTGCACTTGGCTTCTGGAACATTCCACGCCATGGGGTCTTGCTTTTCTGTGCTTGCCTCCTAACTTTCCTCGTGGGCTGCAGCTCTGACCTCCTTGTCTGGACATAGCCCTGGTCCATCCCTGTTGCATTCTCACCCAGCTGCCTTGGGTCCTCTGTCCACAGGGTCCCCCTGGACGCCCAGGCCTTCCTGGGGCTGATGGGCTGCCTGGCCCTCCCGGAACCATGCTCATGCTGCCTGTGAGTATCCTTCATTGTGGGTGTGGGTGGCTGGGGTGGGTGGGCTCAGGGCTCGAGATGTGGTGGAAAGGGGGCCCTGAGCTCTGGGTCCGAGGGGGCCATCCCTTGCCACGGAGTCACTCTGATGTGGGCCAGCCATCTTGTAGAAATAGGCTCCTCTGGAATGGACCCTGGTTGGTTGAGGCCTCCAGCTCTCTGCAGGCGCCCAGGGCTGCCCTGTCTAACAGGCGGGAAGTCTGGCTCTGCAAGGAAGCTGAGTGGCATCTGTACATCTCCACTGCGACCTCCATGTGAGCATGCTACCGGCCAGTCCCACCTTGTGCCTGACCTGCCCTTGACCGTGTGGTGTCATCTCCTTTACTGGGAGCCCAGGTCCAGGAGGGCAAGTGTGTGGCACTTGCTGACACTGGGACATCAGTCTTCTGGCTGGTGACCCGGTGCTGCCCAGGAGGCTGGGCACAGCCTGGGGAGACCCCGTGTGAAGCCAGGACCTTCCTGGCTAGGCCTCCCCGCTGCAGGCATTTGCACTGGGCCCTTGGCTCTTTTTTGCAAGAGCTAGGGGCTGCAGGGTTGCAGAGTGAGGTGCCGCAGAAGCCAGAAAGTTTTTCCCAGACTTGGGGCAGGTGTCCAGGTGGCCCCAGGGCTGAGGCTGGCAGGTGGGGCTAGGGCTGTATGTCCCAGGAGGGGCCCGGCGCCAGATGCTGTCCAACCAGACTCCCCCAAGGCTCTGCTGTCACCTCAGGGGCCCTGGGGTCCAGTGTGGGCACCCTCATCAGTGCCTCCGTTGACCTTCTGACTTAACACCCACAGTTCCGCTTCGGAGGGGGTGGCGATGCCGGCTCCAAAGGTCCCATGGTGTCGGCTCAGGAGTCCCAGGCTCAAGCAATTCTGCAGCAGGCTAGGGTAAGTGGTCCTGCCGCCCTGGTGCCCTGGGGTCCAGGGAGGGGTGTGTGTGCTCACCTCTGGGGGATCAGGATGCTGAGGGGACATGCGCTTGTCTAGCTGGGAACCCAGGCTAGCCTTGGGAAGGGGCAGGGAGGTGTCTCAGGGCTCATCCATGCTGAGGGACCAGGCTCCTGGATATGGATGTGCAGGGGCCACCTGCTGTTCCCCATGGGGCTCCAGGGGTGGAGAGACCTGGAAGTGGCTCGCTGCAGGGAGTGGGGCTGAGTCAGAGCCCCTGGGGCTCCCAAGGAGTGTTTGCTCCCTGACTGCTCCACTCTCTGCAAATCAGCCGAGTAGTGAGCCGAGGTTTTCATGGATAATGCGTCAGATTGGAGACTGCAGATGACAAGAGCAAACCCCAGTTCTGTGGGATGGGTGGTGGGTGATCCTTCCGTGGAGCATTGCCTCTAATGGGGCAACTCAGGACGCTTCTGAATAATTCCTTGTTTGGACAATATTTATGTGGCTCTGGCGCAGCGGAGGTGATGTTAATGATCAGAACGTATGGATAATTACAGGATGGCTTGAGTATTGAGCTGTTGCCATGGAATAAAGCATCCGTGTGATGCAACGCAGTGCCGTGCGTGACGAACCCCATAGCCTGCGGCTGGATTTACTGGCTGGGCCTGCCCGGCTGGCCTTTTAATCTGAGTGCTTTAATTGAAGCCAAATGGATGATGGGCTTACAAGATTTTATAATGCAAACAAATCTTTTCCAAAATGAAAATGGCACCGTGCAGGGGCTGGGGGGTAGGGAACTGAGTGCCAGGAGAACTGAGCAGAGGAGATCCTTCAGGAAGGGGGATTGGGCTGGGCTGGGCTGGGGTACGTGGGAGCTGGGCCCTGGAGCCGGGCCCTGGGTGGGGCAGGACAGGTGGCGGTCAGGGGTGCCCTAGGAAGGTATCCATGTGAGGTCTGCAGGTGATGGTGAGCTCCAACAGCTCGCTGTTCCGGGACTTACTTTTTTTACCCACGGAGGGCCCCCAGAACTTTCCCCCACTGCTGGAGGGTGCCGGACGTGTCTCTGGGGTGGGGGGAAGTGTGGTGCTGATGTTGAACATGAGTGCACAAGGGTGTGGGTGCTGGCTGGGGAGGAAGGAAGAGGTCGGCACCCAGGGGGTGGAGTGATGGTCCCCACAGGGGGGACCCCACCCCCGGGTTCTACCCCCACCTCTCCCTCAGCCTTGGTCCTGGGTTTCTGGAGCTCCATCCACCCCCCTCCTGCAGACGCCCCCGTTGGGCCTTCCCTGCCCGGCGGAGGCTCCCCTGCTAGCACCAGCTGTTTCTCAGCCTGCCCCGTTTTCTCTTGCAGCTGGCACTGCGGGGGCCGGCTGGCCCAATGGGTCTTACGGGGAGACCGGGCCCCATGGTGAGTCCTTGGTGGGAAAGAGTGGGGGAGTCTGGTGAGGGCTGGGGCATCCTTTGAGCTCCCAGCTCATCCAGAGAGGGCACACTTCAAGCTCCTATCAAGCACTGATTCTATCAGTGGCACCCCAGTAGACACTGGGGCCCCGGGTATGGGTGGGGTGGGAGGCTGTGGTGGCCGGGGTGCTGGGAAGCCTACCACACCTGCTCTGGCTGTGACCTAGGGAGCCCCAAGCCTTTCTTTCTGACTGTCTTCATCCTTTACAATCATGTTTCCAAAGTTGGGAGTACTTTGGGGGCAGATCTGGGATTCCTTGCGCCGCCCCCTCCCCAGCTGCACAAGCTGTGTGGTGTGTGTGTGCCCAGGCACACTCAGGGTTGGCAGACGAGGTCCCTAGGGAGTGCGGGTGGCCTTTGCAGTTTGCAGGGAGATGGAGGATTTAAACGTGCCCCCCCACCCCGGTTCCCTGGGGTGGACTTGGCTCTCTGCCCTTCCCTGTCTGTGGTGGCTCAGGGCTGCTCCTGCCCCATCATGGCCTGGCGATGCCCACGCATGGCCCTGAGCTGGGGGCTGTGATGGACCCCAGTCATTGTTCTAGAGATAGACAAATGCTTGTGAGGGCTTCGTGGTCCTCATACCATATGCTCCACTGACCATTTTGTTTAAAACCAAGAACACATCTGCGTAACTGGGCAGTTAACTGCTCATCCCTCGGGCTCTGTCCAGGGCAGGCAGGCTGGGCTCCGGGGGCTGAGAGCTCTGTGGGTTCTCAGCGGGAGCCCTGCCCCATGGAGCGACCCCCCCCCCCTGGGGTCTGTGTGATGTGCATTCCTTAACCCAGACCCTGTCTCCCTAGGGCCCTCCGGGCAGTGGAGGTCTGAAGGGAGAGCCGGGAGACATGGGGCCTCAGGTATGTAGGCACCTGCCCTTGCTGCTTGGAGGGGCCCTCCTGGGCACCAGAGGTGGTGGCCACCAGAATGGGGGACACAGCGCTGCATTTTCTCAAGGAAGCCGGTGGGAACTGTCATGGTTTTGTGCAGCATGTGCTGCATGTGGGCGTGCGGCAGAAATAGCTGCGGGGAACAGGCTGGCTGTGCCTTGTTGGGCCCTCACTTGGGCAGCAGGTCCTGTGCCCTGCCCGGAGCTGCTTGTGAGCCGCCTCTGCCGGCTTGCTGAGCATGGGACCAGGCTTTGCTCTTTCCTCTGAGGAACATGGACGCAGCCTGACCCTGTGCTATCTCTGATTCCTGACAGGGTCCCCGAGGTGTGCAGGGCCCGCCTGGCCCCGCCGGAAAGCCTGGAAGAAGGGTGAGTTTAGTGGCTCGGGGACAGCAGCCGGGTCACGCTGGGGGGTGGGGGTGTGTGGCGGGTCTGCTGGTGCCTCCGGTGCCAGGCCTGAGGCCTAAAGCCTGGATTCTCCACTCTCCTCTGAGGGCAGCTATTTTCAAGGCCCAACACCCTTCCCCAGGATGGGAGCTACACCACAGGTGCTCTGCATGCTGGGGCTGGTAACAGCTTGCCCGCCTCTGCTGCTCTGGCCTCTGGCCTCCATCCTGAGCACCTTAATTTTATTTATCAAACATTTTCATGGAGGCAAGTTCCTGGGCCCTTTGGGGGCAAGTATGGAGAAGACAGAGTGATGGGTGGACCTTATTTCCATGGGGTGGCCTCGTTTCCCCAGAAATGGCCTTGGTCTGGGGGGAAAATGGCCCAGTGGATATATGGACCCCTGACGACTTTGGTAGGCAGTGGATCTACTGAATGGAACTAGTTTGTTTCCATGTGACTGTGGCTGCTGAACAGGGTGTGCATTTACAGGTTAGTATGAATTAATGATCCCCATCCAGAGCAGCCAGGGAGAATCTGATGGGCTCATGTCATGCTCTGCTGAGTGGGTCTTTCCAGCCAGAGGAGGCTTCTAGGGGGAAGAGAGGGCTTATTCCCAGGGTGTCCTTGTCCGGCTGTCCCCTGGGGCTGCCCATGCCCCTTTGCTTGGACAGTGTGCAGGTGGACAGGGCTCCTTGGGGGGGGGGGCGGGCTGACAGTAGTCGTGAGCCAGAGTGATGGGGGCATGGTGCTCGTGTGGCTGTCAGGACATGGGTTCCGATGCGTGGGGGATGCAGGCCCCAGGCAGAGTCGGACCCACATCTCCACACGGCCTGCTGATGCCAGATTTGGTGACTCTTGGGTGACAGCCAGGGGTTCATCTTGGATCCGATTCCAGAAAAGGTTTTATTTCATTAAAGATTTCTGTGAGTCTCTGTAAGTGCTTTGTGTCCTGTGTCCCCTGGGGATGGTTCCTGGGCAGACAGGAGGGTGACAGAGAGACGGAGGGGCAGGGAAGGCAGAGAGCCGGTCCTCCCACAGCTGGCAGGGTTCCTCGGCCCGGGGTGAGAGCACCCTGTCTGCAGGAGGAGAGGTGGCAGGAAGCCGGAGGGGCTGCACTGGCCTGGCTGCTTCTCTGGCCGGAGCCCTGGCTGTGACCGTGGGAGCAGCCGCGTGTCCTGCCAGGAAGCCTCCTTTGGTTTCTGAGTGTGTGCATACCTGTGGCGCCCCGCGCCCGCCCTCATTGGTCCCCCCCCCCCGCCCCGTTCCCCTGGCTTGGCTTCTGCGTTTTGCCCTGGAGCTGCGTTGCCTGGGCACCTTTCCTGAGGTGACGTTTCATCCCTGGCAGCTCCACATAACCTTTAACCCCGAGGAAGACAGACCATCTTCTTGTGGTCACCCTGGTCCCTGGCTTCTTTCCTTCTCTGCTGCTGCCCTGTTGCCCCCATTTTCCAAACTTTCTCTGTGCTTGGTGGTGAGTGGCCCAGTGACAGCCTCGTTTGACCAGGGGCTCACGGGACACGGGGAGGAGAGCGGGTGTTGATCTGGCTCAGCCCTTCACACTCGGCTAGCTGACATTGCTCGTTAGTGAGTTGGCACCTGGCTGAGTCCCTGGCCCTGGCCAGGTGGCCTCAAACCTGGCGGGGCTCTCCTGGGGTGATCCTGGGGCCTGCCCTTCATCCTTGTGGCCGGCCGGGTGGAGCCCGTGGGCTTGTCCCTGGCAGTTTGCTGGAAATACCCGGAGGTCCCAGGAGCAGCCTCCATGGATGCAGCATCTTGCTCACAGTGGGCAGCTGTGTGGCTTTCATGAGACAAGCCACCACCGTGGGGCCCAGTTTCTTTCGTAGTCGCTTGGACTAATCCTAGGTGCTTGCTTTCTGAGACTCTCCAGCCAGCAGTCTGGCTTCTGGATGGAGGAAGGGAAGTGGGCTGCGTATTGCGGCTGAGGCATGATCTCTCGAGAGCCACAGACCCCCAGACTCCCAGGCCCGTGGGCGGATGGACAGCGTTGCCTGGCTGCCCTCCTGCCACATGGTCTTACCCCCAAACACAGAGAGGCAGGTAGTATTACCTCTATCTGGCACTTCAGATGGCAAGGCCCAGGAGGACTGGAACCACATCAAGAGGCGTGGAGCAGTTCCAGACCCCAGGCCTGGGTCCTCCCGGCCAGCCTGGCCACATGGGGCTATGTGGCTCAGCTTAGCCTCACCGGAAGCCACCACTCGCCAGTCCCCATGACAGCTTGCCTCCTGTGTTCCAGGGCCGAGCTGGGAGTGACGGAGCCAGAGGGATGCCCGGACAAACTGGCCCCAAGGTAGGCTACACTCACCACCTCCCTGTGTTCTGGGACCATGGCCGCCATCACTGTTGTCATGCTGGTGACGTGGCCAACGTGTTGGTTACACGGTGGATGTAATTTTGGTCACAAGTAATGACTAATGACATTCATGCTCACCTGGGGAGGGGACCTGGGGGGTGAGGAAGGCTCTGCATGGATCCGTCTTTCTGATGTGTTGGCATGAGGATGGACGGGGCTGGTGGGGTGAGTGTCACAAGCAGGTGTGACAGCTGCAGCTGGTTTGCTCAGGGGGCAAATTTGCTCCTTTCAAGAGAGTGGTGAATGTAGGGGGGCAGGGGGCATCCCAGTTATGGAAACCATTCATTCATGGACAAGCAACAGGATCCCACATGGGGGTCAACACAGGAATGCCAAGTGCGCAGGGCAGGGGGCCTTCTTGTCCAGTTTTGGGATGTCTGCCCCTCATTGCAGGGAGCGAGTAGACACTGCATATGGGTCACTGCAGGGCTCATATCTTGGCTCTGGGAGAGCTGTCCTGGGCAGTGTGTGGTGCCAGAGGAAAGGCTTACTTCTCCAGGGAGCACACCATGCTGTGGATGGTCATCTGGACTGGGTGGAGATGGGTTACCAGCCCTGCTGGGTGTCCGAGACACCTGTTCATGCTGTAACTGGTGCGGACGAGCTCAGATGCTCCCTGTGCATCCTGAGCTCACATGAGGCTCTGGTCTCACGTCCCCGGGGCGGCAGGATGGAAGAAAGGCTTCTTGGGTCACTCCCAGTAGACCATGGTCTTCTTCCAACCGACCTGAACTAGCCTGTGCTCAGCCTCACCCCACATGGTTTTGCGATGGCCATGAGACAGGGCAGGGTGGCCAGGGAGCCAGTGTCCCTGAGGGCCAGTGCCGGCCCATCTGCTGGGTAGTATGTGCGCTGAGGGTGTAGTGGCAAACAGGACAGGCACACATGGAGGTGCTGCCGTGGTCACTTGGCCAGCAAGACTCAGAGTCTGTGGCCCAAGGACAAAAGTCACCTCTGTGTTTCTGGCCTTTGTTGGTGTTTGTGGGGAAAAGAGCCTGGGAACCTGGATCCAAGGCAGTGGAACACATGGTGTGTGGAAGCCGGTGGTCACCACATGTGAAGTTCCTGGGGCCCGGGGTGCACTGACACTGCCTGAGCCGTGGCCGAGGGAGAGCAGCTGAGTCGTGTGCGTGGCATGGTCTCTGAGCAGCCTCTCTGTCCCCCTTGCAGGGTGACCGTGGCTTCGATGGCCTGGCTGGACTGCCGGGAGAGAAGGGCCACCGGGTAAGTGTCCTGTCGGAGTGTCCCTGGCACAGAGGTCCCGGTGGAGTCCACACAGTGGATGTTATTTCTTGGGAGGCCCTTCCAGACAGCTGGGGCTGGGTGCCCTCTGGTCTGGGGGGGGGGGGGGGTCACTAAGGAGACTCCGGGTGGGAGAGTGGAAACCAGTGCTGACATGATGCCTTTGTTGGTGGGGGGTCAGCCCAGAGGAAGCTTGTTTCTTCTCTGTGGCTTCTGATGGAAGAGCCCGGCAGGCCTGGCACCCTGGTGGTGCTGATGGGCGAGGGGGGAGCCTTCCTCAGAGACGCCCGCTGCCTGATAAACGGGGCCTGTCATGCCCTCGGTGAAGCGATTTCCAAGCTGCCAAGGACCCTTTGCAGCATCAGTGGTGACTTGGGGCAGCTGGGCATGACCCACGTGGTGCAGTGACAAGGGTGGGCCACGTGCTGTGGCTGGCAGCCCCGGTCTCTCCATGTGATGGCCCCGTGCTGCTCATCGGACATTTTCTCCCTTCCCTGCCCTGTGAGAAGCAGACCATGTCTCTTCTGTACTTCAGCACGTAGTGGACACATGTGCATGTGTGTACACGCATGCACACACACGTTTGTTGGCTGTGTCAGGGGGTTTAGCCATCACGTCCCATGGGGCGTTGAGAGAGGGCTGCAGTAATGTACCAAAGCTGCGTTGTCCACAGTATCCAACCATGACATGGAGACTGGACACAGACAGCCACCACGTTGGGGCCAGTGGGATCCACAGATGTGCATTCATTGAGCACCAGCTGTGTCTGAGGCCTGAAGTGGCCTTGGGCGGGAGGTGGGCTGGCGCTAACCCTTAGGACACTGGCTGTCCAGGATGGTAGCTCTTTCTTGGGGGATCCAGTGGGCTGGGGGTCTTCTTGCTTCCCATAGAGAAGCGGACAAGGGTTGCTCAGGCCCCGCTGCCATGTCCTGAGGTCCCAGGGTGCCCCACGTCCGTGGATCTGCCTGGCCCTACTAGAGCCAGTCAAGCAAACCGGCCTCCCCACACCAGTCTCCCAAATGGCCTCCTGTGGCCCCAGAGTCTCCATGGGCTCAGGATCTCCAGTGTCAGAATCACAGGAAGATGGATGGGCATTTGGGACAGTCATGTGCGGCTGCTCCCGAGTGCTTGACGCTGACCCCTCTTGACTTCTCAGGGTGACCCTGGTCCTTCTGGGCCACCGGGACCTCCAGGAGACGATGGAGAACGGGTATGTACCCTCCTGTCTGCCCCCTCGGGGGGTCTGGGCTAGAAACCACTGGGAAATGCCAGTAGCTATGCGTTTGGCCACCAGGCATGAGGCTAGGGGAGGAGGGGTTGTGGAGGGCATAGCCATGGGATGTGGGGACAGGCCACATGCCACTTCTGAGGATAAAGCAGGTGAAAATTTGTAGCTTGACTGTTGGTCCTGTGCTGCGTGGCGTCCTGGAGCTGCTTTCACTTGCCACTGGTCGCAGAAAGAGGGCCCTTTGGGGAGGCAGGTGCCCAGGTCACCATGAAGGAGGGGTGTCAGGAGAGGTCATGAGCTCAGGGTCTCGGATTGTCTCATGGTCCGGGGGTACGCTGGGGGGTGGCGGAGCCCGGAGATCTGGGGGCTGGGTGGAGAGTCTGGGACAGACCGTCCTTGGTCTGGAGGCCGGTTGGGCAGCTGGCTGGGTGTGTGCAGCGGGAACGATGCTGTGCCTGAGTTTGGACCACGCCTGGAGCTGGGCCTCCCCCGGGGGCTCTGCAGAGTCCCCATGTCTGTCAGGTGTGTCTTCCTGGGGCTGCAGGCTCAGTGTCAGACCAAAGCACAGTTATCCTGAGGCAGAGGAGCTTGGGGGTGGTTAAGTCCCCCATACACCCCAGTCACTTACACTGTGTCCCAGGTATTAGGGGTGTTTTAGGGAAAAGGTTTGAAGCCCTGTGAATAAGAGGAGCAGGTGAGGCATGGGAAGGCCAGGCCCTGGTGGCCACCAGCTCTCAGACTGGTCTTGTCAGGGCACCTTCTCCTATCTGGGCCCCCACGCAGCTCACTGCACTATGAGAAAGGAGGGGAGGGCCCTTCTGGGTATCTGCACCTCTCGAATCAGGAGGTGTGTGCGTGTGTGTGTGTGTGTGTGTGTGTGTGTGTGTGTATACATAACATATGTGCTTGTGTGTGAGTGTGCAGGGTACTTATGACTGCATGTGCATGCACAGTATCCACCCGTGCAGGCCTGGCTGTGTGTACGCATTCGTGTGTGTGTGTGTGTGTGTGTGTGTGTGTGTGTGTGTGTGTGGTGAAGAGAAGGGAGCAGTGTGTTGATCGAGAGCAGCAGAGTGCTGACAAGCAGCTCCTGACCTGGGACCAGTGGAGCCTCAGCAGCATTTCCTTCTCCAGCCAGAAGGAAAAGACTCATCTTGGTTCCTCCCCCAGCTGTGTTTAGGGCCCTGGCAGAGAGGTTAGGGTACCTTGGGGTTGGCCCAGGGGATCTGGTGACCGTCTCTCACTCCTTCCCACCTCAGCTCTGTCACTTGTGTTCCAGTCTGTCATTTACCCCTCTTCTCTCCCCCCTCCCTCCCTCTCTCCCTTCCCCCCTCTTCCTCCCTTGGCCCTTCCCCCTCCTTCCCTAACACCTGTCATCTCCCCCCTCCCTCCTTCCGCGTCTCTCCCCCTCCCTCCCTCCTTCCCTATCACCTGTCATCTCCTCTCTCTCCCCCTCCCTCCTCCCCACCACCCTGTCCTATTTTCTATCTCTTTCTAGCTTTCATCCCTCCATCATTCACTCCTGTCCTTCCCCATCAGGGTAACCAAATCTTTGCTCCCGTGATTCCTCCCGTGCAGCTTTTTCCTCATTGGAGCTGTGGTTTGTACCATCCTGAGCAGAGTGTCCCAGGGCCCCAGATCCCACCTTTTCCCTGCAGCTTTCTGGGAGTGAGGACATTCAGGCCTTCCCAGCAGGTCCCAGGGCTGGTAAATCTGGCATAGGCTGAAGTGGCCCCGGGACAAAGCATCCTTCTGCACAGCCTCAGGGAACATTGTCTCTCTGTCTGGGCTTCTAGAACTTGTCCCTAAAATCCTGCCTCTTTTCTCCCCAACAGGGTGATGATGGAGAAGTTGGGCCCAGAGGACTGCCTGGGGAACCTGTAAGTCTTGATTGGGTTCTGTCTCAGCATGGAGATGGGCTACCTGAGGAAGCCAGGCAGGGCAGAAGCAGGGACTGACCCAGAGTGTAGATTAGAGGGGGGTCAGCCTTGGGACAGACACATCTGGGAGATTCTCAAGGAAGGAAAAAGAGCACATTGGAAAGGCTAGTAGGGCAGATATGACCTTCCACAGAGGAAGAAGCTGAGACTGGAAGGGGTGTGATTGGGACTCCAGGCTGCAGGCATGGTGGGTGTCCAGGGCTATCATGGTGGGTGTCCGGGGTCATCATGGTGGAAGTCTGGGGTCATCATGGTGGGAGTCCAGAGCCATCATGGTAAGTGTTCAGGGTCATCATGGGGGGTGTCCAGGGTCATCATGGGAGGTGTCTAGGGTCATCATGGTGGGAGGCCAGGGCCATCACAAGGGGAGTCAGCGCCACCGTGGTGGGTATCCGGGGCCATCATGGTGGTGTCCAGGCTGCAGGCATGGTAGACACCCAGAGCACACCAGGCACATGTCCAGGGGCAATTGCAGGGACTGATCAGACAGTTTGCCATCCCTTCTCGTGTCTACACCTCCCAGAAATGGAGCCTTCCTTCAGGGTGGCCCTGCCATGGCATCAAACTGCTTTTTTCCCCAAGCTGACCTCTACCCAAGTAGAGGGTCACCTTCATTGGTGACAAAGAACACCATGGTTACTTTTCGAATGTCTCATTTTTGTTGTCCACGTCGCTGTGGCCTTTTGCATCTAGTGATGTTAATCGAGGACACGTACTGTGAACATGGCACAGAGAGAGAGCCCAGGGTTGTGCTCACACGTTTACTGGGGACTAAATTATACCCTGGATGACTGATGAGCCGCTAAGGAGAATCCATTACGCAGTCCTCTCCCTAACATGCACCTAAGCGATACCTCTGGGTTATTAACTCCTAGAAAGCATTTACAGGGCCAGGTATTTAAATAATGAAGGGAACAGTTCCATGGTAATGAGCAGGGGAAGATTCTTCTTCCATGGCCTCTGAAGAGCGTCCATCAACATTAAGGGTGCTCATGCCTTGGTTAAGGGGTGGGTGATCCCCCAGCAGGTGAGGCGGGTGTGAGTGGTTCATGATGGGGCTCCTGCATGTGGTGAGCAATGACTCTGCTATGTCACCTTTTAAATCTCCTGATCTGTGCTGGAGTCGGCACTGCCTTGAGGCTGTGTCCTCGGCCTGCTCATGGGGCTGTCCCTCCATGTACCCCTTGCCACAGGAGAGGGAGAGGCTGAGCTCTGGGCTCTTGTATCCCAGAGAAAACCTGAGCCCTGTGCTTAGTCTCTGTATTTGGTCACCATGTCCCCATCAGTGTGTCCTCCCTCCACCTTCTGGTGTCAGACATGCAGCCGCATGGAGGGATGTGAGAGGGAGCAGTAACGAGACAGGGACAAAAGTGTGCCATGCAGCAGAGCGTCTTTGTGGCCTCTGAGGGGAGAGCTTTTGTGTGCACCTGCCCTGAGCAAGGGTGAAAGAGCCCCCTTGACTTGAAAGGCTCCCCTTGCTCTGAGGGTGCCCTTCAATCTCCTGTCTGAGCCACTGGTTAATTCTGGGCTCCTGCCTCTGCTTCCCAGAGCCCAGGTGGAGACTGAGGTGGGGTGAGGAAGTGAGGCAGGTGAGGACGGTGTGCTGGCCACGCCTCCCAGGGAGATGTGGACACCTGTGTGGCGACAGAGGCTCTGGGAGGAATGGGGCTGCAGGATTTGCCACGAGGCAGGGCCAGAGTGGGGATTCTTGACCAAGTGTGAACAGTCCTTGCTCTTTCCTCTTGCAGGGACCGCGTGGTCTGTTGGGGCCAAAGGGGCCCCCAGGCCCTCCTGGACCTCCGGTAAGGCGTGTCACCTTGTACACTTGCCCAGGGCTAGTTGAGGGGGGGCTCTGATGCTCCCAGGTCGAGGAAGCCCCCCTGCAGGTGTAGCCTCAAGCATGGAGACAGAGGCCTGCTGGCTGTAGGGCTCTCTGCTTTCTCATGCGGCACATGCCATTACAAACAGGCCCCAGATGCCTCGTGTCCCCCTTTGGAGACCTTGCAGCAGCTCCTGTGAAAGATCTGTTGGGAGGCAGCGTGTGGTCCTGGCGGGGCTCTGCCCTGGTGGGTGGCTTCCCTTGGCCTGCCCTGCCTGATGCTGGGGCCTGGCAGCTCCACTGACCCCAGGCCCATCAACCCTTGCCCCTCCCCAGAGGGTGTGTTATCCCCAGACACGTGGCCAGGACGCCAAGCCGGGTCGCATGGGGTTCTCCCTGTGAGCGTCACGAATTCTTTAGCATTCTGTCTTGTTTTTTGCTTTTCTTTCAATCTCATCCAGGGTGTAACGGGTATGGACGGCCAACCAGGCCCAAAAGGAAACGTGGTAAGTCCCGGGGGTCTGCCGCCCGGCTGTTGCCGGCAAACCTGGTGGGGATCCGAGGAGGAGGCCACGGCCCTGAGCCCCGGCCCCCACGGAGCCAGCCGTGGGAGAGCTCACAGCCACGGTCCCATGGCTGTGCTTGCTGCCGCCAGAGCCAGGCCACAGCTGTGCAGGTGTAGAGGGACCTGCCTTCTCCCTGCCCTGTGCTCTCTCTGGTGATGAGCGTGGACTATGAGCCAAGCCCACGACAGATAGGTCCCATGACTCTACTGGGGGACTTGAGCGCATTTTGGGGAATGTTCTACCAAATGGAATACTTTCTGGTCCGTTCCTTTCACGGGCTCCTTCCTGGTGGCCATCTGGCTGCACCGGCAGAGACAACTGAGTGCTGCTGGCATCGGGGTCAGCATGGAGGGCCTTGCAGGTGCCAGGGCCTGGTTCCCCTCTGCCGTGGGGCCACCTGCCTCCTCCTGCCTGGGCACGGTCCTCTGACACTGCTGTTGGGCTGATAGCACGTTGTTCTCCTGCCGGCCCCCTGAAGTCCCCATCCCTTGCTTCTGTTCCCTCTAGGGCCCCCAGGGAGAGCCTGGCCCCCCGGGACAGCAGGGTAACCCAGGCGCCCAGGTAAGCCAGCAGCAGCGGGCAGTGGGCGGGGCAGGTGTTCGGTGGGGTGTCCTGGGCCCTGTGCTGCCAGTCCCGGCCAAAGGGACCTACAGCCTGGATGTGACCTAGAACCGAGTCGTTGGTGTGCAGATGAGGGGGAGGGTGCTGGGGGGAGGTGGACAAGGGGTGGGGAGGAGTTGGGAGCCAACTTCCTTGACCTTTCCTGCCCTACTGTTCCTCTCCTAGGGTCTCCCAGGCCCCCAGGGTGCCATCGGTCCTCCAGGGGAAAAGGTGAGTGGGCTGTGCCAATGTAGGGGGCGCCCCACCTGCCAGAAGGATGTGTTCCTGCCCCCTGGGAAGCTCCCTCTGCCGGAGACCACAGAAGTGCTGGCCCTCCCCCCAAGGAGGGAAGCTCAGCTCGCTGTGCACTGAGAAGATGAGCTCAGGGGAAGATGGGGGATCTCTGCCTTTCATTGATCATAAATTCAGTCAGTCACCCATTCACTCATTGTCTGACTATGTGTGAGGGTTGCCAGATTTAGGAAGAAAAAGAAACGCAGGGCACTCAGTTAAATTTGAATATTTGTCATCTGTCTGACATCCACATTTAAAGGGGCATCTGTTTTCTTGTTGTTTGCTTGTGTTTTGTGTTTGCTAACTCAGGCAACCCTGAGTGTATCCTGGGCACCTGCTGAGTCCTGGGGGCTGGGGGGAGCCCCAGGGCCACGGGTACATCTGCAGGCAGAGCTTGTGCTCAGCCCAGGTGCTTGCCTGGGCAGAGCTACTTGTAAGGCGTGGCTCTCAGTACCACAGAGTGCTGGGCACTTGTCATCACTCAGTGGGCTGATTCTGCTCCTGTAGCAAAGCCTGCAGGCCCAGGAAGCCGCAGAGGGTGAGGGTCCTCCTGCTCTGGGTGCACTGGTTGCTGGAAGCTTCTGTGCCTCCGAGCATCCCTTTCTACAAATGTTCTTTGAGCAGAAAAGTTGAGATGTGCCCTCAGAGGCAGGTGGAGGGTGGGGCAGCCTAGTGGAGGGGCAACCCCAGGGCTCACAGGGTCTCTGGTTTGTTCCAGGGTCCCCTGGGTAAACCAGGATTGCCAGGAATGCCCGGTGCCGATGGACCCCCGGTGAGTACCCTGCTCGTCTCACCCCTTCACAGCCACCCGCCCTGGGGGTCCCCCAGGCCTGCAGCTGCCCCCCTCGCCCCTCGTTTCCTCTCTCCCACCTCCGAGAATGAAGACCGCGCTGATTGCGAGCTTGCTTGCTCAGTAGTCACTGGGCTTCGGACACACTTTTCCCTAATGAACTCCAATCAAGGGGTGGAGACGGCATGAATAGGAGTGTGAGTTATTTATTGGGGGTGCTGCTTCATGAGCAGAACCAGCCTGCATTGTTAACTCCCTGGAGGGCTGGGCTGGGCTCTGAGCCGGGTGCTGTGCCACTGGTTTGAAGGGAAGGACGACACGCGTGCCGAGGGTATTTTTAGCGATCCCACACTGAGAAGGAGGGTATTCACAAGCACGGGCGCATTTTCAAAGTGTGAGCCCAGCTGTGGAGCCAAATTGGGTGGCGCCTCGAAATAGCGAGCCGGTGACAGGTCCAATCTGTGGCTGAGCTGTGGGAGGGAGGGGCGGGGAGGTGACACAGGGTCAGTGTGTGTTACAAGTATGTGTGGATTCATCTGCGCCCATCGCCCTCTTTGCAAGTTGCTGGTGGGATTTGGGGATTTGGGTTATTTTTGGAGGATTCAGGTGATGCTGCCTACACAGCCTGTTTCCAAGGACAAACTGGCTGAATTATCCATTTCAGACACGGCGTATTTTATTGTTCTAATCATGCCGTTAAAAACTAAGCAGCTCAGTATGTTGACAGCGAATTGGTGACTGTGTAAGGCACAACCGTCCTCTTCCCTTTATGGTGGAGTGTGGTTCTGTCCAGGGCATCACACGTCCGTCCCTGCCCTTCCTCCTCTGAGCCGATGGCTCGCCAGCCTACCACGTGCAAGCTGCCCTGGGCCTCCTGTGGCCTCCCGCAGCCACACATCTGCGAGCATGGACACAGCATGTCGCTTACCTTCTTTAACTTATATTCACACTTAATTTCCTCTTCTGATTATAAAATAACACATCTTGTTATGGAAAATTAGCAAAGTAAATGGAATGACAATGAAATGAAAACCACCCTGACGCCATCTCTGAGGCCCAACCCGCTGATAGCAGGGCGGCGCGGCTCCTCGCGTGCATTCTGCTCTCCAACCCCCGCCCTCCCCTGTGCATCTTCTGCAGCATTTGATGTGAGGCCATGTGGGTCTTCTGCAGGGGCTCAAGGGGGGGATGGTGCTGGGAGTGAGGCACTCTGTAGACCCCCACCTCCCTGACCTGACTGCTTCTTCCAGGGACACCCCTGCCCCATCCCCACACTGACACTTCCTCTGACTCACTAGGCACCTCAAAGGGTCCTCAAATCTGTCCTTCTAGATTGTAAGACCCCTGTCTGTGGGGCCCATGGGCTGCCTCTCCTGGACTCTGCCCTTCTCTTCTCCCAACCAGCACTTAAACCTGAAACAGGAACACATGGTAGACCCGTCTGAGTGTGCCTGTGCCGGCTGCACATCGCAGGTGCTTCCCGCTACAGGTGCCGAGGGTGACTGGTTGTCTCCTGTGAATTTGCAAGAATAGAGACATTGAAACACACTCTAGTTATGGAGGCAGCACACTGTTGATCATCCTTAAAGAGAGGGTTTTATTTCCTCCTTCCCTCGGGTTGGCTGGGTTTGGCTTCAGCTACAGAAAGGAAGGTTGATTTAAAACCCTTCAGAAGGTGGGAGTGTTTCAGGGCAGATGCACGCCTAAGCACATTGTTAAATCATCCTGGGGAGCTCAGGACGGAGAGATGGAGACGTGAATTATGGTTTGAAGGAATATTACGGAGCCAGTAAAAACTGACTTTGGGCAAGTATTCCATGACATGAGAAAAGGCCCACCACTCAATATTAAATTAAAAACACATCACGCGATGCCAGTTTAGCATGTATGTGTGCAGAAGATGGATCAGAGGGGCCATATCACACAATTAGCCAGGGTTGCTGCAGGCGGTGAGGTTATTAGGGCCTTCTTCTGCTTTTCCTCTTGCCTGAGGGAGGGTCTATGGGGAACATATATTACTTTTTTAATCAGGAAAGTATCAAATACACATAATTTAAGCTTTATTATTTTTCCATTATACAAGTAATGCTCCTTATAGAGTACTGCAAACGTGTAAACGCACAGAAAGGAGGGGAGATAGTCTGGCCTTGTGCTGGGGAAAAAAAAAATCAATCTCTTGTTTTGATGTATTTCCTTTCAGTGTTTTTCTGTTCCAATATTTTTAGTGAGTCTGCTTTATAAAGCTTTCCCCCCACGAAGTTACTCTCACTCTATACATCTAAGTTAAAATGCACCTAAAGAAATTGGGCCCCAATTCAAATAATGCTGATAATTATGATGATTGCGGATGCATGTTGGCTGCTTGCTGCGTGGTGGGCGCAGTTCTGAGCGCTCTGCAGACCCGCAGGTGGTTGTGCCCACCAGGTGAGTAAGGACGTTACAATGTGGAGGGCATGGCTTTTCCCCCAAGGGGCCGATGTGGGCTCTGCCCTTAGTGTGTGTGTGTACTTGGCTGGGGCTTGAGCACCCACAGATGCCCTCCTGGTGCCCTTGTTTCCTTAATGGAAACATGTCTGTGGTCGATGGAAGCTGGACTAAAATCCCACCAAAGAACCCACATGGCAGAGAGGGGGCAGGATCCCTTCCCTCCCGGTCACCCCAGGGCAGGACACCTTCTCCTTGGCACTGTTTGGGTCCAGTGCGACCACCAAGAGGTGCTGGCCCCATGAGCCTTGTTTCTGAAAGGCAGGATGGTGGGCAGTGCATCCCACCTGGGCCAGAGCAGCAGGTGGGCTGCCTGATTTCCCCCAAAGGTGGCCCCCGCCAAGCTCCCCATGCCCTGAGGCCTCCTAAGGGCACCCTACCCTGCAGAGGAACTTCCATACCCTCCCACTTGCTTCTGCATCAGGGCAGGCCATTTGCAACCACATTGAATCCAATTGCACAACTAATCAAAATAAAAAGAAGGACCCACAAAATCACTGATTCAAAGAGATGAGATTTAGGTCCCCATAATTCTGCTTCTAGTGTTGCAGAAATAGAGCCCTCAACGTTTAGAACACTCGAGCTGAAAGAGCCATTGACACATGAGGAAGTGGAGGCCCAGAGAGGGCGAGTAACTGCCCCAAGGTCACACAGAGGGTCAGGTGTAACCAGGACTAGAGTCAGATGCTTCCCTCACGGCATCCTCACCCTACCGCATGGCCTCTTTACTGGAATCCGTGGGGTACTTCCAGACAGTGAAATGTTTCTCTTTCTGCTTTTATTATGTCTGTTTCCTCAAAAGTAAAACACTAGTGACCAGCCTTGGTTGGAAAAGTCAGAGAGCTCGCATTTCTGATTGGGATTGGTCAGGGCTTGGACAGATGGGGCAGTGACCCAGGGGACACCACCATTTCTGCTGGGCCTTGGCTCCGAACCTGTATCATGGGAATAGGTCCTCCCCTCAGGCTGCATCAGCTCAGAGACTGGGGTCCTCCCTTCAGGCTGCACCAGCTGGGAGGCTGGGGTCCTCTCTTTTAGGTTGCACTGGCCGGGAGGCTGGGAGGCAAACCACGTGAAGACCTGGGGACATACAGGGACCCTGAGTCACATGACAGGACGTAGCCTCTGTCCTGGCACCAGCCTGACTTCCCTCATGTCTCCCAACACAAGAGTCTATGTCCTGCAGATAGCGTGTAGTTCGCTGGTCTGGGAAGCCAGGATATCCAGACCCCTGGTCCCGCATCATCCGTCCTCATTCGGAACAGAATCCTTCATTCTGGGAGTTGTTGAGCAAATGCCTGGTGGTCACCGTCCCTGTTCACCTGCGGTTGGGGGTGGTTTGGGCACTAGTGAGTCGAGTGACACCATCGTGCCCAGATCCTACCCATGGGCTTCCAAGAATGTTCTCCTCCATGCCAACAGGAGGTGTTGCTGGGCCTGCCATGGATGTCACATTACAGATGGTGCCCCTGAGGGTCAGGGCTGAAGGGCTGGCTTGGGCCCACGTGGCTGGGAGTGACCTCTGTGCGCAGCTGCCTGATGGGGGTGTGGGGGAAGGAGATGGGAGACAGCTGTGGGGGGCGGCCAGCAGCTAATGCCCACCTTCTCTCTCCTGACAGGGGCACCCAGGCAAAGAAGGTCCTCCGGGAGAGAAGGGCGGCCAGGTGGGTTCAGGAGGGAATGAGTGGGGGGCAGCTGGGCCCTTCCTCTGGTGTCTGTGCCCCGGGGCACCCAGCCTGGGGGAGTGGGGCCTCCACCCCTTGAGGTCCTTGTGACCCCTCCACACCTTTGGTGACTGCACACAGGGGTGTGGGCATAGCCATCACTTGGCCACACAAAAGCTGGGTGATTGTGCAGGTCCTGGGCCAGGGGCTCCTAATGACCCGTTGCCATTGTTTGTTTTGGGTCCAGGGCTTGGGAGTTTAAAGGTGGGATGGACTTGTCTGCTGCCCTGTTGGTGGCGAAAGTCCATATGCCTGCCTTCCTACTCCTGGCTCCCCCAGGCCCGCACCTGCTGGGTGGGCTGGGGCAGAGGTCAGCGAGGCCCTTTGGCTGTCAATGCCACCCCTTCCCAGCTGGTCAGCCCTGTCCCCTTCTCCCAGCTCGAAGCTGTCCCATGTCATCCAAGGTGCCTTTACTGGGAATGTGCTGCTCTCAGGGCAGCCAGGCCCCCCAAAGCATCAGAGCCCTCTGCCCATCTTGCTCGCTGCCCCACTTGCACTCCCGGACTTGTGGGCTGTGGCCACAGTTGGATTGGTCCGTGGTGTTCTTACTCCTCATGGGACACAGCCTGTGCTTTTGCCTTGCCCGGGGCTGGGTCGAGTGGGAGCAGGTCCTGTGTGTCTCCTGAGGAGGCCGATCTGGACTGTCCCCTCTGCTCAGAGCTGGGGGAGCTTGCTGGCGGAAGGCAGGCATGCTGACTGTGCGGGGAGGACCCAGGAGTGCACCAGACACCACCGCCATGCCTGCCCACCCAAGTCAGAGCTAATGGCATTTCCTTTTTGGTTTCAGGGTCCGCCTGGCCCCCAGGGCCCAATTGGCTATCCGGGTCCTCGAGGAGTCAAGGTGAGATTCTGGCCGCTTCACAACTTCCTGGAGGTCAAGGTTGGGATAGCAGGGCTCAGTAGCCCTGGTTCTCCCAGGCTCGTGGGGAGGCGGGATCCTGGGACAGAGGGCCTGGGCAGGTGGGGCAGGGGCCATCTGGGGCCAGGAGGGGCTGATCCCAAGCAGGGGATGTCTCTCTGGTGCATCTGTGACAACACAGGCAGCAGGACGGCGGCTGTGTGTCCATCCGTGGGGACGCTGTGTTAGTTGTCACCTGTGCCTGCTCCCTTCTAGCCCCTTAGGGCTGCACAGCTCAGCCACAGTGAGGAGCCTGGCGCTCTTTCCCAAGGAAGCTCAGAGAAGTAGTTCCAGGGCCCTTTGCACGTCTAGAGTGAGAGAGCCCGTCCCCCTGGAGAACACCTAGGCTGACCGGGTGGCTAGGGAGGTTCGTGGGAGATGTCCATTTATCCACAATTGTGTTTCTGCCGCCGAAAGCGTCCCAGAACCTGGTTAAACAGGGCGCAGAGCTCCAGAGCAATACCCAGCACACAGGCCCCGGCTGTTCAGCTAGAGCTAACCGTGTTTGCTTTGAGTTGTGTAATGTCATCTCCACTCATGCCACTTTCTCGACTGTGTCGGGCACATTTATATGGAGAGGGATGTGCCCTGAGGAAGGTACATGTGCTGGGTGCGGGTGGGGCTCTGCTTTCTCCGAGAACAACCATGGCATGGCATCTGAAAGCTCTAGGTGGTTCTAGGGCTTGCAAAAGAAGCTAATGGAGTCTTTCCTTCAAAATGATCTTAACTTGATGTGAAAGGAAGTATATACACATGTGTGCACACCCCACTAGCTCAGTCTGAAGAATTCACATGAACACACCCAGCAGCACCTGGGCCCCATCCACACCGTTTCCCATGCTTAATGTTCTGGAGCCTTCTTGCCCATCAGAAGTGTGCAGCTGGCCTGCGATGTGGACGGCGGAGAACCCACGACCTCCGTGCTCAGTAATTTGTCCCAAGTTAGCCTGACATCGATGCCTCCATCAGGACTCAGACCCAAACCTGCGTATTCTGAGCCAAGTGCCCCATGCCGGGCTCCAAGTGGCCCCTACTGCATTTCCCAGGGATCATGGCCTTCTGAGGGCCTGAGCCACTGCAGACAGACTTCCTGGGGCTCAGGGGCCCTAGGTGGGAAGCGGGCTCTTGCAAGCATGCCTAGAGAGTTTCACAAGGATGATTGTTCAGCAGAAATGCTGATTTTGTGAGCTCTGTGCGTGTTTACTTTACAAATTCTTGTCGCATAGCAAAAGTGTCTGCCAGCCCTGAACGTGGCTAATTGCAAAATGCTGTGTCTGTGAGCTAAAAGGTGTTTGCTTTAAAATGTTTATGGAGGATGCTCTTATCTTGTCTATCTGATTAAAATTCATTCACGCCACGAGCGATCCAGTTAGACTTAAAGCGGAGAGTGGGAGGAAAAGCAGAGCTCAATGCTCTTTTCATGGGAGAAATAGATTCTCATTCCCTGGGGTTTTGAAAATGTCAGCGGGGTCCGCAGCCTGGGGAGCAGCAGGCCCCCAGGGGAGGTGACAGCATGGGGTGGACAGGTGGTGGCCTGGCTTTTCTCCACCAGGTCCTGCCTCCCTTCTGGGGCAGCACCCCTCTGCGTGCTTTCCTGTCCTTGCTGAGGGCTAGGCTGCTGCACAGTGGAACCCACTGCCTCCTAAGCCTGCAGGGGCAGGTGGGCAAAAGACCCTGAATACAAGTTGTCTCTGGGCCCTGCACAAAGCCCTGTCCCTCTCTGGGCCCCATGCATTCTGGTCCCTCCGTGCTAGCCCACTTCAGCCATAGCAGATGCTGCCGTCCAGGGTTCTGAACCAACCAGGGCCTATTCGTGCCCCCTGGGGGACACCCGGAGACATTTTTGACTGTCCCGATTTGGCAGGGGTGGGGGGGGTGAGCCTATGGTCATCTAACTGGCAGGTGTCAGAGATGTTGCTCAATATCTCTCCTCCACGTGGGGCAGCCCCTGCAACAAAATGACCCAGCTCAGAGACCTGGCCTGTTTGTCTCCTGGCCTGCAGTCCCCTGGCCTCTGACCGGGTGGTAAAATGGGGGAACATTAGGTCTGGAAGGATGTGGGCAGGGGAAGAGGGAGGAAGCTGGTGCCAGAGCCCCCAGGGCATCAGGGTTTCAGGGTAACAGGGCCTCCCCTCTGCCCTGAGGTATCCGGCCACCTGGGTGGCAGGTGCCTCAGGGGAGGCCGTGCAGCCTGGGCCAGTCCCAGCTCCAGCTTTTCTGAGGGCCCTCTCCTAGGTCCCTGGAAAGAGGCTCAAACTGCGCAGTCTGTGCAAAATTCTTGCCACAAGAGGGCAGTTGGCAGCCTGAGGGTCCCCGGGAGGCTGGCAGCTTTAGCTGGAACAGAGATGGGAGGCCCAGCCTGTCTCGGGTCCTGTGGGCAGCTGGCCCCTGGGGGTCGGTAGTCAGTGTCTGCTTTCTGCTCAGAGGGCTGAGGTCGTGGCCCCTTAACTCCATTCCACAGAGGGCTTTACCTGGCCTGGGTGAGGTGCTGGCTTGGGGGAGGGAGGGGGGAAGGGGACATGTCCCTCCCTTTCAGTTCTTATTGGCACAGAGATGAGGTATGTCCTGAGCTGACTATTGGTGGTGGTAGTATCATTGTTATTAACTGGTAAATAACGAGATTGTACCTGTTATCATTTATCGTAATAATACAAAATGACGATTGCCAGACAGCACATCGCTGTTGTCTATTGAGCACCCACTCTGTGCTGGGGCACTGTCTGGGGGGCTTATCTGGTGTTCTCCTCCCACCAGCAGTAACAGGGTAATGCTTGTTTTCACCCCCACTTTCCAAATGAGAATATTGAGGCAAGGGGCACCTGGGACCTGGGCCAGTCTGCCTGATTGCAGAGCCCAAGCTGAGGCTTCACGTCCCACCTGCTCCTCAGACCTGAGAGAGACAGATGTTTCTGGAAGAGGGTGGCCTGGGGGGACTTGCGTGGGTGCAAGGATGGAGCCCTTCCTTGGAGACTGGGAGCACCAGGGAGCTTGCCTGGGTTGGGGCAGCCAAGCACTTTCCCTCCTTGGCGTTTGGGGCTTAGGCCTTTCTTTTCGAGAGCTCTGGGGAGGCTCTGGCTCACTTCCTTCCCTCTGTGTTTGCACAGGGGGCAGATGGCATCCGCGGTCTGAAGGGCACAAAGGGAGAAAAGGTGAGTGTCCTTTCCATCATGTGGCGGCGGACCAGTGCACGCAGCCCAGCCCAGGTTAGGGCAGGTGACAAGCTAGCCCCGGCGGAGGCTGCTGAGGCCTCTGAGGTCGGGGGGCTTGGCACGCCCCAAGGCACAGACTGTTTGCCAAAGGAAGAAGAGGTGGATGACGACCCGCTGTGGGTGCCCCACCTGGCGGGGCTGAGGGGCTGGAGCTTTGAACCCCCTACCCAAGGCCAAGGCTCTGGCCCAGCACACAGCCCGTGACTCACCTGCAGAGGCCAATGGATGCCCCACTCTCCAGCCCCGGTGGCCACCTTGCAAGCTGCCACAGAGCCGGGTGCAGAGGGGAAGGGGTGTCACCACGGAGCCAGGCACGGGGCCCTCCTGCGCCATCTGCCATTCCTGAGGTGGCTCTTCAGGTGGCCGCACTGGACAAGGGGGACATGGAGGCTGGACCCTCCATGCTATGGTGTTTGCTCAGCCCCCGGCCCCCTCTGCTCTCAGCTGGCTGCCAGGTGGAAGGAGCGGACGCACACACGTGCTGCCTCAGTTCTCTCTGGAGAGTGGCCAGAGCAAGGCAGACCTCTGAACCCTTGTTCTGGGGCCTCAGAAGTGTGGGGACCAAGGCCCGTCAGGGTCAGGGCCAAGAACACCCCCCTGGCCATGTCCCCACTGGCCGGTCCCATCTCCCTGCATTCCTGGCCTGTGGACCCAGGCCCTGCGGCCTGTCAGAGGGGCCTACCCAGAACCCCGCGTGCCCCACTTGTCACTTTGACCTTTAGCCAGAAAAAGGGCTACTGGAGATAATATGGGCTGGGTGGCACAGGGAGGGCCTCTTCTCCAGGAGGGCCACCGCACTGTCCTGAGTCAGATCTGGGGTGGGGGGTGAGGACCCGCCTCCTGGGGCCTTGGCACTCTAAGGCTGCTATAGGGGCGTCCCTGGCACTTAACAGCGGACAGACAAGTCCCATAGCCTGGGGATGTAAGGCTCTCGTCCTGCCCCAGAAAGCTGCCTCCCTCTGGGTATGAGCTCCTGGCAGCCTGGATGTTCAGGGCAATGAGATCCAGACACTGAGAGTGAAGGGTGAGCCAGGTGGCCCTGTGCCAACTCCCTGAGGGTCCTATGGGTGTCTCTGTGGGGACATGAGTGGACAACAGGCCACTGACATCTGTGAATCTCCAAATTCGCACATGACAGGAACACATCCCATGGCCCAGAAGATGCAGGGCTGTATTCACTGCAGGCCGGCCCCGCAGCAGGACTGCCTGGGTCCCAGGCCCTTCCCTACCCTACAGCTCACTGGTCCTGTCCACCAGGCGAGCCAAGGCCTGCAGCTTCTGTGGGGCATCTTCCCCACGTCCCCCCTCCTGTGCTCACTGGTCAGCAGTAACTGGGCCCCAGCAATATCTGGACCGGGTGGTGCTGAGGATGTGGGGATTGAGCTTGAGCCCCAGGCTGACCGCAGAGGGTGAGGGGGATGCCCTTCATGAGGGACACCCTCACCTGGCACGTCCAGGGCTTGTGTGGTAGCCCAAGCACCTGAGCGCTGGGGGCCAGGGTGGATGCTGGGGCCAGGATTGGGGTGGGGTAGGTGCTGAGTGTGGGGGGCCAGCCATCCGAGAGGCAGGCTCCTTCATGCAGCCCAGGCACTGTCTCATCCCTCATCCCTCCTCAGGGTGAAGATGGTTTTCCTGGGTTTAAAGGAGACATGGGCATCAAGGGTGATCGGGTGAGTGTCTCAAGGGTGTCAGGGGCTGGGGGCTGGAAGGATGTAGGGGGCCAAGGGCAGGGCCAGCTGAGGGGAGGGGCCAGTGAAGGGCGGGGCTAGAGGAGGGGCTGTAGGAGGGGCTGTAGCAAGGGACCCATGGAGGTGCCGAGCAGGGGTGAAGGCTGGAGTGTTTGGAGCCACAGAACAGCTTCTCCTAACAGAGGTGACCCCTCTGTGGGGGCTCCTGGCCCACAGGCAGGGACAGCTGGGAGCCAGAGGCCTGGCTCTGTGCATATCAGCCAGAGGCCTGGCTCAGAGCCGCGGGGCTCTCCTCTGGTGTTCACCCCCAGTTACTAGGGTCACTGTGGTCACCTGGCCCCTCTGCCCCATGCCGTCACCTGCACCGGGGTCAGTGGAGACTTGTCCTGTTCCAGTGACACCTTAGCAAAGCAGTTCATTTGGCTCAGATGGGTGGGAGCATTGCAGGGGGATAGGCGGGAAGGGGCTGCAGACGAGCCCTCTGACCAGGGAGGGTGGGGGTCCCTGCCCACCCCCATGGCATGTCCGCCCACCAAGCATTCTTACATATTTTTAGGGCCCCAAGCAGCTCCTGTGTTCCGTAGCCTCATCCTGGGCTATCGGAATCTGCAACAAACCAGTTGTTTTTAATGAATAATTCACCTCAGCCGGAGAGGAAGCGGGTCAGTGCTGGGGGAGGTGGGGGCTTACATGGCAGGTGCCTGACAGAAAGCTGCTGGCTGTGTTTTCATCTAATTGAGGAGAGGGTGATGCAGATGATGCTGGAGGAAGTGTCTGGGTCCTGGGCCTGCTGCCACAGTGGTGCGGGCGCTTTGAAGCTCCCCCCCAAAACTTCTGAGCGAGCCCTGGCCTGAGCAAGAGGGAGTGAGGTGCCTGTGCCGCCTGGTAGGTACGGCCACAGCAGCAGCTGGACGCACACCTTGACGGTCAGCTGTCAGCCGGCGGGGCTGTCACGCGGCCACTGTAATTATGCCCTGACAAGGCGGGCCTGCAGGTGCCTTTTCAGAACACGCCAGAGCCAGAGAGCCCCACACGCTTGGCGCTGTGTCCCAAACTAAAAAGGCAGAAGCAATCTTGGCTTCTATCAAAGGAGGAGGAATAAAAGAGATTCATTTCACAGTAATGTCCCAGTTATATTCCTGCTAAACGCAGCCATTCTAGAACTTTCTCCATGGTGACAAGACTCCCACTCCCACATCTGAAGGGCTTCTCCGTTTGGCTGGTGAAAAGTCCTTTTTATTATGCCTCTGACAATGCGGTACCTGCATTTGGGGTCCCTATTACGAGGATGCTTTTTCAGAGGAGATCGCACAAAAGACGTTTGGCAGTCACATGCCAGGCTCCTGGGGACAGGCTGCTGTTGCAATTAGGTGAGGGTGGGAGTGGGAGCCAGGTGCCTCCTTCACCATGGAGCTGGTGTCATCGGTCTTAATTTCCCCCAGAGAGAAATTTCTGCCCAGCACTGGTACTTTCTAGTTGGTCAGCCAACATGTGAAAGATACTTTTGTTGATTGAGAAAAAGTGCTTCTTAGGGACCAAGGATCTGGTCCTGCAGACAGACACACTGGACCTTACAAATAAGGAAGTTATTGGTCTTTCTCTGTGTGCTGAGCATTTTTGTTGTGGGTGGCACAGCTGTCCCACAGCTGCTCCTGGAAGCCAGAGACCAGAGGGCACTCAGCAGTGGGCAGAGAGGTGGGCGCTCAGATGCTGGCTGGCATGCTGTGTTGACGTCAGCAACCCCCAGACCCTTGGGCTTGGGCCCAGGCCTCCCCATTTGTATGATGGGGAGTTGGTTGGGGCAGTGTTTGGGACCCTGCCATTTGTGGGACACGTCTGTGGTCCCCTGTGTGCCAGCCATGCCCAGATAGATGCCCAGCCAGGGGCTGTGGTCCATTCCTATGCCTCTTGGGGTTTCAAGGGAAAAAGCATCCCCCTGTGCATGAGCTGTTGTGCTGTATTTGGGAAAGTAGCAATTCAGAGCAACCAGTGCAAACCAGTGTTCACCAGTTATCTCAGCCAAAAGAGACTCATTTGGAGAAGGTACCTGGGAAGAGCCACCCACCTCTGTGCAGAGGGATGGGGAAGCCATTCAGCAGAGCCCTATAGCTTGCTGCACCGTGCTTTGCTCTAGTCTGACCCAAGCAGGTTTCATCTGCTTGAGGCCACCTGGTGGGCTGAGCCATCTGAGTGGCTCCTACCGCGAGATCTTACCTGGGACATGGACTCTTAGGCACAGAACAGCCGTGAGTGTCATGTGGTGGGGAGTGAGCCTGGGAGTCTGCCCTCACCTTCTTTTTTCTGACTTGCAGGGGGAGATCGGCCCCCCTGGTCCTCGAGGAGAGGATGGCCCCGAAGGCCCTAAGGGTCGTGGAGGTCCGAATGGCGACCCTGGTCCTCTGGGACCCCCTGGGGAGAAGGTATGTGACACGGGAAGCTCCACCACCTCTCAGGGACAGATCTTCCAATGACCTTGGATGTCTAGCTGGTGACTCAGCGAGGCTGAGACCCCCAGATGGGGATGGGGGAGGTCTGATGCAGGTCCTGTCCCATGTGCTCCCCTGGCACCCTGCCAACCGTCCCAGGGAGATTGTTGACAGGTCGATCCTTTTCTTGTTCTAAGCTGGGACATTCAGAGCACTTGGCCAGCTTCCTGGGAGAGTGCCTTCTTCTAGGCTTTCCCAGCGTGGGGTCTGAGCCCCGGCAACCATGGCAAAAGTCCTTACACCTGCCCTGCCCTTCACCTCCGCCCTGGGCTCTCAGAGTGCCCAAGATGTCCTCCCTGTCTTGCCCCTAACCCTAGCCCTAACCCTAACCCTAACCCTAACCCTAGCCCTAACCCTAACCCTAACCCTAACCCTAACCCTAACCCTAACCCTAACCCTAACCCTGACACAACTACTACTTTTTCACCAGGGAAAGCTCGGAGTGCCAGGATTACCAGGTTACCCAGGAAGACAAGGGCCCAAGGTAATTTATGAGCATGGCCGGTGTTCGGAGACCCCCTCGAGGCTCCTGCCCTCCCTGCCCCTCTAACCGACTCTGGGGGTGCTGCTGTGTCTCCCCCACATTCTGCCCTGCTCACAGCCTTCTGCCTTAGTCTGGCTGAGTTGGAAGGAGGTGCCAGCACAGTTAGTGGAGCCTTTCAGAGAATGCGGCAAAGCCAGGCTGAGCCCAGGGCTGTGTGAGTGGTCCCCGGCACCTGCGCCCGCTACTTTCTCCACACGGAGGACCCGAGAAGCCTCGCTCACCTCTGGTGCTTCACCCTGGGGATTTGAAAGTTATTTGCTCATAACTGAGCCTAAAAGAGAGATGAAACCTTCCTTATATGATATCATGTTCTGCCTTAAGTGAAACAGCTCCTCGAGGCTTTGGAAAGCATTTAAGACATTGTTTTTTTTTCAAATCTCACCTTTTATTATTCATGGCTCTTCCTTAAAAAATACCCAGCCGCCTGCACTAGAGACATAATTAGTGGTGGAAGAGAGCTCCTGTCTCTCCCATCTCTCCTGCCTCCCCAGCCTCAGCACTCTCCAGACTCCCAGCCTCAGTCTTATTAACGGGACGGGCCCTGTGGGCTGGCTGCACTGCAGGGTATTCCCATCCTGGCTAAGGAAACAGCAGCCCTTCCCGTGGAATGCTAATATCCACCCCCAGGGCCTGGACCCTCGCCCTGTGTGCAAGGGGGGCAGGTGGCGTGAAACGGGAGTGTGTTTCATGTCCAGCAATGGCACGCCGAATGTGGCTGTGATGTGCCCACGGCATCTTGGAGAAAGACGGGTTGATGGATGGATCTTCTCTCCTGAAGTGCATGTCTCCTGGGGGGTGGAGCAGAGAGAAGAGAAGTTTGGGGGTATGTGTGGTATGTTCAGGCAGTGTCCTTGGAAGGCAAGGGTAGAACTTCGAAGCTTGCCTGGCCATTTTGAAAGTCCTTGGGAGCGCCTGGATGCAACCCTGTTACCCAGCTCCCACACTGAGCACTGTGGGACCTGAAACCAGGGGTCTTCGGCACAGTCTCCTGCCCCGATTTGCGGGTGGGCATAGGGCCGGGTGGGCCATGCTAGGCCCCTGTGAGAAATGCAAGGCTGGGAAATTTGTGAGCCTTTCATGTTCTAAGCACATGTTCAGGTCAGGATTTTAAGCCACATGGAAGGTAGAGGCCCATTGACAGTAGTCACCACCTCCTGAGTATGTGGGGGGCCAGGGGGCACGTTACAACTCACCTAGGAGATGTCTGGATATTCACCACAACGAAGTCGTGAGTTCATCTTTTGTCTATATGCACCTTGTAGGTTTCTAGAATGAACTAGCTGTTAGTTGCTACAGTCTGCACTAATTTGCATTGATTTCTGATTTTACAAGTTGCCATGCTTTATTTAGAGGTGTTCTGGGAAGATAACAAAACATGACAACAAGGCACGGTAAACAAATATCATAAATGTGAGATTTGCAGATCATCTCCAGTTCATCACTATGCACCCTGTTCTTCCCAAATACTAGCATTGTGAAGACATGGGTGTGGAGAAAGGGAGAAAGGAGAAGCATGGTTAAGACAGCTTTGGTTTTTAGATTTGGAGTCTATGAGATGTTCAGGAAATATTTATTGAGTGGGTGGGTGATGATGATGGGTGGGTGGATGGATCAGTGGAGGGATGAATGGATGAGTGGATGGGTGGATGATGTATATATGGGTAGATAGGTTGGTGGATAGTTGGATGGATGGGTGGAGGGGTGGATGGATGGATGGGTGAACATCTAAGTGTGTGTGTGGGTGGATGGGTGTGTTAGGGGTGGGTAGTTTGTGTCTGAGGCTGTGTACTGGAACATGCAGCTGGCACATGCAGCATAGCCCATCCCCTGGCCCAGCTCTCATGCTTCTTCATTAATTATCTCTCTTTCAGGGTTCTATTGGATTTCCTGGCTTTCCTGGTGCCAACGGAGAGAAAGGTGGCAGGGTAAGGATTGCCTGGCCCCTTGTCAGGTGGCTTGTTCTGCTGCCTTGGTATTTAAAGGGTATACTTTCTAGTATGTCTTGTTTATTCTCACCCACTTTGCTGCCAAAACTGCCTTCCAGACAGCTGACCTTTAGGTCAGGGGCTTGGGCTCCAAGCACGGGGGACTGAAGTCCACATGTGGGGCTGGGTGGGGTGGGGGCAGGAAGGGCAGGAGCAGGAGAGGAAAACATGTGGGGGGCAGGTAGAGAATTCTAATAAACACCACGACCCCGACAGCTCCTCAGGTCATTAGTGAAACCCAGATTCTTCCCTTTCAACCCAACTGACTTTTCCTCCAGGCTAAGTTTAAAAGGAAAGGAAGGGGAAAAAGGAGCTTTCTTCTACTTTGTATGTCACCTGCCCCATGGGTGTGAATTCAGGAAGCCCCTCTGCCCTGTTACTGCCCAGCTGCCATAGTCACAGCACACCTGCCTGGTGCAGTGCACAGTGGTTCCCTCTGTCATCACCATGAACTTCCACATTCTGGGGGCTGGACTGGGGAAGCCATGCCCCCTGCAGCATCCTGACTCCCTGGTGGCCAGGCCTTCTGGCAGGAAGATGACATAGTGCTGCCAGAGCACTGCCCCCTGACAGACACGGGATCCAGGGGGTCATCTTGGTCCTGCAGCTCTGAGCTGGGTGTCCACAGGCATGTGGGGACACGGGGGCTGGTCTGTGAGATATGTACAGGGCATGCCTTGTTGGGCACACCAGGCTTCCGAAGAACTGCAGCCTCCGCGTGTGCTATGCCAGGCCCAGCCCGCTGCCCTGAGCTCCATGCTGGAGCTCCTGGCACAGGTGGGGGATGTACCCCGTCAGATCACCTGCTCCAAAGTGTCCTTACCATGTCTGAGCAGAGACCATGAGCTCTCCTGAAAACAGAGACTTCTAGCCACCAAACCCGTGTGAGCAAACGTTTGTGCCCAGGGGGCCACTCTCAGTACGAGCAGACGTGTGAACACAGGGACAGGATTATCATCTGGATCTGGGTCTGGAGCTGGCTCTCTGCCTGTTAACTCCACATATATCCTGTCTGTGTCTACATCAGTGCATGTGTCTCTGCGTGTGTCTCTTGTCCGTCTATCACTGTCACCATCCGTGTATCCGTCATCTACCCACCCACCTACCTACTTACCTGTCTATCTGGTTCTTCCTTCCAGGGAGAGTCTGATGGATGTCTTTAGGGAAGGCTGTATTCTAGAATATAGAGGCCATGGTGAAGTGTGGTCTGGGGCCCGGGAAGTGTGGGGTGGCGAGGAGATGGCTCCGGTGTTGGTGGAGGCCTCATAACTTTTGACACCACCCTGCCGTGAGACTGTCCAGGAGGGGTCATGACATTCAGAGAGTTTGGTCATATGATTTGACTACAAGTCCTGCTATGGAGGCCTGGCCAGCACCCTAGGGCCACACTCTGGTCCAAGCCCCATTACCCTCTCCCTGCCCCTTGAGCTGCTCAGCCTCCCACCCCTGAGCTCAGAAGGCCGGACAGGTGCCTGGGTCCCCTCCTCCACTCTGAGCCCCGGTGGGCCATCGTCCATGTGTATCAGTGCCGTGGGTCACCGGGGACACAGAGGAAACACAGGTGGTTGGTGAGCGGGGCAGTGTGGGGCCAAGGGTTTGCTCTTGTGGGCTTGGGCTTGTGGTTCCCAGGCTCTGAAGCATGGACACCCCGAGGAAACCATCTACGCCACGAATTTCCAGGGATTTCCTAGCTCGCATGTGGCAGCCACCTCGGTGGGTGTGGGGCCAATGACAAAGATGTCCACTTATACAAAAGGGAATGGCTTTGGCAAGGGCCAAAAAGGACTGGTGAACACGTCCACTCCTTGTGGGAGAGAAAGAGTCCCTGTGCTGCTCCTGAGACGCAAGCGGAGAATCTGCAGGAACATGGTGAAGTGTGTCCCTGGGAAGTGTCCGAGATGGCCCTGCACATGAGCCAAGCAGCGGACTGCTGCCGTGTTACGTGCACGTGGACCAATCACCGCTTGGCTCCTGGGCTCCCCACGCCCCGGTGCCCACGGGAGACTGAGGACCCCTGTCCCCACATGGGAGAGGAACCCTGATTACACACGTCTGCCCGGCTCCCCTCCTGAGAGAGATGTCTGTGTTCTGGAACCTTCCCCAGGAAGGAAGGAGGAGGGATTATCTCCCAGCAACAGTGACCTTCCCTGCGCCCCAGTGCTTTTCACCCCTGCAGTGATGGTGGCAGTCCAGCTGGCTCGCCGCCTCTTCTAAACCAGCTTGTGGGGTTGTTCTCGGCATCCTGTCACAGCGTCTGTCCATCCATCCGTTCAAACAGCAATAATTGAGCACCATCTCAGTCCCCATGTCCTGGATGCTCTTGGGGCCCTGAGGACACAGCAGGAGAAGCCCAGATCCCTGCCCTTGTGAAACTTGCCTTCAGAGGCAGGGGCAGTAAGCAAATCTGAGGGTGGTGTGTGCTAGGAGAAAAAGCAGGGGGACAGGAGGGCAGGTAACTGCAGAGGGAGATAGGGGTCAGGGACAGGTGCCCGGGAGGAACGGCCGAGGCCTGAGTGGGGGGCAGAGTGGGGGTAGGGCCAGGAGCCGTCCCAGGGGCGAGAGGATGTGCAGGTGGTGGAGGCGAGCAGGGGTGGGGTCCTGGGATCAGAGCTCCCACCCCCACCCCTGTGGAGCACGATGCCACTTGACAGACTGGCACTGGCTGCGTTTGAAACGTCCTCCCTGAGGGTTTCAAATGGAGGTCATCCAGATTTAGATGAGAATCTTGGGGAGGGTGGTGAGAAGTAGAAGTTCCTGGTGTGGGTGGAGCCTGCTCCTCGCCTATCCTGAGCCATCCACTGACCAGGAGGGTGGCCCCAAGGGGCTGGTGGCTGAGGGGGACTGGGAGTCCTGAGACGCCACCTGTGTTTGGCTTCTCGGCTGGAGTGTGTGCCTCCCCCATGGGGATGTGAAGACAAGTGCTCACAGGCGAGCTGTCGAGGGGACCGTGGAGGGGTAGGGGGCACCATCTCTGCAGCAGAGTCCATGCCTCTTGGTTTTTGGGTCAGATTACAAAGAGGACCTGGGAAGCCCCAGTGGACCACGGCGGGGATTCTCCTGCTGTCGGTGCCAGGGTGGGTAGTCTCTGTGGGAAGACAGCAGGCCAGGGACCAAGGGCAGGGGTTTGGGTGGAGGCTGGGGTGCGGAGGCATGCACCTGTGTGCACCCACAAATGCCAAGAAGCAGCTGGTACCCAGCCCTGGCGTCGACGCTGGTGAGAGTCTACCATTGGAAGAAAGCAAAGGCTTTATTAATTTTTGTATGCAAATATTTATTTGAAGCCAAAGGATATTGCCGTATAATTAAAGCAGGGAAGCCAGAGTGCATTGTTACAAGGCAACATAATTATCTCATCATCATACGCTGTTTTATTAAATTCATTTCAAGATGAGAGGCTGCAGAAAAGCCGTTTGGATTCTGGCAGCAAACAAGTGAAAGATGGTGAGAGGCAGCGTATCAGGTGGCCTTTAGCGACACAGCCCTGTCTTGGGCTTTATCGTGAGAAACTGTCATAAAATTCTGGAAAATCGGTCGAGAGGCATGGGGACACTGGGGTGGCGTTCAGCCCACTGCTTCCCCATGCCTTAGGTAAACTGCATTTACCAGCTCTCAGAGCTTTGCTTCAGAGGAAAAAAACCACGCATAGCATCTGTTTTCCGTGGTTTGGAAAATGCAAAACAACGACAACAAGAAAAAGGAGTCCAAATTCTATTAGAAGAGAAGCAAATGGCTTTGGGTATATGATTTATATATCGAGTTGCAAGTTTGCTTGTCTGCGGAGCCTGTTGAAAATTTAATGGCTAATATTCTTAACTGTAGCAAAAGTAAATTATGTATGAAAGGGGTTGACGTTCTTTTCTTCTCTTGCAATAATGACCCACTCCCCCCCCCCGCCACCCCCGCCTCTGGGAGAGGGGGGGGTGGGGTGTCGATGCTTGCAGAAAGGAAACCAGATAGGAAACCGGATAATGGTGGTAAACATCCATCAGACTGCAGGAAGAAAATTGGATTTCTACAGGCCTGTGTAGGAATACAAAGCTGTGGGTGTTGAACGTGCGGTGAAGTCTCTCAGCCTGAAAAATCTCCTGTGGAAGCCAAGATAAGGGCAGCGGGCCTTCCCTGCCTCTGTCTTTGAGCGCTCTCCCCATAAGCCACCCAGGCCGTGGCAGGTGTCTTGAGGGACTGACCAGCCCCTTCCTCTCTGGTTCTAGGGCACGCCTGGGAAGCCGGGACCACGGGGGCAACGAGGCCCAACGGTAACCACCCTCTGGGCTTCCAGAAGCGGGAACACATTGTGGGGAGCACACTCGGTGGGAGGGGGCGGGAGGTCCCCAGGGCAGGGACGATCAGAGCTCACCTTTCCTCTGTCTTTCCCCTCGCAGGGTCCGCGGGGTGAACGAGGCCCCCGGGGCATCACTGGGAAGCCTGGCCCCAAGGTAGGTTTTTGGTGTCTTTTGTGGTGCTGCCTACCCACATATCGTGTACCTGCGGGTGACACATGGCCTTTGCATTTGGAGAAACAAACAAAAAGGACTTTTGCTTGAGGGTATTTAAGAAGGAGCTGGCTCAGCAGCCCTCAGACAGTCAGGTTGCATCAAACCCTGTGCCTTGGCCCTGAGAGCAGAGGCAGAAAGGGCCAACCCTACTGGAACCTCTGAGACAGCGGCCCTGAGGCCTCCGGAGGCTGGGCCCTTCGGCCTGTGCACAAATGCCAAACCATCTGGGTACTCACCATCTAATTCTGGTGGGCACGTCCTATTTCTTTTCTTGAAAAGGGTTTTAAGTTATAGAGAGATCTTTGCCAGAAATCAAAAGAAAGTCCTTCCTGCCTTAAGGGAGAGCCTGAGCCTGCCTCCTACATCCCTCCCTCCTGCCAAGAGGCACGGCCACCAACTACCCTGATTATCCGTGTGGCCTGCCCTGTCCTATCAGGTCACCATTCCCAAATGCATCCCCTCCAAGGACGTGGGTCTTGCTGATTGGCTGGGGTGCAGAGCTGGCCTGCCCCCAGGCTACCGGTGTGTGCCCACCAGAGGCCACGATACATTTGTCCACGATGAGCGCTGGGGTGCGTCACATTCCCGGACATGGACTTAACTGTCCTACTAGAGCCACTAGTGCCATGGGGCAGCCGCTGTCACAGCTGTGGGGGCCCGGGGACAGAGACCCGTGTCCTGTCTCCATGTGAGTGTCCGATACATTTCTTGGTGGCAGCACAGACTTTGTCCCCTGCAGGGGACTGTCCTCGGGGAAATGTCACAGCCCTGTAAACAGCAGCACAGTGTCTGAGCTGAGAGGTGAGAGGACAGGTGGCCTTTGGGAGCAGGGATTGTGGCTGGTGCTCTCTGCTCTACAGAGAATCCGGGTGACGGCACAGGTGCATGTGTGCCATACGTGGCTCTGAAGTCCCAGCAAAGCCATGGGCTGGAGTCTTTCTACCACAAGCGGTACTAATATGGATAATCATAAAGCTCTTCTTGCTCTTTCCGTCCCTCCCTAGGGCAACTCCGGAGGCGATGGCCCAGCCGGCCCTCCGGGTGAACGGGTGAGCATTGTGATTGCAGGGCCCACCATGAGCATCTCTGGGCTTGCCTTAAATGTCACTGTCCCTTTCTTCCTGGAGGCGGCTGGGGCAAGGGAGTCATGCCTTTGACTCTGCTGGAGGAGAGGGTTTCCCTGACTTGAACATGGGTCAGTGGTAGCTGTCACTGGGTGTCACGTCTCCTGCCTGTTGACATCAGCGGCCCCTCCCCGAGCCCCTGGTCTTGGGGCTCAGATATGGCTGGGACGCATGGGAAACTGTGAGCCCTCCGCCCCCTGCTGACCCCCTGAGCTTCCCACCTGACCTCCTGTTATATGTTGGTGAGGGTAGGACTGGAATGGATGGAGAAAGGGTCTAGGGGAGCAGAGAGAAATTTTGCTCAGAGAACCAACAACTTGGGAGGCCAGTGGTGGGGGGTGACTGGGCCCCCACATGGAAGGGGAAGGACGTCTGTGCTCAGTGGGCTGATCTCTGTTCCCAGGGACCCAACGGACCCCAAGGACCCACCGGTTTCCCTGGACCCAAGGGCCCCCCTGTAAGTAATGTGTTTTCCTTGTTAGGCGGGGGTTCTGGGGGCTCCATGCAGGCCCCTCCCAGTGGGCCAGCAGGCGGGTGTCATCTGGGAAGCTGGCTGCAGAGAGCTGCTTTTCAGAAGCGTGGACCTCTTTCTCATTTAGACCAATGTGGCCTCCTAGGTGGGCCCCGAGTGAGCATCCTGGGGCCGCTGGGCCACGTTACCACTGACTTGGTCACTTAAAATAGCAGAAATGTGTTCTCTCATCCTCTGGAGGCCAGAAGTCCAAAACCTGGGAGCTGGCAGGCCTGGTCCCTTCCGGGGGCTTCAGGAGAAACTGTCTCCTGCTCTCTCCTGGCCCCCGGGCTTGCTAGCCGTCCATGGCTTGTGCTCTCTTCTCTCCATCTGGCCTCCACCCTCATGTGGCCACCTCCTCTCTGGGCTCCTCTGGGTCTTCAAACCTCTGTCTTGTTATGGGGCCATGTGTCACTGGATTAGGGCCCACTCCAATGCAGTATGACCTTGTCTTGATGACATCGGCAAAGCCCCAGTGTCCCAAGTGAGGTCACCTTCACAGGTGCAGGGGGTTAGGACTTGAACCTGTGTTTTGGGAACACAACTGGATTCAGAACAGGTGCCATATCTCCCTGGCAGTCAGCAATCAGGACACGACAGCCCTGGGTCCCCATGCTGCCTGCCTCAGTATCCCCCCCTGGGCGGAGAAGCGTGGCCCTCAGGAAGGCTGTGCGGGTTCAAGAGGTGACACACAGGTGCTGTGACAAACCATGACTGTTACAGAAATTTTCTGTGAAATGAAGTAGCAGTCACCTGCCCCCCCCCCCCCCCCCGGTCTGGCATTAAATCCCAAAGATGCGTGCTTCTCAGAACCCACTGAAACTTCTTCCTTTGCCTCTTTCTTCAGGGCCCTCCAGGCAAGGACGGGCTCCCAGGACACCCTGGACAGAGAGGAGAGACCGTGAGTACTGGCAGTGCAGGGACAGGGGGACAAGGGGATACAGGCTGGCCGACCTCTCCTGCAGCCCCACATGTGGGCACTGCCTCCTCTTCCTCAGGAAAATCCTCCTGAGTGTGGGAGTTGCACGCATTTAGATGGGAAGGGAGCAGGAAGGGCTGTGTCCTGCTGTGAAGCTGCAGGAGGGCCTCGGACTTGTACTGGTCATAGCCTCATCGCTCTGGGCACTTCTGGCTTCGGGTTGATGGCAAGGGCTGGGCAGGGGGTCCCTTCAAAGAGGCGGGTGGGCTTGCAGCTATGTTCTCCATCAGCAGATTGCTGCCCCACGCCCACTGCCCACCTTCTCCTTCCCTTTAGAAGAGCCCAGAGCAGGTGGTATCTGAGCGTTAAAGATCTCGGTGTTTTCAGTTGGGACAAAAAGCATTTTTCAGAAGTAAGATCAGTTCCTGGTCATGAGCACCATTTGGGATTTGAACCAGTGCACTGCGTCTACTGCAGGCATGTCCTGGGAGGGGGTTGTGGTGAGGTACACCTGTGACCTTGGTAGGGAGGCATGGAGGGTAGACCTGTGACCTTGGTGGGGGGGGCATGGCGAGGTACACCTGTGACCTTGAGTCCCCAGGTTCAGACAGGTAGGGCCCTTTTGTCGCCAGATGGATGGTAGAGGTTGCTGAGAGGCCCCTTTGGCCCTGCAGCCAGTATTTTTGTGGTCACGGATCTCTGAAAGACAGTCACAGCAAATGGGGGCCCTGTGACCAATGAGACCTTGAATGCCAGATTTAACATCTCGGTAGTTGTCTAAAAAAAAAAAAAAAAAAAATCCCTTGTCTCTCTGGTTCATTGTGATGAAACCTCTTTTAATTATACCTTCCCGGTGTTCTGCTGCTTGGTGCATGCTGGCTGATAAATGCAGATTACCCTGTTCTTTTGTTTATAGAAAAAATTAAAACCTTTCATCTGAGCTTTCGCATATGTTTCTCTAATGCTGTTCTGAGGAGGAGACAAGATACAAGGTTTTGCCAAGTGTGTGCTTTTCTCCCTCTGACTTCTCCCAAAGAGAGGCTGGTAGAATGATTAAGCTCCTTGTCTTTGCTGGGAATGGAGTACAGGGACTTTCCAGCTACCTGTGCCGGGCCTGGCTGCCCTCACGGACACAGGAGCATCCCGTCCCCAGGCCGGCCAGGACAGAGGTCTCCAATGTGGGGCGTCCAGACACATCCTCCAGAGAGGTCTTTTGTCAGGTGTTGACTTTGCTCTTTAATAGGAAGTGGATACATGAGAGGCCTATACTTCTAGATGTGAGCCCAAAGTCCATTTCTGGGCAAGGGGTTCAAGTCTGATTCCATCCTGAGCCAGCAGCAATGGTCCTACCCCCGAGGCAGACGGAGAGGCCCTCCTTGCGTTACACACCAGCTCCTGCTCCCCTTGGGCACTTCCGCCTTGGCCCACCAAACAGAGGTGCCCTTGACCTGTCCACCACCCCTTGTTTCTGACCCTGTAAGATGCTGCCTTTAATTCTACTTGAAAAAATGGCCATTTCCATGCATTGCATGGAACTCCCCTGGGCCAAAAGAGAAGAGCCCTCTGAGAATTTGCAGGGATGCTGAATCTGCCATGCATTTGCATGGTCCAGTGGCTAAGCATGAAGTTTCAGATGCCAGCACGGTGGCTGTCCTCACGGGGTGGCAGGGAACTGCCCTTGCCTATCAGCCACGTGGGCCAGTCTGCTTGTCTTCTGGTTCTCGCTGGGGCTTACAACTTCTGCTAATAGCTTCCTGGGCGTCACACCTGCACGTCTCCGCCAGTATTGGATGGCACCTGCAGATAGCGTCTCATTGGTATATGCCATGCTCTGTAGATGCGCCCAGAAATGAAGCCTTCCTCTTCGCAGTCCACTTTCTCCTTGAAGGAAGCGTGTGTAGCGTGGCCAGCATCCACAGTGAAGGCAGGGCCGTTGCCCACGGGCAGTGGGCAGGGCAGAGGGAGAAATTGCTGTGGAATCAGGCTCAGGGCACGCTCGCGTTGCCAAATCATGGAAGCAGCAAGCCCCCGCTGTTTCCTGATTTCCACAGATGCCCAGGGGCTGGTGAGGTCACCTGTCACGCAGCAGAGGCATTAGCGACACACGCGAGACCGTCTCACAGAGCCGCTAATGAGAAACAGCCCAGAGGTAGCTCCCGAGTCGAGCTTCCGGAGGCTGAGAAATGGCACCGAGTCTGCTGGGAAAATGAACACTTAGTGACATTATAAAGATTAACGGTTTTAAAATATATTTCTCAGCACAAAAACACGGCGGCGGAAACCAGCTAGTGAAGCTAACTTGTCTGGCTTCATTATCTTCATGAAATTAATGCACAAACAGCAGGAGAGCTGGGCCCTCTGGAGTGAAGTCGGGAGCGTGTGCAATTTATTCGAGGACGTGGCGGGCGGTTGGGGCACAAGGCTTCTGATGGGAGCCACCCGGCCACCTCAGGCGCTGACTCTCTCCACAGGGGTTCCAAGGCAAGACCGGCCCCCCGGGACCCCCAGGCGTTGTCGGCCCTCAGGTGAGTGGCACCCCCCCCCCCATGTTTTACTGGCAGTTGGTGTTGTGTGCCCACGCAGGAACGGGAGGAAGGGGCCCCAGGATTGGGAAAGTGCAGGTGTAGCTCACAAAGAATCCTGAGCCCCACAAGCTTGTTGACATTCAGAGCTGAGCTTTGCATGGGGAACCAGATGGGGGAATGGGGGAACCGTCTGTTGAACCATCAGCGAGAACCAAGCAGGCAGAACCAACACGGCCCCTGGGCAGTTGGGGCGGGCTTCCTGGGCAGGGCCCCGCCGTACCTGTTCCTCCCTGCCCTCCTGCCCTCCTGCCCTGGGCTCTGGTCAGGGCCGGCCCCTGCTTTTCTGCAGAGCAGACTCGTGGCTTTGAGCAGCAAAACCGGGCAGCAAGCTTGCACCTAATGTAGTGGTAAATAAGATATTGACCCGCTGTGGCCATGGACTGGAGGCAATGTGGGCACACTGCTCACCTCTCAGGTGGCTATCTGGCCACCTTCCCTGCATGTGGCTCCACGTTACATCCTACCCCGTCCACTCTGCTCTTTTTTCTGACTCTTTATGGGAAGGAAGAGATTTGCAAAGCAGGATGAGGTTTGGTGAGCATGCAGTGGGCCCTGTGCCTCCCCGGCCCCGGCCGTCCCTGATTTGGGAAGAGAAAATTGCTTCCTGGCAAGTCTCTTATGAACTTTTGTGGCTGATACCGACTTTCCTCACAGGGTCCCACAGGAGAAACTGGTCCGATGGGCGAGCGTGGCCACCCTGGGCCCCCAGGCCCCCCCGGTGAACAGGGGCTCCCAGGCCTTGCTGGGAAAGAGGGGACAAAGGTGAGTTAGTTGGGCCTTCCGTGCCAGCCTGACTTCCCAACAGGGAGTTTTCTCCTGCTCTAAAATGATCGGAGTAAGTTTTCTCAGACAAATGCCCTTCATGCCAGTCTGCTGCCCAGACCGCAGACTCAGCCCCACTTTCGCCTGGTCTGAAGGAGCACCTGAACTGACTTGCCACAGGGATGGAGGGTGACGGGGCTGGGGGTCAGCCCGTCCTGGGCCTTCTGCCCCTGGGGCCATGTCTCCCATCACCCAGCTTCCACATAACGTGCTCTGATACTTCATGTCTGAAGATAATTGAACAGAAAGTGACCCATTAAAAAGTTTCCCATAATAAGAGGCGTGAGTATAAATAATAAAAGTAGGAAGCGGATGCATTTCTGTCCTACCTCTTAGTGTGGATCCTGCCTTCCCTCTTTATTGCTCAGGGAGCCACCCCCCGAAGCCAGGGGGTCGTAATTCCCGTGTATTGGCTTGAAAATGGCGAGCCACCTCCCCTTGCAGCTTCTCAGTGAGGGACACAGCAGACCCAGCCCTTTGGATGAGCACACACATAAGAGTACCCCCACGATAATGAGAGAGAGCCAGTCAAGTAGAGTAGGGCAGTTGAAAAAATTGCACGCCTATGTAGGTGCACTGAAACACATGTGTGCCATATGCACGTGTGCATGAGTGTGCGATGTGTGTAGACGTAAACGAGCATGTATCCCAGTCACTGAGAGGCTCTCTGAGTTCGGGAAGGAGGCCGAGGGCGTGCTGGTTGGAGAGCCCCTCTACTCCCATGTTTGGCCCTGGAGAAAATTCTAGAAGATATCTGGAACAAGTATCCTGGGTGATAAGTCCGTTTGGAGTGATGCTGCCAATGTTCCTTTACCTGAGAAGTCACGAGAAGCCCCAAATTTATGAAACAGGTAGATGTGGAGGCAGATAGCCACCTGGCCCTCACCTCCCACTCAATTCACTGTGGCCCCAGAGAGATGAAGTCTGTCCCCAAGCCACATGCAGCGCCAGCCCCTGGAACGTGCCCCAGGCGTGAGCACAGGTGGTGTTTCTGTGTGTGGAGCTGCTGGTGAGGAAATCCAGTCACAACTCAGAAGTTCCTTCTGAAGCCGCTGCCCAGGCAGTCTAACCTGATCCCACTCTAACCTGATCCCAGAAAGATCTGGAAGGGGAAGCCCCGCCCAGTTCCCCACCCACCCTGGTCTCGGGCATTGCTTGGAAGGCATCACCTACAAGCTAATCTATGGCTCTGATTTCAGGGTGACCCAGGCCCCGCCGGCCTGCCTGGAAAAGATGGCCCTCCTGGGTTACGTGGCTTCCCCGGGGATCGAGGGCTCCCTGGTCCAGTGGTGAGTGAGGGGCCAGGCGGGGTCGGAGCTGGACACCGCCCAACCCGCGGGCCTCTCCCCATGGTGCCCCGACCTCATTCTCGTTGCTCTGCAGGGAGCACTTGGCCTGAAAGGCAGCGAAGGCCCCCCCGGCCCACCAGGCCCTGCGGTGAGTGCTATCAGTCGCACAGATGTTTTATCCCTTCCTCTTTCTCAAAACCTGGTCTGCAGACAAGACAGGGTGGCCCAAGGGCCAGGAGAGCATGCACGTCAGCCCTGCTCACTATGGGTCCCTGGGGGACAGTGGGCAGGGGCCCCGAGCTGGCAGCCAGGGTGACAACAAGCCAGGGGCATGACCCAAGGTCAGGTAGAGACATGGGTGTGGAGGGAGGGCCGCGTGGTCCTGTGGAGGAGCGGGGAGCATGCTGATGTGCTTAGCGTAGGTCTGGGCAGGGTTGTGGGGACTAAAGGTCTCTCTCACCCCTGAGCCTGGATTCGAGAGTCAGGTGACCTGCACGGCCTGGGCTGCCCATGCAAAGGTGAGCCGGCACAGGTGCAGGTCCATCCCCAGAGCCGAGGGTCAGAGGGCTTCCAGGGTGCTGCCTGCTAGCTGAATGGCCACCCCTCCAGCCTTCAGAGTCCAGCTATGCGAGGTCTGATGATGCAGTGTCCTCAGAGCCGCCTCTGTGGTCTGGGAGAGTGGGGAGCCGCGCGGGGGCTGTGCCGACAGACCCCTGTTCTTGGTCGACACCTGATGGAGATGTGACACCTGCTGTACTTTCCGTGGCCCTTCAGAGGGGGACCATCTCACAGCCCCAACTGCTTCGGGGATGTGGGGCTCTGGGAGCTGCCCTCCAGCCCCCGGCTGGGTCTGGGTGCAGGCCACAAATGGACCCCACCTGTCCCCAGTTGAGTCACGGAGCATTTCAGAGAGATGACAGTTGGGAAGCCAGGCCTTTCTTTGAAACGTTGCCCGTCTTTCCAATAGAGGCTGGCACAAGATGTGGCCTCCCTCTGTGCTGACCCTTGAATTAGGCCAGGTTCCCCCAACCAGCGGTACCCCAGGGGCAGCGCCTCCCCACCAAAACATACAGCACAGGGGAACAGGGCAGAGAGAGCCTTTTGTGGGCAGCAGATCCCACGGGGAAGTGTGGTGCCAGGCCCCAGAGTGGGAGCCCAGAGGGCAAGGATATCACCCCAGGCGAGCGCTTAAGGAGGCCGTGTTCTCAGACCTGGGGCAGGAGAGGCAGGCGTGTGCTTTGGCATTGCAGGAGGGGAGAAGCTGGGAGAAACCCAGAGCCTGAGCACTGGTCTGAGTAGTCTGTGCTGCCCAGGACCCTGGGAGCTACCAAGGGCTCTGGAGTGAGGGTCAGCGGTAGGACCTGGTAGCACTTTGGGAAATTGAATCCATGCATTCAGAGAGCCTCGGAAACAAACTGTTTTCTTGCCCACCCCAGGGATCTCCAGGGGAGAGAGGCCCAGCTGGTGCCGCTGGGCCCATCGGAATCCCAGGGAGACCTGGGCCCCAAGGACCTCCAGGGCCGGCTGGGGAAAAAGGAGCTCCTGTGAGTACTGGCTTGGGGGCTCAGGGGCCCTCCCCGCCTTAGCCCCCTCTGACCTGCCACTGGCAGTCGTGCCCCAGGGGTTTGTGGGATGGGGGAGGTGGGTGGAATGAGTGCTTGTCCCCCAGGAAAGCGTGTGTGTTCCCAGCATCCTCACTGAGGTCCAAGGGTCAGTTCCCAGTGTTGGCTTGCTTCTATCGGGGAATCATCTGAGCTGGAGGGGTGCTAGGGAGCATCTTGGCCGGGCACATGCACACGGAGGGAGGAACTGTGACTGTCCACACATGGCCTTGGTCTCGGTATGGGCTCTGGGTGCTGTGTGTGGACGGGTCTGTTGCCTGCTGTATACCCAGCTCGCCTAGCCGGCAGGAGCCAGGGTGGTCTTTGCGTGAGAAGGGTGGGTGTTTGGGGTGGGAGCCCCCTCCACTGGTCTAGGGGTGGGCATGGAGAAAAGATGGGCTGGGAGGCAAGTGCTGGGAGAAGCAGCTTCTTCTTGGACCCCCATAGCCACACTCTCAGTGACCATGAGTGTGGCCCAGTCACCCGTGGAGGCATCATGAGACCTCCCACCCCAGCCTTGGTGTCCATGGAGGAGATCAACAGGTCTCTTCTTGTCCAGACACCTCCTGGGAACCCGGTGGCTGCCCTCTGCCAAGCACTTTCCCTCAAATAACCGCAAAATGCCCCGACACACTTCTGCCTCGACCGTGTTGCAGGTTCAGCTTCCATCACACGGTTTTGCAAACTCCCACCTGCCCTGCATTCAAACAGCTGTGGAGACAAATTTCAGCTCCATCCTCCCTTTTGCATTCAGATGTCAGAAAGAGCGGAGTTCTAGGGGAGAGGGCAAACATGCACATAGATGATCTCTGACCGAGTCAGGGCACCCATGTGGATAAGTTCCTGTCGGAGAGACACAGTCTTCTCAAGGCTTGGTGGTTCATGGGTGGAAAGGGCCCGGCTGCCTTCCCTGGGCGGGAGCTCCCGCTGGAAACCGCCAGGAATTTGGTCAGTCTGCTATCGGCCATTCTAATGGCATCTAATCATTTCCACTGAGACCACTGGACATCAATCCAGCTGAATTTGGTGCCAGAAACCCACCTTCTGTGGGGCATTGGATACATAAAGCGCACACAGATTCGGGTGGAAACAGTTGGGTTTGTTGCTCCAAGAGACTAAACACTTGAGCAGAAACCTCTCAGAGTTGTACTGTGCACTTGAAAGCTGGTCATTCTCCCCGAATGGCTCGAGAGAGAGAGCAAGCCAGGTATCTAAGCAACCTGACCAGTAATGTCGGACCAGAGGATTCTGGGCACCTTACTTAGGGTAGACGTTTATATCTTACCCTAAGGCAGGAGCTAAGTGGAGGGGCAGGCAGTGAACCATGCAGGCAGGAAAGGATGAGCCAGGGTGCTGACATCCAAGTAGGTACCGGCCGCCCCAGATCCCGAGGCGGAGTGCACATTTCCTCTCCTGTGCCCCCTCCCCAATGCATACCCCCCTTGTTCTGTGCTCTCAGAGTGATCCCCAGACTGGCAAAACTGAGCAAAGCAAGAATAGGGAGGACGTTTGAGCTGGCCAGGGGCATTTTTAAGGGAAATGAGTCAAAATTACAAAAAAAGAGAGATGGGTGTGTGCATGCCTACTGGGCAGGGGGAGTTTGCAGAAAATTGAAAGGGTAGGAGCATTGGTGGAGGCCTGAGCTCAGGTCCTCCTGGCCGTTGGCATAGATGATCCCACACGCAGTCTCAGGAGTCCTGCTGGCTGGGCTGAATCCTGGCTCTACGTTTCACATGCTGTGACTCAGTTTCCTCATTTCCAAAAGAGGAGCCCTTTTTTGGATGGGCACAGATGAGATGCAGTGGTGCACTGGAAGCAGGTGGCATGGGGCTAGACTCTGAGCTGCCCTCTGCATAGCTGGCTGAAATCTGTTAGGACTGTGGCGAGGGTACTGACCCAAACAGCAGGCTCCTCCTCTCTGGGGCGACGAGCTGGTGGTGGGATGTTCCCATGACAAGCTGTGTTTGACCTGAGATCTCTTCCCTGTAGGGTGAGAAAGGTCCCCAAGGCCCAGCTGGCCGAGATGGCCTCCAGGGCCCTGTGGGGCTCCCCGGTCCAGCTGGCCCCGTGGGCCCCCCTGGAGAAGATGGAGATAAGGTAAGGAGGGTTCACACAGGTCCTCTCGCCTGTGGACAACGCACCGTGCTGGCAACTGGGTGACCCCTGTCTGCCCTGCACGCTCTGCGTGCACAATTTCAGTAAAGCCCACGGATCTGTGGTGACAGATGAGATCTCTGGTATGCCGGGGAGGGGGCGGGGGATACTTAGAAACTGCTTCCGTGCCCCCCTCCACCCCCCAAGCACTCTGCTGTTTGCCCAGGACATTGGCCGCTAGTGGCTGGGGCTAGGAGAAATCCTCCCTGCTCTCCAATGCTCGTAGCGGTTCCGAGTGCAGAGGCTGATGCAATGAGGTTTTAGTCTGTATCCATTTTTCAATGTCTCCCCTTGAATCATCCCAGCTCCCTCTCATGAAAAATGTGGCTGCAGGAGCTTATGTTTTATCTCTCATTGAGTAAAGACAGTGAAATTTAGCTCTTTGGTTTCACTTTCCATTTATGATGACTCTCCAGTGACATTTGCAATGTTGTCACCTGTACGCAGAGGACGCCGCCTCTTGGGGCAGGAGATGGCTCCGTGCAGCGGGCGCTGGAGGCTGTCGTGACCCCTCAGGAGCTCCATAGCTCCGCTGTTGGTTACTGTCCTGCTAGGCATGCCCCCGCTTGACAAAGTGCATATGTTCACCAGCACCGAGGTCCTATAGGGCATGAGATCAACGCCTTGCACCCCATTCACTGTTGCATTTGAAGGGAAATCTACCTAATTTATGGAAACATCTCTTCCTAGGAAAGTTCTTGGGCTGCCCCAGAGGGGAGATTAATCTCAATGTCTGAGAAAAATGAATTATGGGGAGCAGCTAACGTGCAGGCAGTTCAGGGCTAATGGACTGTCCTCCTCTTCCCACAGGGAGAGATCGGGGAGCCTGGACAGAAGGGCAGCAAGGGGGACAAAGGCGAGCAGGTACGGGCCACGCACTCACTGCTGGTGTTAATGCTGTTGTTGTCACACCCACCAACCATCCAAGCAGGACGCAACTACCGGGCTTCTGTGGGACTCGTGTGGGGGTGGCATGCACCTTTGAATTGATGCACATGTGTGTCCATATCTGAGGGGACCCCTCCTCATGGACAAGCAGAAGCACTTGCAAGTTTCCTAGAACAGAGCTGGGGGGGTGGGGGTGTCTTATCTGGAGGTTTGGGGTTCTGCAGGCCTGGGTCACAGCCACCCTGCGGTGCTCAGGCTATGAGTGCCCTGCTAGAGCAGTGCCTGGACCTGTCCACTCTGAAGTCCTGGTGTGTCCTTGGGGAAGGCCTGTCACCTGGTTGCTGGCCCCGTCCTTGTTGTGGTGACATGTGTCCGCTCTGCTGCATAGCTGGGCCTCTTCCCGGTGACCAGTGATCCTCTGTGCCAGGGGACCTGCTGCCCCCGGCTGGACACACTCCCCGGGGGCGGTGCTGCCCGGTACCCGCCTTGCCATTTTCTCTCAATCGCTCCATGTGCCAGCAGTGCACTGTGCATAGGGACACGTGGGGGCTGGTATGGCACTGCCAGGAGTGAGCTCTGGGATCATGAGTCCTGCATGTGTGAGCTGCCTGGTGTCCAGCCTTGTTTTTAAAACAGGGCCTGTGGGACCCCGATCCTGGGTGTGTGGTGGGAGCTAGGTGACACTCAGTGGCCATCCCCCGCCCCCGCTACCCGTGATGACCCGCGAGGGCCTGAATCCAGAGCCTGCAGGTAGCCTACAGCTGGCCACCCACATATGGGGGCTGACCGGGCCTCAGACTGTGGACCCCACACCAACCAACCCTCTCCCTCGGCCTCTGCTGCCATCTGAGAAGCAACCGTGTCTGTCTTTTCCCCACAGGGTCCTCCCGGGCCCACTGGTCCGCAGGGCCCCATCGGACAGCCTGGCCCCTCGGTGAGTACCTGCGCCCGGGACCCTTGGCCCATCCCCAGCCCCCCCACCCCGAGCCCGCGGGGTGCCCGCAGCTGCTCCTCACCCATGCCCCACTCTCTCCTGCAGGGAGCCGACGGCGAGCCAGGCCCTCGTGGGCAGCAGGGCCTCTTTGGGCAGAAAGGTGACGAAGGTCCGAGAGGTTTTCCTGGCCCCCCCGGGCCAGTGGGGCTGCAGGTACCTGCAGGTTTTGTGTGGTGGCAGTGGCTGGTCTACCTCACAGGCTTCCACCTCTATGGAGCCTGCCCCACTCTCCCCTTCCTGTTCCCTCCTCTCCCCTCCCGTCCTGACATCATGAGCATGGGGAATCTAAGACTAAGCTTTGGGGGCCTCCCAGGGCTTCCTCAGGAATCAGAAGCAATGCAAGTTCCCATGATTGCAGATGTGTCCATACGTGTGTCTCTTACCCAGCAGTACCTATCTCCGAGCTCCCCATAGAGATGCAGGAAGTGATTGACCAGTTGTAAACCTGTAAAAGGAAACTGCCTGCCCAGGAAGGGTGTGTCCTGCCCAGGAAGGGTGGCTTTGAACGCTCGGGCACATTTCATCTCCCTGCCTTTCTACACGTGTGTTCATGCGCTCGTGTGCACATGTGTGGTTTTGTTTGGCTTTTGCAAAACCTGAATCTGGCTGTGTGTACAGAAAGTTTGTGCAGCTTCTCCCATTCCCCTTTACGAGTTGTGTTCAGTGTTAGTAAATATTCTTTGGACGTGTCCCTTTTTATTTATTTTTCCAAGACATGATTTTTAGTCACCGCATAGCGTGCCAGCATATGGTGGTGACATAATTTATTCAGACATTTCCCTGCTGTTGGCTCATTAGGTTTTACTGTTTAATGGGACACTGCAGCAAGCGCCTTGGTCCATAAATCTCCAAATACTCTCTAATGATTTCCTTGGGCTGGTTCTGAGACTTGGCATCATGGGGGTATCCTCATTTGGCTGGACACTTAGAAGCACATTCGGAGGCTCTTAGGCGCTTGCTTGGCACCGTGGTGGGGAGACCACGAAAGCCATGTGGGGACTGGGGTGGTGTGGTGCTGACCCACTAAGTCTCTGCTGTGTTCCTGCCCAGGGTCTGCCAGGACCTCCCGGAGAGAAGGGCGAGACTGGGGACGTGGGCCAGATGGTAAGTGTCACCAGGACGCACCGACTTCCATTTTGGCCATGGTTGGCATTTTGTCTGTGCTCAATGGTTCTTCTTCCCCTAGGGTCCCCCAGGTCCCCCCGGCCCCCGAGGACCCTCTGGAGCTCCAGGTGCAGATGGGCCACAAGGGCCTCCGGGTGGAATTGGCAACCCCGGTGCCGTGGGAGAGAAGGTGACTCCTGGCCCCTTGCCGTTGCAGTGTCTGATGTGCGAGTGTGTGTGTGTGTGTGTGTGTGTGTGTGTGTGTGTGTGTGTCCAGCTGTGGATACAGAGACCCGCAGGGTGTTGCTGGGCTGTTCCTGTCGAGTGCACTTTGACACTTAGCAGATCTGCATGGTGGAGGTGGGAGTTCTGACCCCTGCCCACCGTGGCCTTTGCAGAATCTCCCAGCCATACACCCAACCAGCAGAACTGGCCCTGCCCCTTCTCCATGACCTGGCTGATGGGTCTACTTCATCCCTGGAAGTACTGGGGTGGCTCCATTGACCGTTCCCCTCATGGTCAATTTCGTCCTCTCAAAGTCTAGGGTCCCCATATGATCTGATTCATTCTAGGGTGTGGGTCCTGGGGATGCCTCCAAGAGCATGGCGGGCTTCTGTGTGCGCACATGTGTGTGCATGCCTGTACATGCATGTGTGCGGTGGGCAGGCCTCCACTGCAGTGCCTGTGAGCATGACCCTACCTCCTTGGGATAAGAGGAATGAAACCAATGTGCTTCCATTCACTGGCATTCCCTGTACACAGTTTTCACAGCTTTCTGACGTCAGCCTGTTAAATTGGAAGAAGTCCTCCATGGCTGGTCATTTTTTATGACATGAGAATTACAGACAAATGTATCCTGCTACCACCATAGATTAATGATGCCCTGCTTCTTCTCAGAGGTGTCCTCCTTTTGGGGCTCCTGCCTCCGCCCGGCAGCCCAGTACCCTCTGCTCTCTGTGTCTGCCTGGCCCGTCCCTCCTGTGTGGTCCTCCCAGCCCTCCCACTGGCTTCTCGTGATTGTCCCCCATAACTTGCTCAGAGCACCATCCATGACATTCCGTGTACTGTGGTCACCTCCTTCGTGTGACCATCACAGCCCGCTGGCATCACTTACCCTGATGTGGATGTGACATGGAGCCCCAGGGGCTGTCAGAGTGCAGTGGATGCTCTCATCCTGGGCTCCCCACCTCTAGGGCCCGACGGCAGGAGGATTTGCTAAGTGCTTGGAGCTTGGGCCACTGATCTCCACGCCGCCATAACAATGTCATGTTTCCTCCTTAGGGTGAACCTGGTGAAGCTGGAGAGCCTGGCCTGCCTGGAGAGGGGGGCCCCCCGGTGAGTGGGCTCACAGGGCGGGAGGTCACCACCATGGACCTCTATAGGGTGGGAAGCACACACTCTGCCTCAGTTTTCTCATCCATGAGATGGGAGCCACGGCTCCCCTCATGCTTAACTCATGGAGTTACTGTAACAAGAGGGAGTGAGATGGGGAGTGAGCAAGTGTGTGTCTGTGTGTGCACACATTTGAGCCTGTGTGCAAGTGTGAGTGTATACGTGTGCAAGCATGCCTGCGTGTGTGAATGCATGCATGTGTGCAAGTACAAGTGTGTGCATGTGTGTATGTGAGCATGCCTATGTGTATGTGCACACACATTTACACATGCACGCAGGTGTGAGTGCCATGAGCACCCATGAGCCAAGACTGTGAGTTGCTCTGCTGTCTGTGGTGTTCCAGACCTGCTCCTGGGCTGCCATGATGTGGAGGCATTGTCCCCTCATCAGCCCAGACCTGGAGTATCCTGACCTTTGCAGGTCAGAAGGGCCCAGGAAGTATGACTCGTGGACAGAGGTCTCCTAGGCCTCTAGCTGCTCCCTCCACCTGCAAACTGGGGAGTGGCCAGGTGGCCTGAGTCCCCGCAGCCCCTCCCACCTAGAAGTTGAGTGTTGTCTCCGAAGGCCCTGTAAGCCAGTGGGCTCCTCAGGCCTGCCTCGTGGTGCCGGCTGGGCCAGACCACATGGGGAGCTGCTGAGGACCGGGGAGCACGAGTACCTGCCAGTCCCCACCTGGCCAAGCCTGTGGCCTCATCAGAGCATGCACTATCCCATGCATGCCAATGAGGGGGCACACTGGAGGCCTGCTCTGAGGACATTGACATTGGCCTTTCCCTCCAGGGACCCAAAGGAGAAAGGGGTGAGAAGGGCGAGTCGGGCCCTTCTGGTGCAGCTGGACCCCCTGGACCCAAAGGCCCTCCTGGGGACGATGGTCCTAAAGGCAGCCCCGTGAGTAGCTCTGAGATGCGCCAGCACCGTGAAACTCTGGGGGGTCTGTGTTGGGTTATTCTCACTCCCACTGGCCGTGCACTAAAGCCTTCTGACTGTTATGGGGCTTGGAGTAACGTCTCTAAAGTTTAGAGGTTTTCATATCAGCTGCCAAGCCAGAGCCGTGAGGGTAGGATGTGTGGGGTGTGAGGCTTTGGGGGCTCCTGTGAGGACCCCGGGAGCTTGCTGAGATGCACTGTGTGAACGGCGGCCTCTCTGGATGCCGCCTTCCCATGGCCTGCCTTGGCTTGGCCCTGGGAGGAGGTTCTACGTGGCACGTTCTAGAAGCCTACAGGTCTAAGCTCCGGCTCAGCCTGAAGCTCTGGGAGCAGGAGTGGGCATGGCACCTGTCCTCCGCGTGCCTTGAGAGTGGAGCACTGAGCCCGTCTGGCTTGGTGTGGTGTGGCTGGGATGGCACGGTGCTCTCCAGAGGGCTTCTGGGCCATCGGGTGCCCACCTGGTGTCAGAACCAGGAGTGTTGTAGAGGCTGGGTGAGGCAGGCGTGTAGGGGTGCGGCAGCAGCAGCTCCATTGCTGAGGGCCCAGATGTGCCTGTTTTTGTTTCTTTCAGGGCCCTGTTGGTTTCCCTGGAGATCCTGGTCCCCCTGGAGAGCCTGGACCCGCGGTAGGTGTCCTGGGCTGCTGAGCCCCAAACCCCCAGGCCCTTCACCTGCCTTTGCCAGCCCTGATTCTTTCTGGTTGTCTTCTATGAATTCTCTTTGGGGCCCAGTGCTTTCCCAAATGGCACCCGTGGTGGTCAGGTGGAGAGAGTGTGTTCCCACAGCGTTGACTTGGATTCTGGGGCAGGAACTAGGGACATGGTGGGCGTTGGCGTGTGACTCAGGTGCCAGCAGGAGGCAGAAGGAACTCGGTTTTGTTCCCACAGGGTCAAGATGGCCCCCCTGGTGACAAAGGGGACGACGGTGAGGCCGGACAAACGGTGAGTCCACTCATGACTTCCAGGGATCCCACACGGCTTCTTGCTGGAAGGTGTCGGGCACTCTTGGGGTTTGCAACTTGCTTTGTTCATTTCTTAGAAAAACCCAAGCCCTGTAAGCTTGTAGGATCGATTCTGAATAGTGACAGGACCATGAGCTCCCTGCACTGTTAGAGGCCAGGGACAGGTGTACCAGTGGTTCAGGACTCACCGCCACGGAGTCTGTGACTGCCCAAGCCTACCATGAAGGTCAGGCCTTATTCCTGCCTGATCAGGCCAGTGCCCTCCTCCAAAGGGCTCCGCCCAGGCCAACCCTTGGGCTGAGATCACACCAGGCCTTACCTCTCGCACCCGACACTGAGTTTCTGCGACATTGCTCACTCTGCACCAGCCGGGTAGACAGCTGCTGGAGGTTTCCTGCCCTCAGGCCCTGGCTGGTGTCACTGGTGTTAGATGAGCAGAAGCAAAGAAAGCTCAAGGGCCCAGCTCTGAGGCCAAGTCCCCTGAAAGATGCCCGAGGACCCCGGCCCCCTGGCCCGTGACTTGGGATGACCCTCATCCTCCTCGTGCCTCAGGTCCCCTTCTGTAGAAGGGGGTGTCTGCAGGAGGTGGTGTGGAGGGAGCCAGCTCCCCGCATAGCCAACATAATGGCTATGTGCTGGGAAAGTGCTCTTTGAAAATGTGACAGCATGGGGGGCCCATGACTCATTTGGGTAAGCGTCCATCTCTCGGTTTCAGCTCAGGTGTGATCTCAGGGTTCTGGGTTCAAACCTCGCGTCGGGCTCCACACTCAATGAGGAGCCTGCTGGAGATGCTCCCTCTGCCCTGACCCCTACGCATGCACGCATTCTCACATGCCCCTCTCTCAAATAAATAAATAGATCTTTAAAAAAATAAAATAAAACGTGGCAGCACCGGTACTGTGAGCCAGGACTCCCCACACTGCCCCACAGCCGCGTTGAGGGCAGAGGTCAGGTACAGGATGATTTCACCTGGGACTTCTTGCGGCAGTAGCTCCCCCCCGACCTGGGACAAGAGAGACAGCCTCAGCGCTGGCCCAGGACAGTACACGGGGGGAACTGTGTGTTTGGTCAGCCTCACGCCAGCGCAGACCTGCCGTGCTGCTGTCTGACCTGCCCTAATTCCTGAATTCTGTGTTCTTTCCCCGACACCAGGGATCTCCAGGCCCCACTGGCGAACCAGGACCGTCTGGGCCTCCAGGAAAAAGGGTAAATGATCCTGCTCGCTGCCCTTGGCCACCCGGCCCTCGTCAGCCCCGCAAGCTCTGGGTGGCCCTGGTAGGGAAGACGCTGCCGTCTGTGGTGTGGGCTCCAGCCTTGCCACATCCTCAGACCCCACACCCGCCAGGTCCATGTCCCCCTGCATGGAGGCGAGGCCAAGATGCCATCAGTAATTCCCATTGTGGGGAAAAGACACCTACAGAGCCGGAAAACGCCTCGCCCTCCGGCTCACACCTTTCCTGAAAATCAGAACCAAAGGGCCGAATGGTGCTTTTCTGTGTGTTGAATTCTTAGCCTTTGCCAGTGCTGCAGTGCAGTGGCCTGTGTGGCATGTGACCAGGAGAGGGGCCCCAGCACTTGGACTAACCCGGAGGTCCTTCCCAGGGCTGGGGTCCCTGAGACTCGCTCTGAGGGCCTGGTCCTTCCTGGCCAGGGGCCTGGGAGCCCCCTCCCCATGCTTCAGGCCCTCCATGTCCTCCCTGCCTGCCCCTCCAGCCTGGGCCTCTTCTCCTCCCGACACTGAGCTCATCGCTCTGGCGTCTGCAAGCAGCTCCTCACGTGTTTTTCCCTTGCTCTGTTCCAGGGTCCCCCAGGCCCCGCAGGCCCCGAAGGCAGACAGGGAGAGAAGGGAGCCAAGGTAACGTGCTTCCCTGCCCAGCTGTGACTGCGGAGCTTCCGGAAGACCGGCTTGCATGTTGGCCGGGTTGGGTGGGAAGCGGAGATGTGTGCATATAGGAGAGCGACAGAGGCAGCAGGGAGCAGGAGGCGGCTCAGGGGGAGGCCCGGCTCTCACTGCAAACCAGGAGGGCGGCAGCTGGCATGCCCCAGGGTGCACAGGCTGTCAATCCCTCCAGCCTGAGGGTGGGGAATGGGTGCTAGTGCACTCAACCTGGCCGCACTGCCCCCGAGCCGTGCCCACTGCCCCCGAGCCGTGCCCACTGAGGGGCCCGTGTCTTGCGGCTGGCTTGCAGCCTGGTGCCTGGGGCCCTCGAGGGACTGCTCCCTGTGATGCTGCTGCCCCTGCCTGCCTCCTGGAGCCATCCCATCGGGAGCAGAGGCAATGGCAGGAGCCGTCCAGCCCCACGCCAGCCCAGGAATGGTGGCCGTGTCCACCGTGAGTGCAGGCCTGGCCGGAACAGCTGAGATTGCCAGAGACTGGGGAGCTCAGCTGGCTGAGGAAATTAGAGGGATGGAGAATTGGTCAGGACAACTCCCATAAAGAATGTGGAGAATTTGGAGCCATCTCAGTGATCTGGGGGCATCTGGGGCTCTCTGAGCAGTGGTCCTGGGCCAGAGTGGTCCTGGGCCAGAGTGATCTGGCCTCTAGCATCTGTGTCCTTGCACCTACAGGGGGAAGCCGGCTTGGAAGGCCCTCCTGGGAAGACTGGCCCCATTGGCCCCCAGGGGGCCCCTGGGAAGCCTGGGCCTGATGGCCTGCGAGGGATCCCAGGCCCTGTGGTGAGTGGATGGGGGCCAGGGAGTGGGGCAGCTGCAGGGGAGGGGCGTGGGCACAGGGATGGGCCCTGTGGAGCTCCTGCTGAGGGCCTGTTGTGTTTCAGGGTGAGCAAGGTCTCCCGGGCTCCCCAGGCCCCGACGGCCCACCTGGCCCCATGGTGAGTGATGACCCCAAGGGGCTCCAGGCAGTGGTGGAGGGTGGAGTTGGGGAGGAGAACTCTGATCCCTCTGCCCCCTCCTGCAGGGACCCCCAGGACTCCCTGGCCTCAAAGGAGATTCTGGCCCCAAAGGGGAAAAGGTAAGATGGGACTCAGGGGCCTCTGAGGCTGTAGCTTGGGGCCCCTCAAACACGTGGGATATCAAACTATCAGCCACTCATCTGGCAGATGCAGGCTGGGGACGGGTCCTGGGAGGCTGGGAAACCCAACCGGCCTGTGCTGTGAGGGACCCTGGAGGCCCGTGTGGAGGTCCCGGTGGAGGGGTGTCCAGGGTCTGAGGAGTGGACGGCAGTCCAGAATGCCTCCCACAGGGAGAGGGCCGAGACCACCCAGCACGGCAAAGCCTGTTTGCTTTCTCTAGTTGAGGTGTTTTTTTCTGCTCAAGCCGATTAATTCACAAATGTAAAGCACACACACAAACCAGACAGTTGCATCTGAAGGACTGGGGACTCTTTCTTTTCTAGCCCATGCCTGTCACCACTGAGCCTGTGAAGTAAGAAAGCTGGAAAAAAACCCTTCTAGAGCCTTTCTATGGGCTCATGTAAAACGAACACATGGAAACTTATGTAGAGAGTTCTTATTGCCTCCCCCAAAAAGTCCACAAGAAATTATTATAGTACCTCTAATCCTCTGTAACTTCACTGAAGTCTGTGGATGTTTCTGTGCACACATTGGCTGTACAAAAACCAGATGTTGCATATGAGACCCATGCAAACGTCACTCAGGAAAACACCCTGTTACCACTTTGGTCTGTGTCTGGGTTTGTGTCTTTCTGCCTCTTTGGCTAGGACATCTACAGAAGGCCAGCTGTGTCACACCTGCTGTCTTGTCACTTGGCCTGCCTGTCAGCTGGGTCCTCTGCCAGGACATGTGGCTGGTGACCCCGTGGCTTCCCTTGTCAGGGACCCCTTCCATGTCCAGCCAGCACACGAGGTTGGCGGTGAGGCACAGCCACAGTGAGTGCCCCTTCCTGCCTTTATTCGTCAACAGGGTCATCCAGGCTTGATCGGACTCATCGGACCTCCGGGTGAACAGGGTGAAAAAGGTGACCGTGGTCTCCCTGGCCCCCAGGGCTCCTCTGGCCCCAAGGGAGAACAGGTGCGTGAAGAGGTGCCCCCACCACACCCCAGCGCGGCTCCTCAGTGGGTGGTGAGAAGCATCTGAGGACCTGGCCTTGGGCCAGTTAGACCCGGAAGGATGTCCTCACGTCTACCATACCTGGATGGGAATGGCAGAGGGGACGACTCGCCCAGGGCACAGGGGGCTGGGATGCAAGTGTGGCCCTGACTGGCTGCCAGCCTCTTGCTCCCTCAGCAGTTCACCTGATGGCCAAGCGAGGGCCTCTTACCCAGCTGACTGCCCAGGTCACTGGTGAGGCCCAACCGTGTGTGCCAGGTACGCAGGGCAGCACCTGCTCCCTGACCACGATGGGCACGCCTGGCCCCAGACCTACCCAGCACTGCAAACCCTAGCCAGAGGGTTCGTCCCTGCCCTACGCAGCCAGCCACTGAAGTGACTCTGTGGTCAGGGTCAGGGCCACGTGTGCCGTGGAGGCAGGCGAGGGCATGTGGCAGGCCTACCGCGTCTGTGCCCTTCCCCACGTGAGGGCAGCATCCCAGGTACAGGTCACTGCTTCCCAAGGTGTGCAAGGCCCTTGACTCCGCCCCCCTTGGCCCACACCTGACCTGCAAGGGGATGGGACTCATGGGGCAGAGCCAGGGAGGCAGGGGATGAAGTAGGACCCCCACTGGGCCCCTGATGGTTGTAGGATGGTGTCCTTGGGAGCCCTGCTTCATCCACCACTGCACTGCTCTCCACATGGCACTGACCATCTCTCCTAAGTAGTGCAGTCCAGGGCCTGGTAGCCTGGTGACCTCGAGAATTAAGAAGATGTCCGGGGCTCCACCACCAGAGCACCTGTCCGTGCCCTCACCACCATCCCTGCAGGGAGGTGCCTGCTTGAGAATCTCTCGGATTCTGACCATGATGAGCTGCCCCAGTTTCTCTGGGGTAGGGGTGGGGGGTGCAGGGTGGGGGTCACTCGCTCTCAGCCTCCCTCTGCCCCCCCTGTCACTTAAGCCCCAGTGGGAAGGTTGTGTGGAATCGGGGTTCCAGGTGAAATGAGCTTAGGGCACCCTTCCACAGCAGGGTGCTTGGTGCTAAAGCTAGGGAGTCTCTGGTGCATGGGCTGGCTGGGCCTGTGTGGACCGAGCGAGGGTCTGCTCAGAGGCTGTGAGCTCCGTGTGGGGCAGAGCATGTGGAGAGGCTGGGCAGGGTGGGCTGCACACACAGGGCCTTAGCACCCTGTTGCCCTTGCCGCCAGGGCCCGTGCAGGGGTGAGGGAGGCGGGGGGTGGGGTGGTCCCAAGCTGGGCGCTGGGCGTGGAGCTTCTGTATTTCAAATCAGGATGTTAGAGGGGATGATGGCAGAAGTCCCCTCCCCGTGGCCCTGGAGACGCCAGATTCCCAGCCTGACCCAGGCAGCCAGGCAGGGGTGCTCAGTGTCCTGGCGCACGTTTGGGCCCCAGCAGGTCCTGCAAGGAGAGATGGCTCCCCATCGAGGCAGCCGGCCCCTCATCGGAGGGTGTCTGCTCGGGGAAAGACCACGTCACCGGAGAGCCGGGGCACTCGGCAGGCATGTGCGTCTGTGACCCTCCCCGTATGATGCTCCAACTATGTTTTCTGCTCCTTTTCAGGGCATCACTGGTCCTTCGGGCCCGATCGGCCCCCCCGGCCCTCCCGGCTTGCCGGTGTGTATCTGGGAGGGGTGGGTGGCTCCGGGTCACACTGGGGAGGCAGGCGAGCCCAGGCTGTGGGCCTCGGCGTGGTGGGAAGGTTATGGGATGGTCAGGAGCACCCGGGTTGGGGCCCAGCACCGAGGGGATGCTGGGCCCAGGGTGGGTTTGCCCATCACCTCCACATCAGGGCCCTGGGTGACAGAAGCTAGGAAGAGGCGTCTCTGGGCCCTGGTTTCAGGAGAGGAGGCAGGCATTTCAGGGATCAGGGATATGCTGGGCCAGGTGAGGAGAGTTGTCCCCATGAGCCTGTAGGATGGCCTGGCCTAGACAAGGGGGGCTGGGGACCATCCATAGGGCAGCCCCCATGTTGCTGGGCCACCCAGCTCCAGAGCCGTCCCCCAGGGCCAGGAGCCTCCACTTGCCCCTCCTGGACCTGGGCCTGGGTCTGCGAGGCCAAGGTGAGGCCATGAGACCCGAGACCCTGCTCTCCTGACTCTCGAGGCCTAACCGGCTTCCCTACTGCGGTGGGGGTGGGGGTCAAGATGACTGGGGTCGGATGGGACAGGACCCTTCTCTGCCTCCCTGTGGCTGAGCGCCAGTCATACCCCCTACCCTGTCAAGCAGGTGCAAGCATGGACTCCTAAGAAAGGGGGCTTGGGTGCAGGCTGGAGGTGAAGAGCCAGCCAGGCCTGAGCAGGAGCGTGGGGTGGGGTGGGCACCCGGAGGTGAAGGGCTGCCTGCACACTGATGCTCTGTCCCTTACTCTCTGCAGGGTCCTCCTGGGCCAAAAGGTGCTAAGGGCTCCTCGGTAAGTGGTGTGCACCCCTGATGGCCCCTCTGCCCTGGATGACAGCCACCCTGGGTCCCCTTTGCCCCCTTGACCGGCGGTGGCACCATCTTCATGCTTCTCCAGTGCCAACCGTCCTGAGCCCATCCCCAGCCACGGTTGCTGCAGACACTCTCACCTTAGCAGGATGGTGCCCCTGAGGTTTCCATATGGGCCATCAGTCTCTCGCATCTGCGCCTGGGGATGGGAGGGTCCCTGCCATCCTCCCCCTGGCGCAGTAGACTTGGCCCCTCGCCGTGTCTGTGCAGGCGTTGGGGGATCATCCTAGAGTACAAAGCAGGTTTAAGTCACATCAGACCTCTGTAATCAAGGTCGGTTCCCTCTTTCTCCCAGGGTCCCACTGGCCCGAAGGGTGAGGCTGGCCACCCAGGACCCCCTGGCCCACCGGTGAGTAGCCTTCAAAGACTTGAAAGTGGGACTGGTGGCTCTCCTGGTGCTGAGGCAGTCATGGGAGCATTGTGTGTGCTATATACCTTCCAGGACTTTGCGGAGGGTGTCCAGATGCCTCTCCCTGGGAGGCCTGGTTGGCCACAGTGTGGGGGGAGAGTGCACGTGGGGGTATCTGTGTGCATGGGCACCTGTGTGGGTGTGACAGTGGGCAGCACCCACCAAGGCCCCCAGCAGTTGGGCAGGGGCCATGGTGAGCCAGATTGCAGGGCACGCTCACTCCATGCATCCCCCCATTTGAGTGAGCAGCCTCTCGATGCCTATCTCCATCCTTGGCTTGGGCTCCTACACCCACAGGCATTTGTGTGGCGCCACCGTACACAGCCCTAGGCTGGGCTGCAGGGGCGAGTGGAGAGCTAGTTGCTTTGAGTCCAGCTGAGGCTAGAACCCCAGGCCACGGCCGGGAGGAGGGGGCTGTGCGTGTAGGTGAGGCCCAGCAGCAGGGACAGGTGTGCAGTGCTCAGGAGCAGCAGAGAGAGAGGAGAAGCATGCTGAGGGGGACAGGTGTCTGCAACCAGAACGTGGGGCTCCAGCTGCCTGGGCACTGCTCCCACCAACACCCACCGGGTCCTTCCACACACAGGGTCCCCCTGGCGAGGTCATCCAGCCCCTGCCAATCCAGGCATCCAGGACCCGGCGGAACATTGATGCCAGCCAGCTGCTGGATGACGGGGCCGGCGAGAGCTATGTGGACTACGCGGACGGCATGGAGGAAATCTTCGGCTCGCTCAACTCCCTGAAGCTGGAGATAGAGCAGATGAAGCGGCCTCTGGGCACGCAGCAGAACCCCGCCCGCACCTGCAAGGACCTGCAGCTCTGTCACCCCGACTTCCCAGACGGTAGGGGTGGCCGCATGCGGGGCAGCGGGGAGGCCTGCGGGGCTCACAGTGCGTGGGAGGGGGCGATGACAGGGCTGCCCAGGCAGCAGGACAGACACAGCCTCTGGGTCCCCATCTGGGCAGCATGTGGCCACCTGGGCATCTCCCCCTGAACCTGATGGAGGCAGCGCAGAACATGGCCAGGTCCTAGGAGGAGGGAAGGAGGGCAAGGCTTTGGGGTGACATGGAGCCTGGTCCTAGTCCAGTCGTAGCCACCGTCTTGTGTGTAAGCTGTGACCCTGGGCCTCGGGTCAGCCTTCCACGGAGAGGGTCCTCCCAGAGGACGGAGTGGAAGAGACAGTGTGTTGCTTGCTCAGCAGGGCATGCCCGACATCGGGGTTGTTGTCAGGGTCAGGTTATACCCGTGCTAACGTCAGTATCAGGGCGCTCCTTGGGACAGCCCTCCATCAAATCCCCTCTCGTTCCTGTCCTCCCGTCCTCTGAGGCCTCCTGTTGAAAGATCCAGCCCCTTAGCCGGCTGTTGCCCCTGGGAAGTGTGGGTGTCTGTCCTCGAGACGTGAGGGGCTCCCAGGCCTCTCTCATCCCAAGTATGTGAATTTCCTAGCTCCACCCACAGCCCCTCTGCATTCCTGTCTCCCTGCCGAGGTGGCTGGGCCACCCTCCACTGTCAGCCAGAGCAGGGGCTCCAGGGGTTTCACCCTCCAGCTGGGTTCTCGGGGATGGGACTGTCATATCTTTGTGCGGATGCAGCAAGGGCACTGGGCAGACCCAGGGACGGGACTGTCATGTCTCTGTGTGGATGCAGCAAGGGCACTGGGCAGACCCGGGGATGGCCCACACTGGTGGCCTGTGGGCCTGGCCCTGTGTCTTACCTGCTGAGCTGACGGCATGTGGCTCCTTCTGGAACCACATAGGGAGCAGCTGACGAATCCGCTCCCTGTCTGCCTTGCAGGTGAATACTGGGTGGATCCTAACCAGGGATGCTCCCGGGACTCCTTCAAAGTTTACTGCAACTTCACAGCTGGAGGGGCAACGTGCGTCTTCCCCGACAAGAAGTCCGAGGGGGTGAGTGCCTGCCTTCCCCTCACAGCAGGGCTGGGGTCAGAGTTGAGGTTTCTCCCCCGGGGGCAGACCCAAGACGTGGGACAGAATTGGCGCAGCCTCATGCTGTGGCTGGTGAGGGGACGGCTGGCTCCTGGGAGGGCTTCCACCTGCCAGCCCCAGGTTGGGATTTCAACTGCTGGGTGTGTGGCTCCTTCCTACATTGACCTTGCAGGTCTGCCCTCAAACCAACCTAACACCCATGGGGACACCTTTGGGGCAAGCACACAGTCCCCCAGATGCATCTCTTAGAGGCTGGCATTTATCTCAGTTCTCGGGGTCAGCTGATGTCTAGGCACCTCCTCCCATCTCTTCCCAGGGCAGTGTGTTTGTCCAAAGTTCTTGCGGTACAGAATCTTGGTCAGCGAGGTTCTGATGCACAGGGACTTGGTGGGAGGTAACAGTCACCTGGTAGGGGGTTTGTATGGAGGGGACAGGAGTGAATGTGTGTGGGGACACAGGCGTGAAGCTGGTGTGTGTGTATGTGAGTGTGTGCATGTGGATGGGCATGTGGATGGGTGTGCAGATGGGCATGTGGACAGGTGTGTGGATGCGTGTGCAGATGGTCATGTGAGTGCATGTGGATGGGCGGGTGGATGGGTGTGCAGATGGGCATGTGTGCATGTGGATGGGCGGGTGGATGGGTGTGCAGATGGGCATGTGTGCATGTGGACGGATGGGTGGATGGGTGTGCAGATGGGTGTGTGAATGGGTATGCAGATGGGCACATGTGTGCATGTGGATAGGCGTGTGGATGGTGTGCAGACAGGCATATGGACGTGGGCTGCTTTCCCCTCTGGCGCAGGACAGTGAGGTGGACAAGGCCTCTAACTAACTGCAAGATGACCGCGACGCGGTGCCCTCTGCGTGGGGCCTGCGCAGAGCTCCATGCGCCCCCAGGCGGCCGGCTGTGCAGACAGGCTTCAGCTCGGGTGTGGAGGGGCCAGGCGGCCTGTGGTCGCAGTCCTCAGTGGCCGCAGTGCCGACAAGCAGCTGTGCTGTGCAGAGATGCCTTCCCCTCACCCCTGAACCTCACTGTGACTGTGGGGGCTCCAGGCCCTTGGACAGAAGGCCGGGCCACCGTCACAGGCACGATTTGGTGACCCCTGGTTTACATGCACACTCCCCAACCCGAAATTTGCAACCCTTGGTAACCTGTATGCCCAGCAACAAATGCCCTGGTGTTCAAAACAAGAAAAAAAATTGCAAGCCTCGGGACCCTCCTGTTTGGCAGAGGCCCAGGAAGAGATTTGGGTGGAAAGACCCTATTTTCTCATCTTTTGCTGGCTCTCTGTCCCTGAAATGTGGCCTTGCTGCTGGAGAGTTAGTGGGCACCCCCCGGAGCCCCAGCTGGTGGTGTCGCTGGGCGGACAGCAGGCTGGGGCACTGAGCGACCCCCACTGCTCCGTGTTCTTCCTCGGGCTCAGCCTCATGCACATAGGGACCCCTCCCCATCAGGCAGCAGGAGGGCGGGGGTTTAACTTCAGCTCCGTGCCGGAGCACATGTTATCTGAGTGCTGAGCTGGGCAGGTCGGGAAGCCCCGGCGAGAGGGCAGCTGGGCACCACTTCCTTCCCTCTCCCCTGTGTGAGGCCAGCTCAGAGGGGAGCCCAGGGGGACAGCACAGGGAGTCAGACTCCTGCTTTTCCACTGTGCATGACTAGCACTGGATGAAACAGGGGGCCCTGGGTCCTGGGAGGCCCATCTGCTGTGCTCCCTGGCTCTGCACCTGCAATGAGTGGCTCCCCATAGCCTGCTCTGCACTCGGCCTGTCCTGGGGAACTGTGCCTGGACCCTGCACAGAGCAGATGCCTGAATGGGAGCCCTCACCTCCCATGGGGGGACAGATGCTCTCCGACCCTGTGACGGTCAGCTTCACGCTGCGTCTTCAGGGAGGCTCCACCCCACCACACACTGGCACATAGGACACACGCATCAAATGAGATCAGATGGGATGGGGGGGTGGCGCGTGTCCTTCCTGCCCCTCAGTGCTGTCTCTTACTGTCCTAAGTGCTGGCGGCCCCGGGAGTCCCTCCACCACTCAGCAGCTCTGAAGCCCCAGGCCCCATACTAGAGGCTGGATATACGCAAATGGCCAAAATGCAGGCTGCTGGCCTGCTGGGTGAAGGCCTGGCTCTCCTCCTGTCCTCATCATGGCCACCAGCCTGTCCCAGGGCGAGCACCCCGACTCTGAAGGAGCCCCTTGGCCACGTGGGGGTGTGGCGCTCAGAGGAGGCCCTGCGGGCGGGATGCGGCGTGTTTGCAGGTGGTGGGGAGCACTCCTCGTGGCGGCGGCGGGAGAAGTAACCCTGTCCTTCTCTGTTTCTCTCCCACCCCCCGCCCGATGTTTAGGCCAGGATCACTTCTTGGCCCAAAGAAAACCCGGGTTCCTGGTTCAGTGAATTCAAGCGTGGTAAACTGGTAAGGCAGCCCCTGGCGTCTCCGTGGTTGTCCTTCACATGCGCCCGTTTCGTATCTTACAGAGTAAAATGGCCCGCTGGCCCAAAGAGCAACCTTCTACCTGGTATAGTCAGTACAAGCGAGGGTCCCTGGTAAGTGGCCACCGGGGCGCTGCCTGCTTGCGGGACGGCCTGGCTCGCGGCTCTGCATGGCTCTCATGGCCGCCGGGCACCGCACCTGCTCTGGCACCTCTGGCAGAGCTGCTCCACGGCACGTGACAGCCAGACTCCACATCGGCGCCCACGCCCGCCACCCCTGACCAGAGTTTGTTTAGCCTGGGAGCAGGTGGATGGAGCAGGGGGATGGAGCCGGGGGCTGCTCTTCCTGTCAGGTCTAGGACAGGAGCATGGTGCTCAGGGTGCCCAGAGCCACCGCAGGACGCCGCCAGGACTTGGGACCAAAGACACCAGGGTTTTACACAGAGGGTTTTACTTTGCGAAGTCCTTGTGGGCAGGTCTTAGGGCCGTCCTTAGGGCCCACCTGGCCGTGGGCTTGTCCTACACCCACTCCACTAGGTCAGTCCCCGCATCAGTTCCTGGGGAGCCAGTCTCCATAACCCGGCCCAGACATGGAAAGACCCTGGCATCCCTTGGAGGAAGCGGCGGTGGTGGTCTGTCACCAGCCCAGAGCCGAGCCCATCTGGACTCCTCCTTCATACGAGGCCGGTGGCTGCTCCCCCATGGTTGGGTGTGTTGCCCTGACTGTCCCAGGGTTTTGGTCCGGGCCCTTCCCTGGAGCATAGTGCAGAGCCCCGTACCCTCTTTCTAGCAAGTGAAAGGGCCAGGGGTCCAGGGTGTGGACATGTTGCAGGCACCTGACTTTGCTCCCTGCCTTCATGTCCTCAGATCTGGTTGTCCTGCCCCCACACGCTCTGGGAGGGGGTCCTTTGTCACCCGGAAGCCAGACTATGGGAGTTCCGTGACTTCCCACCCTGCCATTGCCCACAGTGCGGGCACTGTAGCCTCACGGGGGGCAGGGGAGCACAGAGGCCACGTCCCCCAAGGACTCACAGTGTGGAGGCTTCCAGCTGGCCTTGGCTCTGTCCCACCTCTCAAAACCTCTTGCTCTTAAACCCTGAAGCACTTCCTGGCTAACAATGTCACATGCTCTCCGCGTCCTTGATTCCAAGTCACTCTGGCTCTTGGCAGACACTCTGAAAGTCCGCGCTCACCTCACCACGTCTGTGGAGGCTTCCTCTTATCCCTCCGTGTGGACAACGGGCCTCTCACCTGCTTCTCCGCCTGCTGTCCCTCCTCCCTCCACCCCTGTTGTGCTCACTCAGAGCAGTGGGCACGCAGAAGGACCTGCCTCGGACCCCGCTCAGCATGGGGCAGCCCAGGGAGCAGGGCACCCAGGACAGGTGCACCCCCCGGCGCCCCTTGGGGCCTAACCCCAGCACCTCACTCAGAACACCCCCGTTCTTCCCAGAACTAGGGAGCCCACCTCCTGTCACTTGTCCCATCTCAGACTTTAGACGGAGGTGAAGGCGAAGGGATGGCCCCAGGAGGAGACAGTTTCCCCTTCAGGTTCTCGTCCTGCTGGATTTCCAGCTCTCTCTGGCTGTCCTAGTGGACAGGACATAGACGCAGAAGAAATAGGCTCCCTCTGTGGACCTGGCTGCTCTGGCCGCGGCCCATGAAGACAGTCCTGCAGAGCCCCTCTCCCCTCCCACGGTGGGACAGTGGGGTCCCGGGGCTCAGCACTGGGGGTTTAGGTCCTTCTGTGTCCCACACTGCTCACTGGCCGGCCCCTGTGCATGCATGCTTCCCCAAGTCGAGTGTCCTCCCAGAAGGAGCACCTGATGGCCTGGACTGCGGTTGGTATTGGGTTTCCATCCTCAGGGTCGGACCGTGAGGTATTTGGTCACTGTGTGCAGAGCTGGAGTGGCCCTCCCTCTGAGCCCTAGTGGGGACGGGCAGGGTTGCCAGCTGGGGCCCCCGTTCTCCATGCTCTCTAGTTCCACATACGTGTGTGAGCCAGCGGGCAGCGGGGACCTCGGTGCTCTCTCGTGTGTCTGGCACGGGCCTTGTGGGCTGGGGAAGGGCCAGCCTTGGAACGTGGCCTCAGACCCTGACATCTGCTCCTCCTGCTGATGCTCAGAAATCGCCCGAGCCCTCTGCCTCCTACGGGGGGGGGGGGGGGGTCCTGCAGGGTGCTGCCTGGCAGGGGAGGGGGTCGAGCCCCATCTGGGGGCCAGGGAGGCACCCAAGTGCCTGGGCCGTGTCCAGCTGCTCAGAATGATGCAGACCCTGAGGTGTGGGACACCTCGCCGAGCTCAGCCGCCCATGTTGGGGGTGGGCTGGTGACGCTGGAGAAGGCTCTTGAGAATGGGTACGTCATCTTTCCCTGGTACCCTGCCCTGGGCCTGCTGTCAGCGGGTCTTCTCAGGGAGGGTCACGTCCCCAGAGTGCCCCTGGCTGCCCCCTCTCGGTGTGGGCAACGGGGAGCCCCAACCCCCGGGCCGGGAAGGCCTATCCCGAGTGTCACCCTGTGACTCTAGGAGGGTGCCCGGTCACCCTAGCCCTCCCTCTGGCTCTTGGCCAAATGGCTCAGGACCCTCATGCTTCCAGGTCAGCCAGGTACCCCGTGCCTCCCTGCCAGCCAGCTGAGTTACCCCCAAGACCCCCCTGCCCTCTCTATCTGTGGTTTTCATGGCTCCCTGGCCAGGGCCTAGTGCATCCTTGGCACCCAGAAGATGGTTTTCATCTGTTATCATCATCTCATGGGCGCCTTCCTTTGGTGGATCTCCAGGCACAGTGATGGGAACTATATGCCATGTCTCTGCCCCCAGGGTACTTCCTGTCCGGGGAGGGCTGCAGGCCAGAGCTGGTGTGGAGGGCCTTACAGCCCAGGAGGGAAAGCAGACAGCCAGGCTAAGGTGGGGAAGTACACCTAACCTGGGCAGGCTTCCTGCAAGAGGAGGCACGTGACCAGCCAGGCCAGGAGGGAGGTCTCTAGAAGAAATGAAGTGTTTCGCTCTGTTCCAGGGAGCCCTCGAGTGAGCCAGTGCATTCTGGCCTTGGGGGCGCCGCGTGTGCAGCACGTTTCCAGGGTGGCTCACACTCTGGAGGAGACAGCACGTGGACCAAGGTTGCAAAGGCTGGGCCGTGAGTGGGGCCCTGGCCTCTCAGTGCTGAGCACCCCCCTTGTCCCCCCAGCTCTCCTACGTGGATGCCGAGGGCAACCCTGTGGGTGTGGTCCAGATGACCTTCCTGCGGCTGCTGAGTGCCTCTGCCAACCAGAACATCACCTACAACTGCTACCAGTCAGTAGCCTGGCAGGACGCCGCCACGGGCAGCTACGACAAGGCCATGCGCTTCCTGGGCTCCAACGACGAGGAGATGTCCTACGACAACAGCCCCTACATCCGCGCCCTGGTGGATGGCTGTGCTGTGAGTGACACGTGGTGGCCTGGGGGTGGGGGGAGCCTGCGCGGCGTGTGGGGCAGTGAGGGCGCAGGGGGACACGGGCACCTGACAGGAAGGGCCGGGAGCCGGGTCTGTGGCCCTGTCGGGCTGTGTCGTGGCACCTGTTGCAGTCCGGCCTGGAATTAGAGACTCTGTCCTTAGGACTCTTCCCCAGGAATGGCCAGGATGCAGGCGGGTTCTGGTCCTGGGCATACGCTGGGCTGGGCAGTGCTCTGCGGGTTCAGGGCTGGCCTCGGCTCCCCATGTACCCTGGCCACACGAGGTCGTACCCGGGCCCCATCCACCTGCCGGGAGGGCAGTTCTGCTCGCAGGCCTGATGGGAGGCCTGCTCGGCCCATACAGCCAGGCAGTGCTGGGGTTGCATTTGCTCTTTGGACCCGGGCCCTGGGATGCTTGCTGTCCTCTGCACCCCAGGTGTGGCCTCCCAGAGTGAGGCCTAGGTCCCCCCTGAAGGTCAGCTCCTGGGTGCCCCCTGAGGGTCAGCTATTGGGTCTTCCCTGAGGGTCAGCTCTTGGGTGCCCCCCGAGGGTCACCTCCTGGGTTCCCCCCCCCAAGGGTCAGCTCTTGGGGACTGCCCCTCGGGCCTGGTATCTCCCAGGGTGGGTCTGGGCTGTGTCCTTATGTCTTGGGAGGTGTTTGGGGGGCCACTGGAGGGTGGAGGTTGCCAGGAGGCATCGTCTCTGTGAGTCTCTGTCGCATCCCAGCGCCGGTCCCTCTGTCCTTTAGAGCCCCTGCCCGAGGTGCCCAGGCCAGCCCCCATGGGGACAGGGCTGGCTCCGTGTGCAGGGCCTCCCACCAGGCCAGCACGTGATGCTCTTCTGTGGAAGGCTCACCTCATGGCCAGGCCATCCCAGCGCCAGTTGCAGACAGGGTCCATCCAGCAGACTTCCGGGTGGAAGCTTCTTCTAGTTCTGTTGGGAACTAGAACCTGAGCTTTTTCTAGTTGGCCCCGCTGTGCCACCAGTTGCCTTCCACCCCATGTTGAGAACAGAGCCACCAGGGCACAGGTCGGGGGTGGGCATGGTGTGTTCCAGGCCAGGGAGAGGCATCCCCAGCACTGAGCTGCAAGAAGCCTGCACTCTTGCCTCTGGGTCAGCGCTCCCTGCCACACGTTCCACCCACCCCCTGCCCCCCGCCCTCCCTGGCCTATCACAGCATGCTCAGAATGTGAGTTTTCCCTACTGTCCCCTGTTGAGGCCCAGGGCTGTCCGGGCCAGGCCAGAAGGTCAGGGACAGCTCCGTGGGGCGTCGGGGTCCAGCAGGAAAGTGACTGTGTGGAGCTGCTGGGTGGCCACTGAGAGCAGGACCCCAGCTCACTGCCTGCATCTGCCCTGGCTGAGGCCAGCGCCTGGGCTGCCACCTCCGGCCCCGGGGAACCTCTGTTCCTTCTCATCCTGGATATACCCAGTCCTCCCCATCCCGGGACACCCTCCTCTCCTCCCTGCTCCTGCACACCCTGGGTATGTGTGGGTCAGTCCTTTGGTCTGACTGTGGAATGTGTGGAACCCATCCCCGTTTAAAGCAGAGGAGTCCCACCCTCTGGGAAGGGATCCAGAAACACCCTGGGAAGTGAGGTGGGGGGTACCACCTGCATCTGCTCGGGGTCCTGATGCGCACCCCACACTGCTTTGAGAAGGTTGTGAGGCAGCAAGTAAAATTGTCCCCATGCCTCTGCCGCTTACGTGGGGGAACGGTAATAGCACCTGCTCCATGAGACTGTTCCAGGAGTGCATCTCCTCTCACCTCAGAAGAGCTTGCAATTGTGTTCAGCCTGGCGGAAGCCCCAGAAGAATCAGCTCTGTGACTATTTCCGACTGCACAGCCCAGGCTACGGGGAGGGAGGCAGTGAAGGTGGAGATAGGAGTGTCTTTGGGGTGAGGCAGGACCTCAGGACAGGGCTCAGATTGGAGCAGAAGGGGGAGGAAGTGCCCTGGTGGGGCCAGGACGTGCCACCTGTGGTCACAACTGATGACGGGGCTCACGGGTTCCCAGGAGAGGGGAACATTCCCCACAATGGGTGTCAGGAATCGCGGGGAAAGGGCAGGCCTCCCCAGCTCCCTGCTCCAGCTCAGATAGGCTTTGCTCTGGTGCCCCATCCCTCTTTTTCTGGACATTCCCTGTCCACATCTGGAGCCCCCAAAGTTCCTGGCAGCACATCCCGGAGCCCCTGAAATTGCTAACAGCACGTCCTGGAGACACCAAAGTTCCCAATAGAATACCCCAGAGCCCCCAAAGTTCCTGGCAGCACAACCCGGAGCCCCTGAAGTTCCCAACAGCACAACCTGGAGTCCCTGAAGTTCCCAATGACACATCCTAGAGCCCCCAAAGTTCCCAATGGCACATCCCGGAGCCCCTGAAGTTCCTAACAGCACATCCCGGAGTTCCAAAGTTCCCAGTAGCACATCCCAGAGCCCCCAAAGTTCCCAACAGCACGTCCCAGAGCCCCCAAAGTTCCTGGCAATGGCATCTAACTCAGAGCCCGCCCTCCTGGCTCTGCAGGCATGTCAGTACAAGGTCGAGCTCCCATCTCCCTTAACCCAAGAGCAAATGGCCTCCCTTCTCTGGCCATGTCTTCTGGTGATGTGGCCGTGCTGGCAGCATGTGGCCTCCATGCACCAAACGCCACTAGGATCACTCCAGCCTCTGGGCAAGAGCTGCTGATTGGGGCTTCTCTTTATTGTGCAGAAGCAAAATCTGAGGTCAGGAGGGGTCCAGTGAGCTGCCCAAGGCCCTTAGGCTATGGCCAAACGGATCTCCTAATTCCTGTCCCCTTTCCACCATCGTCCATTTCTGGCATAGCTGCACCTTGAATGCCTCCATTGACAGGGAGCTTGCTCCCACCTGGGCAGCCCAGACCATGGCCACAAAGTCTCAGTGTTAGGAAGCTCTTCTGGGAATTGAGCTAAAATCTTCTTGCTGTAATTCCTACCTCTCTCTCTTGCTTCTGCCCCTTATGTCATGCAGAGGGGACCTGGTTCCATACTAGAGTTGCTCAGCCTTTGGGGCTGGCTGAATCTTTGGGGTGCAAGGGGTTGGGCTGGGGACATCCTGTGCCTTGTAGGATATTGAGCAGCATCTGTGGCCTCGACCCTCTGGATGCTAGTCCCCTACTTAGCTGCCGCAACCCGAAAATGCCCTCAGGCGTTGCCGCGTGCCCCCTGCCCCCCGCCTGGGGGCGCTGCCTCCTACCCAAAGGAGAAAGATTCAAGGGGAGCCCCATGGCTCCCCCTTGCCCAGAGCTGGAAGGACGCAGCTCCTCCTTCTCCACCGTGGGGTCTGAAGAAGCTTCGGAGCCTGGCCCAAACCCACGACCCAACGTGGTTGTGATCCAAGCCATAACCCTGTCCTTCAGAAAACAACCAACCGTGCACCTGCACTGCCCCCCTGACCGCGGTGCCCCCAGGAAGTGGACAGCAGTCGTTTTTGAGCTCTTTGACGGCCCTCGGGGCATCTCTGGGGCCATTGGGAGACCTACGATCATGGGACACTGGATGCGAGGCCAGGAGGAGTGGCCGCTCCCTCCTCAAGAGGTTTTGCTTCTGGAAAGAAAAGAGTTTGTCTCTGAAAAGGGGGAGAGATGGTGTCGATGAGGAGCAAGTCCTGCTGATAGAGAAAGTTGGCCGTGCAGGCAGGAGCGGGAGGTTGGGGCTGGGCCGGGCAGAGCAGGGGGGCCCGCGTTGGGGGGGACACATGGGGGGCACTCCTGGGGAGTTGTGATTGGTGAACCCCATGCCCCCCAGAAGTTCAGCCGGGGCTGTAAAGCCCCACCCCTCCCATGTAAGCATTCAGGAGGTCCTGCGACCCCATAGGCCACCCACATGCATGCTGGCGGTAGAGACGCCCGCCTTGACCCTCAGACCCCCTGTTGCCCCAAGGGTTCCCGCAGAAGTGCTGTGGCTGTGTGCACCCCCCGAGGGGCCTCTGAGCGGGGCCCAGCCCTGTGCACAGACACAGATCACCTGGAAGAGGGCCCGAGGAGCTGTGCCACATAAATCCTGTTGTTTGGTGGGGGGCCACTGCTGGCCCTGTAATGGTCAGTTAGTTAGTTAGTTATAAAGGTTTTATTTATTTACTCATGAGAGACACACAGAGAGAGGCAGAGACACAGGCAGAGGGAGAAGGAGGCTCCCTGCGGGGAGCCTGATGCGGGACTTGATCCTGGGACCCCAGGATCATGCCCTGAGCTGGAGGCAGATGCTCAACCGCTGAGTCACCCGGGGATCCCTGTAATGGTTATTTATGCCGCAGGAATGACAGGGCAGCCTGCTGCCACATGCCCTCTCTACGTGCTCTGGTGATTGCAGCTGTGGGGCCCCATATATCCAGGGGGACTGTCCTGGCCACTCAGCAAGCGCCGCCACCCCTCGGGGGGAGGAAGAGAGGCAGACGTGGTCCCGCAGAGGCTGGTTTGTGGGCCCCCCGTGGGAGGAAGGGGCAGCCCTGCAGCCGAGGTGGCTTGGGTCCCCTGGCAGCCCCTGCCTTCCAGTGGCCCTGACGGCCTCCAGGGCAGCCGTTGCCCTGCTATGTGGTGGCCAGCAGTGAAGACGGAGTCCACAGGGGCAGAGCCTAGGTGGGTGGAGGTAGGCGCCGGTCTGGATGGGGGGAGGTGTGAGGCCACTCCTTCCAGTCAGCACGAGGGTGCAGCTGGGCCCCTGCCACATTGTCCGAAAGTGCCAGCATTCATGGCCCTGAGTTCCCGGTCGTCCCTGAGCAGTCCTTTAGGGCAGTGTCCTGCGTCACGATTGTCTGAGAGGCAGACTGTGTGGACCTAGAGCAATGCCGTCTCTGGGGTGGGCCAGAGCTCACAGTGCTGACAAGCCCCAGGGGACCTCGTAGTGGCTCTGAAGCGCTGTTCCCAGCTTTGAAATAATTGCAGCCAGACCCAGCTGCAGGCAGGATGAGGTTAAGGCAGGGATGTGGTGGGGACGTGGCAGGAACATGATGAGGATGTGGTGGGGACATAGCAGGGACAGATGTCTCCAGGATAAGGAATTTCCAAGAAGGTGTGGCACTCAGGGAAGTCATGAGGCGGCTGCGTGCCAGTGCTCGGCCACCGGGGGCTTCTGTGTGGCAGGCCTGCTGGATGCGCTGGACATGAGGGTCTCTTCCACCACACGGCGGTCTGTGCTGCGGAAAACAGCCACAGAGACAGTTGGCTACCTAGCACTTGTCACACACCGAGCACTGGAAGCCACAAATTTGTGTGGCCTGACTGTTCCTGAGGGTCGGCTCAGGAACTTGGGAGTGGCTCAACCAGGTGGCTGTGGCCCAGAGTGTCCCCATCAGCTCAGGCTGTGTAACAAAACACCCCAGACTTGACGGCTCGTCCATGGCAGCCACAGGCTTCCTACGGCTCTGGAGGCTGGAAGGCTGAGGTCGGGTGCTGGCATAGGCGGGTTCAGCCTGCTTGGGGGGGCTGCCCGCAGTTGAATTCTTGTGCTGGAGAGACCGGCTAGCCTTCCAGTCACTGCCTGTCAGGCACCAGTCATGGGCTCCATCCACATCACCCCGTCCCCTCCCAGAGGTCCCGCCTCCAGACGCCCTCACATTGTGTACAGGACATCAACCCCTGAATGGTGGGGTGGCTGACACTGTGCTGTGTGGCTGCGGGCTGCAATCCAGGGAGGGCTGGCCTGGGGCTGGGGGTGCTGCTCAGTTCTGGCCACATGGGCCCCCCAGAGGAGTGACAGGGGTAGCACAAGCTGGGCCATTGTGCCCACTGCCACCCACAGAGTGGAAGCCACCTAGTAGCCACTCAGCTTCCCATGGCTACCCGTGTGCCACACATGGATCCCAGCACTCCAACCCTGTTCTTCAGGGGGAACTAAGGCTCCCAGAGGCTCTGCGCTCCTCTTTCAGGATGTGTACAGTGCAGGGAGACCCTCTCCAGGACCACAGGCCCTGCGAGTGTGACTCTGTGCTGGGTGCGAGGTAGACGCAGCCGCTCGGGGTGCCCGTGCTGGTCTGCAGGGAGCACGCCGGCCCCGGGGACACTCGCCAGGGGGTGTTGGTTAGAGGGTGGTGTCCCTGTAGCCTTGCATGGAAGGGTCCTGCAGGCTCAGAGCTGAGCTTGGGTGGCTCCTCGGTCCGGGACGACCCTGCACCTCTGCACCCTGTGCTCTGGGACAGGTGGCGGGCAGGGGAGTGGAGATGCCTCTCCTGGGGAAGTTCTGTCCCCTTTGTAGGGCTCACTCTCCTAATTAGCAAGGTGGGGCTTGCAGCCTGACCCGGAATTGAGCTGGGGATGACCTGAGATGCTCACCTGAGCTGCAGGGGACTCAGTGTAGCACGCTGCTCCCTCCCTGCACTGTCCCTGGCCCTCTGTGCCTCAGTTTACCCAGAACTCCTCAAGACCAGGTAGTGGGTAAGGGTCCCCCCTGTCCTCACCCTCCTGCGTGTGATCGCCAAGGGCAGGGCTGGCCATGAGCTCTTACTGTCTCAGAACCTCATTTTGAATGTGGAGCAGCCAGGATCCGGGTACCCCAGGGGAGCAGCATTTCCTGTAGTTGGTCCTGGCAGGGGCACCTTGGGGTGTCCCAGCTGAGCCGGAACTGTGTACCGGCTTAGATTAAATGGGATGTCATGGGGTGCGGTGCGGGGGCACTGCCTGCCCTGGTCTAGCACATTTCCTCCCTCCTCCTGCCCGGAGACACGGCGCAAACCCACTTTCTCCGCGGCTGGTGGAGCGTGCACACGGGAACCCAGGAGCCGGGGCAGGTGTGGCGGGTGAGACTCAAACCCCAGAGGTGCCCCCGTCCCCCTTTTACCCACGTGTGCCTCTCCTCTGCTTCCCAGACGAAGAAAGGGTATCAGAAGACTGTTCTGGAGATCGACACGCCCAAGGTGGAACAAGTGCCCATCGTGGATATTATGTTCAACGATTTCGGTGAAGCATCACAGAAATTTGGATTTGAAGTGGGGCCAGCTTGCTTCCTGGGCTAGGAGCCGTGAGCCCGGCCCCCAAGAGCAACCTCGTGACCTCAGCGCGCCGTCTGCGGGCGTCCTGGACAGTGAAGGCCCCTCGTCCCTCCCCCGACCTCGTCTGCGCCTGGGTCCGCGCCGGGCCAGACCCCAAACCCACAGAGAGCGAAGGGAAAGAGCCGACTCCCCAACCCCGGAGCCGAATCACATGACCTAGACGGCCCACAGCCACCGGGCCCCACTGCTTTGTCAGCCCCATCTGTCCCCACCATGCGCCACTGGGGCGGGGACGGGGCCGCATTTCTGGCCGCCCAGCCGGCCGATCCATCACCTGCGTGGGGAGGTCACCAGGCCGGGCGTGGGGCTGCAGTATTTGGAGATCACGTTTTTTTTTTTTTTAAATTCAACTTGAAGATGCGTATTTCCCCTGACCATCAAAAAAATGTTCGGAGGCAAACCTTGTAAAAAGGTCATCCCCACCCCGCCAGAGCCTCTGTTTTCAACTACACGATCCATTCACAGGCCCAGTGTCATTCTGCATGTGCCTTTCCAATGGATTAAAGGTGCTTTCGTTTTTGTGAGTTTTAAGTAAATATTTGTATTGTATTGTCCTAAGTGTTCAGTGTCCCCGACTTTCAATCACGCATGTCAGCCCGGCTTCAGTCCTGCTGAGAGAGTGGGGTGAAGGGTGGGTGTCCAGTTCTGGTGAGGAAGGAGCAGCCCCGTGCCCCACCTGGCCAGGGACGTGCAATAAGGTGGAGGTTCGCCCGGGGGCGGCAGGAGTGCACACTGCCGTGGCAACAGCGGAGCCCAGGGTGCCCGGGCCCCTTTTCAGACAATTTTTTGATTAGCTTTGGATTTTTTTTTTTTAATGGAGAGGAAAAAAAAAAAGAACTTGATGCTTTGCCTTTCCTACATGCACTTAGATTAAATCACAGGCATAAATTAATTTTAATTGCTTCCTTTTCCCGTTTTTCTACCCGCAGAGCCTGATGGGAGAGTATCCAGGGCAGGGAAACCACACTTTCTGTAGATGATAATTAAATGAAAATTGGTGCTTACTTTTACACTTCTCCTTTGTGGTGCTATCTGTTTTAAGATCTCCTTGCAAAGGGGACACTGGGGTGACCTGGCCGTGCGGCCTCCCGCCTCTCTCGGTCCCCGCCTCTGCCTCCGCGGCGCGGTGGGGACCTGCTGAGGACGGGAGGGTGGACGGGCGGACGCTCGCTCATCGCCTCCCTTCCCAGGGGCCCACGTGTCCCTGCGCTCCCAGAGGGTGGCCAGGCCCGTTTCCAGGATTGGGTTGTGCCTCTGTGATTTGAAAACACACGCGCGCTATAAAAGATGCTGCCCACAGTGTCCGCGGCGTGACGATGAGCAGGTCGTACGCATCCGGTTTGCCGAATGTCTGGTGCTAATTTCTGTGTTTGTTCCAAGAACTGAGCTGAAGCCGCGTGTGCCGTCCCAGCTGGGCTGCCTTTGCCCGGGGGGCCTCAGCCGACGGGGAGTCGTGCAATCAACTCTGTGGGCCGCCTCCCCACACGAGCAACCGGAGTTCCAGCTGCCGGCGTCCTGGGCCGCGGGCCTCCACGCTCCGGAGAGCTCAGGGCTGGCGGGGCTTCGTGAGCGAGGGCAGGGGGCTGCCTGCCGTGGGCGGAGGACCCGAGGGGCCTGCGAGGAAAGGCAACCCCTTCACTGTGAAAAGCTGCCCTCGAGCAATGCCCTTTCCTTCCGTGACGGGAGGAGCAGGTGAGGACCGCGGGCCCTGCTCGGCCCCCTCGGGAGGAGCTGTGACCGTTCCGGTGCTGTCGCCTGCCCACCTGCCCGCCCGCCCGCCCCGCCTGGGAGACCGCAGCAGAGCCTTGCCCCCACCTTGGGCATCACGGAACCACCCACTAGGATTGCCCGCATTCCCGTGGAAATTGAATCTTGCTGTCACCAAAGAAAAGTCTGGCTCGGAGGTTCTTTGGAGCCCAGGATGCCGGCATGCGCCAATGACTCTCACATTTGTCTCTTCCAAAGCAAAGCCATATCCGAGGGCTGCCACGTGGTGCCCTGTGGGTGTTGTCTAGGTCATGTGATTCCGTTTTGCTTCCTCGTCCCTCCTGAGGCCCCCGTCACGCTGTCTTCCTCACCCTCTGGCCCCTTCAAAACTGTTGTCATTTGTACTGAAGTCAAATGTGTCCCGTTCTCCCCAGACCACTTCGCTATGGTATATTGCAATAAAAATTACTTCTTATATTTGCAGATGTTCTCCTGGTGTGATTCTTGTCCTTCCTTCTCTCTATAACTGGACACATATTGATGTAAAGGGGAAAATGATACATGGAAAACCCACGGGAAGGGTCCTGGGGCATTGGGATCTTTAAAATACAATGTCAAGTGACACCTGCCTGTTGCCTAAAAACCCCATAGATCTGTTCCAAAGTTTTAACTGTAATGCCCAGAAAGGGGCATTTTAAAATATTTGAAAACCGTGTGATGGGAAAGTGCTTGTAAGAGCTTCTTAATAAATACAGTTTACTGTTTCCACCGTACACAGACGCGATTGGCTGTCTTCTTTTCTTTATATATAAATTTATTTTTTATTGGTGTTCAATTTGCTAACATATAGAATAACACCCAGTGCTCATCCCGTCAAGTGCCTCCCTCAGTGCCCGTCACCCAGTCACCCCCAGCCCCCACCCACCTCCCCTTCCACCACCCCTAGTTCGTTTCCCAGAGTTAGGAGTCTCTCATGTTCTGTCTCCCTTTCTGATATTTCCCACTCATTTTTTCTCCTTTCCCCTTTATTCCCTTTCACTATTTTTTATATTCCTCAACTGAATGAGACCATATAATGTTTGTCCTTCTCCGATTGGCTGTCTTCTTTTTTAAAATTTTTATTTATTGATAAGCGACACAGAGAGAGAGGCAGAGACACAGGCAGAGGGAGAAGCAGGCTCCCTGCAGGGACCCCGATGTGGGACTCGATCCCAGGACCCCAGGATCACGCCCTGAGCTGAAGGTGCCTCAATTGGCTATCTTCTTAAGGATGAAGGGGCCTCCTCCGGCCTTGAACCACTGTGTGAAGCCAGGGGCCACAGGGGGCCGAGAAAGGGGGTGCCCATTGCCCTACAGGACAGGGCAGAAGAAGGACAGGGGACAGAGCCGCTCCCTGGGGGGCCTGCAGGATGTGGGCAGGTGCCAACTTTGGGGGCGTCCCCTGCTCCTGGGCATCCAGGCCTGGGTGGCATGCAGCCCTCACCCCCCTCCTGGGCCCAGGGACGTCCCTAAGCCTCCCCACTCCGCTGTCCAGCTGCATGTGGGGATCGCACTTCTCGGCCCCTTGGAGCCGGGTGGGCTGTTGGCTCATCCGGCGTCTGACCCTGGCTCTTGGGTCTGCAGTTGGGGCTTCCTGTTGTGTGTCACTGGCCTTGTTCCCTGGGACAGCCGTGTCCCAGCAGACCCGGAGGGGGGTCCTTGGCCCACCTGGGATCCATTAGCAACAGAGTGAGAAACATTTCTGTTGTGTTAAGCAAGAGGACCGTTTGTTGCTGCACCAAAACCCAGACCGGTGGTTTTCAACGTGCCGTCCGGGGACCAGCAGCACCCGCATCATCCCCTTGGTGGAAGTGTGAGTTCTCAGGCCCTGCTGCAGACCTGCTGAATCTGACCCAGGGCGTCAGGTGACTGGCTGCCTGCTGGAGCCCAAGACCCCCTGGCCATCCTGAGCTTGATGGAATTGTCCCCGAAAGCCAGAAACTCCGCCTGGGAAACCGCAGTGTGGCTGACGCAGGCGTGCAGCCTGGACTGTCGTCTGGGTGGAAGGGCCCCATTGCCAGGACAAAACACTTTTTCTGTCATTTGCCCCCCATGGCAGCTGGCAGGCAGGTTCTTCCCTAGGGGAGATGTCAAAACTGGAAGGACAGTGGCCTGGCTGGCCACCCTTGCTGCCCTGGAAGGTTCTACAGGAAGAGATGGGCTCTGGAAGGAGCCAGAGAGGACCCAGGCCTTCCGGAGCTGGAGGACACAGCCCTTCTTCGGGATCAGTGTTGACTCTGAGATGCGCCGAGGGACATGCCAGGCTCGGCTCAGCCTTCGCCTGTACAAGCAGCACATCCTTCTCTTAAACCCCAGCATGGACTGTGATGGTCCCTTGAAGACGCAGGACACGATGATGTGCAGTGGGGCCTCCTCAAAGTCAATGGACCTGATGGTTGCTGCGGTCAACCCCGAGGGAGAGGGGCAGCCGCATGTGTGGGCGCTGTGGGCCCGGGCTGCTGGCTCATGTCCAAGGGGCAGGACGCTGGTTCCCCTCTGTGACAGGTGTCCTGTGGAGACAGCGCCAGCCTCGCCGGATGGCATCAGGGCAGGACTTGCAGTGACCCTGCGCCTGGGCAGCTGCCGCCAGTGCCCAAGGCTGTGCATTCAGCCTCAGTGGTGATGAGACAGCTTTCAGGTAGGGCAGGGAAGAGACTGGTGCTGGAGACCCGGGGCCCCAGTGAGGCCAGGCTGGGTCCCCCCCCCCCCGCTTCTCTGTGTCCCCTCCCTCCTTGAAACCTGCCAAACAGAAGCACCTGCCACTCAGTGGGGTTAAGAGATGAGAGCCAGGGGGTGGGGCCGCAGCCCTGAGCCCAGAGCTCAGTGATGTCTGTGGGTGGGTGTCCCCAGGATGGACTCGGCACCGCTCTCCCGGCCGCAGGGACCCCTGCTCTCCTGCACTGCCATCCATCCCAGCGATTCATCAGCAAGAGCTCGCCCAATGCCTGCAGCCACCACATGTGGGCTGGGCCCCAGAGTGGGGAGTCTTTGCTTTGGCGTCAGGAGAGGCGAGATCTTATGGAAACAACCTTGGCCTGGCCTTGCTGTGAAGGAGTTGAGGCCTCCGTGGCTGTCCTGGGAGCCCCGTTTGTGTGAGGACCCACAGGAGCTGGGTGAGAGCCATCCTTTCCTGTGTCCACTCATGCTGGGCAAGGGGAATGTCTGTCCCCGTGAAGGAGCAAGCAGGTCCTTGTTCATGTCTGGAGCGAAAAATCATCCAAGAAGTTCCCTGTGTTGGAAAAGTGTCCTCAGTCCCCTTAGCCCAGCACTGCAGCCCTGGGTCCGAGGGAGGATGGTAAGGCTGTGTGAGTGCCAGCCTGGCAGCTGGCTTCTGTGGCTGCAGAGCTGGGCTCTAGGGCCCCAGGCATCAGGACATGGGTCCCTGCACACCTGCCAGGGCCTTTGGCCTCCGAGAGCGGCACCTGGTCCCAGCCGGCCTTGGGCAACGCCTCCATTTGGACAACAGGTGGGTCACCTGTGTGGATGGGCGTGGACACACTTGTCATCAAAGCCAACCTGTCTGGCAGGGACCCAGGGGTGTCAGGAGCCTCTTGATACCCTGGGAGAGCCCCCAGGCCTCCCGGGGGCAGGGAAGAGGGTCAGTGCCCACTCCCAGGGGCTTCCACTCCAGGAAGGGGTTTCCGCAGAAAGCACTCTTCCCTCTCTGATTTCTTTGCCCCAACCTCCCCCTCTCACTTCCAAGAGGTTCATTCATTCAGTGACAGTTGACTGACCGCCAGCTGCGCACCAGGTACTGGGACAGTGGAGGAGGAGTCCCGCCTGCTGGGACCTCTTGTTCTGGTGGGAATAGACGTGAGCAGATGTAAGGGAAAAGCCTGTCAAGGGATAAGTGGGAAAGTGCTCAGGAAAAGGAAAATGCATGACGGATGAAGGTGTATGTTTCTCTAAGCGTAAATAAAAAAGTATCAAATGGGAGAGAGGACGTGCACCCATGTACAGGGTGCAGTGTGTACATGGTGTGTCTGTGATGTGTGATGCACCAGGACCCATGATGGGCCTGCGCACTTGGGGTTGTGGGACCCAGGTGAGTGGCAACCATGCAGGGACATGCTGAGAATAGTCACAGTCTGGATGTTTCCAACTCGGAGTCCGCAGGGCTTGCTGGGAGAGGTAGGAAGAGAGCAGGACAGAGACCCCAAGGAGGAGGAGGACGCGGGCTCTGGGACATGACCCTCAGGTCCACGCATGGGCCGTCTCAGTGACGCAGGCTCAGATGCCAGCAACGCCCAGCTCTCTGAGCCTCTGTCTGTCCATCTGTAAGACGGGAGGGTCACCACTGCTCTATGATCAGAAGACAGGTGGCCTGTGTCCTTGAATGGGGAAGGGGACCAGGGGGAAAGAGGTGGGTTTCACAGATTGCTTCAGGCCGAGGGGGAGAGGGCAACTCATGGTTGTGGGATGAAATGGCCCAGTCCCAGAGCGGGACGGTGAGGATGGGTCTGGGGTTCGCCCTCCACTGACAAGGGGCCTGCTATGGCCCCTGGGCAGGTAGGTGTGTTCCGCTAAGGCTGGGTGGGGGGGGACAACGTGGGTCCTCTGGTAATGGCCACAACCTGTATGCCCACCAGCAGCTGTCCTTCGAAGTAACCTGCACAACTTCCTAGGGATGTGATTCTGCGTGGAGCCCTGGGGGTGGGGGGTGGGACCCCTGCAGACACAGCCATGCCCATCCCACCCACCCCGACTTCTGCAGGTGCAGCTCCTTCTCCCACCCTGCCCTCCACATCTGCCCTCGGCCACCCCTCCTACCTCAGCAGCCCCCTGGCTATGAAGCACCAAGTGGCCCGAGCCAGTATCTGCAATGAGTTCACATGCTCAAAATGAGCCGGTTTTTAGAGATCCGAGAAGTCACTCTGAATATGTGCACAAGGTCACATACAGCTTATCCACAAGGATAAAATATAGATACACAGGCAATGGGTAATAGATTTAAGGTTTAAAGCACAGTGCACGTAGATGTCGTGGCAGCTTTAGAGGTTTCTAACCGGACTAAAGCAGTTAGGAGCATTAAAGGTAATCACCTCGTCCAATCCAACAGTCTCACCAATGAGACTTTACCATGAGGTCGATTTCAACGGAAGAGAAAACCACCTGAGGAGCCCCCCGGGAGGGGTGACAAGAAGCTAGCTGCGGGAGCCCTCTCCCTCTGGGCACTTGCCACGCACTGGGGCATCTGCACACCTGCCCTTGCTGCACCCAAGTTGATGTCATGCTCACTAGCCTCTCCAGGCCCTGGGGTCTGTTTTTGTGCCATAGGCAGGAAAATACCACTTTCCAGTAATCTCCCAGGAGTAAATAAAGGCCACATTGTACAAAACATCCTGCTGCTGCTTCTCTTCCCAACCCCCCCCCCCCCAAGAATTGACAAATGATATCTAGTAGGTTTGGGAAAAATCCAATTCCCGGGCATGTGTTGGGAACTG